TTTTTAACGTTTGTTACGTCATAACTCTGTCATTTATGAACTGTTTTGTAAAAATTCTTTTTTTTTTTAGGTAAAGTGATATACTTGCAGATTAGTTTTATACAAATTTTATTAAAATGTATTCAGTAGTTTAGTTTTTAAATCAAAATACCTGTTCAATACGTATAAAAATATAATATATGTAATACAAACTATTTCATAATTGTAAAATACTTTTTTATTTTTCTTTTGTTTTCATGAAATGTTTCTTTTTTTCATCATTACATCTCAATACATGCACGTCTAAACACGACATTTTTATTTTTAACTAATTTTATACTTCTGGTTCAAAGTTCCTGCTAAATTTACCTATAAATATATAATATATAAAACCAGCGACCAGCAAGGAGCTGAACAATAACTGGTTTTGTCACTTTGACGTCGGCTTTTTTTTATAACCAAATTCTATAAGTTATTAGAGATATCTACGTATGTACATGCTACCAAGTCTAAAAAACTATTGTAAAGATTCTATGAAACCCCATCGTGAGTCGTGACTTGGAAAACTTTTTTTCGTGACGTGGCACTATTTACGAAATGGTTTAAAAACGGAAATCCTTCAACGGCAATGTAAAAAATCTATTATAAAGCTACTATATTTGTTTCATTGAAAAAATATTACCTATATATATATATAAGCTAGGTAATTATGTGATTGAACACAACAATGACTTTATCATGATTCGTCATACTCGTGAACGAGCGATACCCGCAGCTACTGGGCTGTTCAAGATTACTGTTAATGATTGTAAAATTATGTTCCGTTTAATATTAAAAAAAAAATATATTAACAATTTTAAATTACTAGATATATTTAATCTACTAATATCATAGATTTAGGATATCACAGTTCAATATGATAGGTATAGCCACTTTCTACCATCGTACAGCTCACCATTGGCAGGGAGTTCACATTCATACCCTAGGATCTAGAATATGAATCTGGCACTGGTAAATGAATAGGGTACATCGTGGTTTCAGAGATATTTTTTCCTACGAACAATCAAGTTATGGAATGAGCTCTCTATTAAAGTTTTTCCAAGAGACTACAGCATGGGGTTCTTAAAAAAAGGGGTAAAGAGGTTTCTTTAGGGTCGACAACGCGCGCGTAATACCCTTGGTATTTGTATACTAGTTTGCCATCTCAGTGATATATAAAAAGTACATACATATATATATATAAAGTGGTACATTTTCTACAATTATCAATATGCAGAGAGTAAAGAGGAATAACACCTGAGTCCTCAGGAATGGCAACGCATGGGGGGTATCATGGGCGAAACAGTATAGGTACTCTGTTATGTCCATGGTACTGCTTATGTCTATAGGCGACGGTTACCACTTTCCATCAGGTGGACCGTCAGCTTGTTTGCCATTCTAAGTTGTATAAAAAAAATGCAATTTAAATTTACTAAATAGTTTTGTAAATTAAGGACTTATCTGCATATTTGAAACAAGTGTCGAGTTTCTTATGAGACAAATAACATTCCTGACTCAGTGATAAAATTATACAATTGACAATTTTAAAATAATTATAAATGATGATAATTTTATTGTAATAATTATTGTGTGATTCATTGTGGTTTATAATTGTTACCATTGTGTAATAAGTGTCTACTATAGAGTAAATAATCACCAAGTATGTTATCTGCCCTCCTATTCACGTTGCTGGAATGTAATGCACCCATCTGGAAGTATCGACACACATCACTAGTTGCATTTCGTTGCTTCATCCGTACGAATCAATATATAAAATATTCTATGTGCTAAGTATTTTTTATTTTATACAACTTAGAATGGTAAACAAGCTGACGGCCTACCTGATGGAAAGTGGTAACTGTTGCCTATAGACATGAGCAATACCATGGACATAACAGAGTATACTGTTTCGCCTATGATACCCCCCATGCGTTGCCATTCCTGAGGACTCAGGTGTTATGCCTCTGTACCCTGTAAATTCACGCCATATCCCACTCTTCAAACCGAAACACAGCCATGCAAACACAAGTGCTTGACGGTAGAAACACGAATGGGACAGAAGTACCCAAGCAATCGACTTTTGTACAAAGTCTCCCAAAGGTTAAAATTAGGAAGTAACCTACTCGTCTAGCAAATTCCATACGAACACATTCAAAATTTTTGCATTAAAGGGTTACATTTATTCATCCATCTACTATTATAAGGGAGGGAGGGAACAGAGGGAGATTTTGTACAAAAGTCGTTTGCTTAGGAATCTTTGTTCCATTCGTGTTTCATCTGTGACGTAGTTGTGTTTCGTTTTGAAGGGTGGGATATGGCAGTAAATTGACAGGGTACAGAGGAATAACAACCTGAGTCCTCAGGAATGGCAACGCATGGTAGGTATCATGGGCGAAACATTATACTCTGTTATCTATGGTACTGCTCATGTCTATAGGCGACGGTTACCACTTGCTTGCCATTCTATGTTTCATAAAAAAAAATCGTTTTTATTTATATAAACTCGAGATGTATAAAAGGAATAGTAAAACCCCATCTCATACGACGTAACTACTTCCTGCCCGTCACTCGCCTATCTACAAATAAATTCCTGGATAAGCGATCTTTTTGTACAACTATTCTTTTGCAATTAGTATCAATTGTTGAGCTCTTTACCATGCGGGCAATGCTACATTTCATGATAAGGTCGAATACCGTTTCGTTCTGACTCACTGATTCGTGTGAAGTTTGTAAAACGAAGTCTTACCTTATTGCTGTTAAATAAAGTATTTTTTAGATAAACTACAGATGGATATATCGTGTCAAAATTCCGCTAGATATACACTCCTCTTCATGGCTGTATTCTAAGGGCAGAATAAAAAGAAATAGCATTAATAGGCGGTACCGAACTCTTTTAATTTATGACGAGACTATTCTTCTCTTTGCATCTTCTGCCACCTGTATAACGGGTTGTATTCTGAAGAACTCCTCGATATAATGCCTGTAGCCATCTTTCGCTATCGGCAGGGAATCCATATTCACACTTTAGAATCTAAACTTAGCTCACACACGGTGCAATGTCAGAGGAGCGTCCTTCCGCGAATACTCATATTGTGGAATAATATTCTTGCAGGCTTTCCCTAGAGACTACAGCATCAGGTTCTTCAAAAAGGGCGTATTAAGGTATCTTAAGGGTCAGCAATGTGTGCGTAACATCCCAGGTGTTACAGGCATCCATAGGCTATGGTAACCACATTTACCATCAAACGGGCTGTATGTTTGTTTTCCACCATAGTTATATTATATATAAAAAATGTTATCGCACTTGTTTTGAGTCACGACATCGCATGATTCATAAAAAGTAGCTCTTGCATTCCAAATATTTATTTGTATGCCAAATTTATGACGATTGGCTGAGTAATATCAATACAGCTCCAATATCTATATATTGATTTTCTTTGAAGATTGATGATGGAAAAAGAGATCATTATCCATTTTCGTATCGCCTATACGCCTATCGGATATCTGTATTGATTCCGATAGAATTCTTCATTTAGATATTACAAATTGGATAAATGATATTTAATATATCCATTATTGGACCATTAGATATTGTAATTAAAATATATAGATATTACTATAATATATAATAATATCTATACATTTTCTCTTATTGGGGGTGAATAATAACATACTCCTAAAAAGAGGTAACAAACAAACGAACTCATTTTCATGTTTATATATATAATATTACATTCGAAAGAATCAATTCCAACTCTACTAAGTACCAATACGAGTATTATAGATATTTGTGTGCAAGATCGTAAAGACGCCTAAATAAACAATTGGATTCTATTTCTATGTCACGCGAGCAAAGCCGCAGCTAACAGCTAGTATACTAAATAAAATATCTCGATACTCACACATGTCTAGGTAACATCAATAAACTCGCCAGCTGATCATTAAAACGTACAAAATCGAACGATGACGCTTAGCTGTGAGAGTGAATAATTTAGTAGTTCTAGCGACTTACACCACGGAAATAAATTCGACGACGAACAATGGTGGACTGTAATAGCCACCTTATATTGGGTAAAGTGGTCATTGTTTAGGTATCTCGAATACTTATTGTGGAGCTGAGCATCATTTATATAGTGGCAATATCCAGCAACTTTGGCTGCGTCACAGAGCATAATATAGATAGATAAATACTCTTTATTGTTTCCTCCAAAAGATTACAACAGTAAACTTATTATAAATATAAACAATTACAAGAAATAATCACAATGAGAAAACAATGGGCGACCTTATCGCTAAGAGCGACCTCTTCCAGGCAACCTTTGGACGGAGAGGAGTAATTATAAACAATTTGGTGGGAGGCACGATGAAAAATTTTGTATAGGATTTTATGGAAGAGTTTAGGTAGACAGTACATAGCATATTTGTGTATGAAATTCCATTTAAATTTGCTTAGTTCTAAAAGTGTGTCATAGTACAAAATTATACACTAAAATTAGCCTTTATTTTCTAGTATTAAAACATACAACTTTTTAAAACTTTGTGTTTGAAAGATTCAAGATAATAATTTGACTTACATCGAAATAAGTTCTTTTCATTTTTTTATTTCTTAGGTACATGGCTCTCCTCTCGTATTGCAAGTGTTTTTTTTTTAATGGGTGATAATAGAATGGTAGCCCCACCCGCGCTATCGGTATACACCGGCGGGGCACCAGTGAGGGATGATAGGTGAGGATGAAGTAGGCCAGTTAGCCCATCGTGACGAATTCAACAAGAATTGTTCACGATGGTTTCCAGGGGGAACCACGTGGAGGTCCACCTAATAGGACATATTGCTAGCAATGTCGAACTCCATTGCTAACAATCCCTTTCCCCCCATATTGCAGGTGTTCATAGGGTGAAGGTAGCCGCTTTCCATCAGGTAGACCGTCTGCTCGTTTGCCTACTTAACAATAAAGAATTTAAAAAAGACTAAAACAACCAAATAGGGATTTAAATACTTTAATGTACTTAAATTGTATTCAGGTACTGACATAATGAAAATTGTGTTCCTTCAAAAAGGAAATCAGTATAAACACATCAGTACAAGCGACCATGTCATGTAAAACAACGAAATACTAAGTCACTTTTACACTTTGTTATAAGGTAAAAAAAAAATCGGTTATGGCATAATATTATGTTGCTTTGACCTGTGTGGTCAGTTTAAAAGTTTACAATAAAAAAAAATTGGAAAAAGCATAGTACCTTTGGACGCACTACGCTACTCCAGTCTTACATCTCAACATTCTTTGGTATATACCCTAAAATAACTTCCAAACACACCTGCAAATAATATATCACAAAATAAAACAAACCCTTGGTCCCCAGTCAGATCTGGGGGGTTAAAATATACGAATCATATAATTCATTACGTATACCCAGTAGAATTCAACAATGTTTATGACGTGATATTAATGTGTGACACCTTCATAGGCTGGGTTATACGAAATCAATCGTATTATGATTAGCATAAAGTGGCTTTTTAACCCCCGTGTTTTTTTTTAATACATTTCCTCATGCCACCATCAGTCCAAAGGTACAAGTACGTCACCCACCATATTCTGAAAACCACGTAACAAAGCGGTTAAAAATGGGCGTGTAAAGAGCACTTAGTCATATTTGTGACGTTTATCAAATAAAACCGGCTAAGTAGACTTAACAAAAAAATTTTTTTGATAAATATAAAAGTACTCAGTTTTTTTAAACCTAACGTTTTCAAATAATAGTGACAGTATGACGTCAGTGCGTGTTCCTATTTTTATTTCAATTGCGTTCTATACAAGTGGAAACAAATTTTGCAGGAGTAAAGAATGCACGTCTAATATATTTTTTAAAGATCTACTTGAAATATTCTATTGCTCTTTATTCACTAAGCAAAAAAGTAACGGTTTTCCGTTTTAAATATCTTTATTGAAATTATATTCAATCGTTTATGGCATAATATTATGTTGCTTATGTGTACTTTGAAAGCGTCATTTTTTTAATCTATTGCATTGAAAGTGAACGCGGGCTAAGCTGTTCTATATGTAAAAAAAAAGGTTATTACGCGGTTTTCAGAACACAGTGACAACATTTTACATTTAATGTTTGTATAGATATGACGATTTATATAGGATGTAAGGGAGATATTTCCAGAAACCACATTTATATTAGCTCCGACTGTATCTGAAATATAAAGAAAACTCGAGATTCTTATAATTATTTCACATGTGGCATTATTCTGAAAGTTTTCATACGCCCTATTATTTCGGTAACTAAATATAGAATTAATAGAGGATTTTAGGCCTACCGCAGACGACCGACAAATCAGAAAAATCAGTTTGAAACTCGCATCCGAATAATTTTATAAAATTGCAGTGAAACTTTCTTAGAGAACTTAGGAATTACAGGTATACAATTATCCTACGATATATAATTAATTTTTTTTATATGTACTGAGACAGAACGCGGTCTGTTTTACAGGAGGACGTCAAGATTCAGTGGCGACTCGATATCCGAACACAAAATTTGACAGGACCAAAATAAAAAAAAAGAGATAGCCACAAATACATAATCAGTAAAAATATTACAATAATAAATTGGTATTTCCAATTTATTAAAACAGAAGTTAGTAATTAGGTTATACCAACTCCCGCTGAGCAGATCCTTCAGACAAGTGGCAAATGAAATCATTTTTAAACAAGCTTTGATACCACACGCAATGATGCTATTAAAAGAAAAAGATGAGACACGTTGCCTTGCTCATTATCTGCTGCCGTATAAATGTATTTAGAAATTGATTCATTTGCTAGATGGGATCGCATTTTCAACTGTAGAATAAAATGACCTTTGTTCAAATTGTGATGCATATAGTGACAGCTATATGTTTTGGGTATAATGAAAGTAAGTTTTAAGACAATGCAACAAGGTTTAGTTTAGCTTTTGACCGGACAACAATCGTTGCACTCACCGGAATTCGGGCTATTAATTTTATCAGTGCACGAATGATGTCAGTGGCATTATGTCACTGAAAAATGACGATGCAAGGTAAAGTATACACAAAGTCATATAGGTATTCCGTGAACAATAATTGATTTTATGTTTATTATAAACTCAATACAAAAAGAGATTTACGTAATAATTAGTCATCGTACAATATAACGTTTATATATAAAAGTGGATAACAGGATTTTTTTGTGAAGCGTCACTCCTCGTTCTTAGAATTGTACTAAAGAATTACAAATTTAAATTGATAGTTTAGTAAAAGGTTTATGTCACGGACCTTCGAAAATTAAATGCAAATAAATATTCTAATTCCATTCTTTCATGAATTTAGTTTGATAAGCTCTTTAGACTAATAAGTTGCAATGTAGAAATTTAATTTAAAATTTAGTGATCGAGAATGACGCTTCAAAGTAGATCCTACTACAAAAAAGTTTGTCCTGGAATTAAGTAGTATGCATAAATGCACTTCATGGCATTGTCAATTTTGAGTTAGGTAATTTTTTATCAATAGCGTTATAATACAACGGCCTCTGGCAGTGTTTTCATCGTCTTATATTAATAATATGTAGTTCGTTTGTGTGTATATATATATTGGTGTTGTGGGTAATCATGGGCGGCCGTAGTCACTTACAAAAAAAAAACGAAAGAAAAGTGAATGATACTATCTTCACACCAACTTCCTTACCAGCTCGCCTGCGTTATGTTCTTCGAGAACGTTCCACTGACTCGTATGTATTACGCAATGGGTATCTGGTGTTCTATTTAGGCGGGTAAAAAGTACGCCGAGGGTTGTCGTCGAATTTAAAACGATAAATCAGTCGTCGCGTTAGCCGTTCTGGCATAAGCGCACATTCACGTAATTCTTTTTCGTGCCTGTAGGTATATTATTTGAAAAAGCCGTCCATGCATACGCGGCATACTGCGGCTAATTTTGTGGGCTTTATATACGAAGCATTAATAAAACTAAGTACGCAGTGATGGTATTAAACCATAATTCTGCACATAAACTAAATACAAGGCGAAGTTGAAATCATTTGCATACCTTTACGAGTCTTTCAGCAGTGCAGTATCTTTCCAATACTGAATTTGAACCGAATAAAGCAATATAATTCCTCACAAATTCTTCTGTCCTTTTTATTTACACTTAAAATTCTCTTTTCTTACGTACTCTTAAGGGAGTGTTCTCTCAAGAAAGTAGAACATTCCTTAAACGAGTAGACAGCAACAAATAATTCAGAGCTTCTGATAAAATAAGTTCACTACTAGACGCGCTGTATTTGTATGGATAACTCGAAATATTTACTTGCATTTCGATTAACGTTTCTATGAAAAAAAAAATCAACTAACACTGGTAGAAAAAAAAAAAAAAACTTAATAGCATAATAATGATTTCAATTTTACCTGTATAATGAAATAAAATTTAAAAAAAATTAGGGATTTTGTTAAAAGCCAACAGCCATTGACATAAATATTGTTAAATAAAAATGTTTTAAGACATTATTATTATTATTATTAATTGTAAATATTTATAACCCTGTATATCTTGTGTAGTACAGTCATCGAGGACAAAGATTTAATATTATATAATACATAATAAATTTATATTTAGAATATGCTGGCCATCTAAATGACAGGAAAGAGTCACTTACGAGAACATGTTAGACATAGTACCTATATTGTATTTTTAATTATCGCATGTCGAGTACACCACTAACTGATATGATAGGCAACTGAAATTTTTCTACATTTGTACAATTTTAATTTTAGGATTTATTAAAATATTACATTTTTTTTAAAGTAGGTGAAATTGAGATTAGTAGTATTTAAAACTTTATCTCCTAATATTGAAAATACTAAACAAATTACGGAAAACTACATTGACTTTCATACCTACTTATATTATGCGTGAAAGAGGTTTTAGTCCGCATGGTCCGCATACCAGAGGGAGACTGTACAAAAGTCGATTGCTTGGGTACCTCTGTCCCATTCGTGTTTCAACCGTGAAGCAGTTGTGTTTGCATGGTTGTGTTTCGGTTTGAAGGGTGGGATATGACGTGAATTTACTGGGTACAGAGGAATAACACATGAGTCCTCGGGAATGACAACGTATGGGGGGTATCATGGGCGAAACAGTATACTCTGTTTATCCATGGTACTGCTCATGACTATAGGCGACGGTTACCACTTTCCATCAGGTGGGCCGTGAGCTTGTTTGCCATTCTAAGTTATATAAAAAAAAAATGGTTTTTACCTATAAACTGCTGTATGGACTTTTATTAAATAATTGAACATCGAGGAAGGAAATAGCACGTTTTACTAAGAGTATGAAATAAGGTAAAAAAGGTACACTAATATGTAACAATACAATAATTTGATATTTTACAATTAATTGTTAATTACAATGGTTGTAAAAACACCGACCGATTGCTATTAACGAAAAGAATAAGTACTAATTGTACACGGATGAAGTCGCCGATAAAATATTCGAATAAATAAAATGGTGGGCACATCAGATTGTTTGTACATAATACAATAAACACGGCGCACACTATAAAAACATTAGGATTTGTCCTGCAATGTCAAGGTCGCAAGGTCAATGCGCTCCTCACTACCGCGACCGGCCGCAACGAATTGCCTGTTACGTAATTTAAGGGCCCGCGCATACGATCGACATTTTTATTTGATCAAATAAAAAATTCCTTATGTGTAAACCATACTTTTGAACAACAAGTACACGTTGTAGCTTCAAATTTAGTAGTTTTGTTATGACCGACCGTGTGGTCCAGACATAGAATAAGCTGCCCCTTTATTCCCCGTAGATACACTAAGAGGCGACTAAGGGAACTTAATGATCGAAGGAGCGTTCCTCTTCAAACGTCATCAATGTCTAACTGGGGTTGCTAGCCCGCTGCCACTATTAGCAAAACCTCGCTAACGGCTGACATCATCACTACCATTATGACCGGATTAAAATATACGCCGAGGATTGTTTCATCGGAGTTAAAAATATGGGAAGATTTTAGATTAATGCATTGTTCGCTATAATCCATGTACCTATATCTTCATGTCATCTAAATTACTAATGCAAGATTTGTTTTAAATAGATATTGAATTATATATTGAACTTTATGGGAAACAACTATTTATGGGATTCTCTGCCAGGCAACCATGTACTTACTATGGTTATAGTGAAAAATATGCTGTGCCAATTCCCACTGGTATCTCACCACCCATATATGTAAATAGCGAGTTGTTCCACATAATTGCCCCTTCAAATCAGCAAAAAATCTCAAATAATAGAAAAATATCTGAAGGCCGATAATGACACGCTGATTTTATATCACGGGTAGAATCTAGTTTTAAATACTACTAAAGACAACAATTTCGTCCTATCTGTATACCTATGTAAATCCTATAATCTATTATTTATCTAAGATTTAACATAAGTAATTATTTATTTTTATAGATATAAACCTACTTTGTACATTGTTAAGGTGAATTTACATTGGATCGGTTACGGGCAAAGGTGTGGGCGCCAAAAACTGCCTCATTTAAATGGAGTCAGTTGTCTGACTTATAGGATTTATCGAGTCAGTGCAGACTTCTTTAAAATTAATTTACACGACGGTAGTGTGCGTTTTCATAATTTACCGTAGCACGGTACGATATAGTACAATTTTACCGTCACGATATAATAGAAGAGCAAAATTTATGTAATTGTATCGAGACGCTATAATTATTTTTTTATAACGTCCTTAATATTATTATGAAAATTTAAATATTCATATAATTGCGTATATTTATTTATTTACACTTTATTGCACCATTTATAAAAATAATAAATACAGTAAATTTTAATTAGAAACGATACAAATGGCGGCCTTATTGCTAAGCAATCTCTTCCAGACAACCTTGCATACATTTTGCTCTTCAATTATATATTGACGGTAAAATCGTATGATATCGTACCGTGTCATGATAAATTATAAAAGCGCCCAATATGGGTCAGCACTGACTTGTCTCTAGTTTAGAAATAGCAAAGAGAAATGTCTATAAATCAGCTGAATAAAATTAAAACATTCTAATGCTGATAGTATATCTAGACAAATTATTCGATTAATTTGTTTACATTTAGTCAAATCTGCGTTGACTAGAATCTTATAAATTTTGTTCGTAGCTTCTACAATATATAAACTAAGCTTTTACAAAGACAGCCCCTATAGACAAGTGGCAACCAAATCTATCGGTAGACACGTAATCGCTGTCGTGTGCATGAGATAGAACGAGACTGGTTACGTTAGTTCTCATGTGCGCGGTAATGAAAACATATCTAAGTTAAAAATATATTTAAGGAAAACTTTAATTTTTTGTTTGTAATGGTAGTAGTAATTATTACCTTAGTACTTAGCAGACTTCAAAAATTATTTCTTCTATAGAAAGCTACATTATCAGCAAGTAACAAAAATGTTATATTAAAAAAAAAAATTAGAGGTCGTTATCCTATATCAGTATGAAGCCCGGGTGGGTCACTAGTCTACAAATACATTGATTTGTCACTTGTCTAGAATGGCACGTTTGTTGTAAATACCCATGAGTATGGGAAACATTGTAGCCAGATGAGTGAAGCAATGGAATTCGCACCTATTATGTTTATAAAATGACTCTTTCCGATTATTGCTCATATTGTAAGCTGCTTAAAGGCAAAACTTATGGAATAATTTACTCAAAGCAAGCATGCTGTCATAGTCATCATTCATCAGTTCAATAACATTTTATATATATATATATATATATATATATATATATATATATATATATATATATATATATATATATATATATATATATATATGTGTACAAGATATAAATGTTATATATATATAAGATATACATTGGATGTATACAAACTATTTTAAATATTTAGAATAATCTTTTGTTGTTTATATTATAGTGTTATATTATTATATTAAATAACTTTTGTCCTATATATGTTACTGTAAAAGCCTGCACATGGGTAAATCTTAAGATTTATCAGTATATTTTAGGATTTGCCAATGCGGGTTGGTTAATATGAGGATTTTATAAGAACAGGATCATTTTTATATCTTACACCAAACCAAACCTAACCTAACCTGCTGGGGGGAAAGGGATTGTTAGTAATGGAGACTGAGAATCCCATTGCTAGCAATATACCCAACCAGGTCGACCTCCTTCGATTCCCCCTGGAAACTATCATGGTTAATTCCTGATGAATTCATCATGATGGGCTAAATGGCCTGTTTTCATTCTCATCTATCACCCTTCACTGGTGCTCCGCCAGCATATACCGTTAGCGCAGGCGGTGTTACCATACCATTTTCACCCATAAAAAAAAAACCTAAACTACTCTTCTAATCATGAGCATGAACATCAAATGTTCACAACTAGAACTGTAAAAGCCCAAATTACGATAAATCTCAAATTTTCAAATTAAGGAATTACATTGTAATATGGGAATTATGTAATAAATAAGATATGACAGTTGTATATAAGCATTGCTGTGGTCCTGTGAAGTTTTTGTTAAAACACAATGGTCTTTGAATAAGATATTGTCAATTAAAATATGTATCTTGTTTTTATAAAATCCTCACATTTACCAACTCACATAAGTAAATCTTAAGAATTACTGATAACACTTGAGATATACCAATGTATATCAATATAATGGGCTTTTACAATAACATATATATGCATTCTAGTAATTTTTTGAAATTATACTAACAGGACTTGGTTAAAGTACAAACTTCTGACTCGACAGCATACTTTTATATTAGTGTTAACAGTATTTGTCCTTTGATTTGTTTAAACAATCCTCTAATAAATCAAAGAAGCTTGCAGTACAACCATATAAAGCATTGATTTCACAATCAACACACAAAGTATTGATAATTTTTATCTGTATAGATAATAAAGTTTATTGGATTAATAATCTTAATTCCCAAATGACTTGACATCCATCTACATGTTATGGATGAAAATTTCTCAAAGATTTGGTAACAAAATATTATGACATTAATTTCTTAACTTCTTTAAATAAGTGTGCTTAATGAAATATTCAGATCTAGATATTTCACATGAGAAAAAGAAATAGAGCTAAAAATTGGCATAATTTGGCTTCTGTAGAGTATTTCCAATCTTCAATATCCTTTGATTTCTTATTAATAGTACTCATTACCGAGATAATATCATTCATATAAATACTCTACAGTAAGAATGAAGCTGAATATAATAAATTGTTTAATTTAAATTTTAAGATTACACTGATGACTTTATTGCAAACAGGTAAGTAAATGAATTTTAATGATTTGAACTCGAATTAACAGTCTTAATTTGTGTTTATAATAACACAATGTTAATTTATTTATATATTACTTAGTACTTTGTTTATTTAGTACTTGTACTTTAATATGATGATACATTATAGTACCATAATGGCAATTATTGCAAAATCAAAACATTGGACGTAATCAATATAAAATTGTACATATTTTTTTTCTAAAATAAAAGCAATGAGTTGACATATTATAAAATAGGAATTAAAATAAAAATTTATCTTTACAGTCACTCCCATTCACACACAGCAAGCATTAACATTTTTACATTAAAATGTGTAAACATTCACCAAATTAAAGCTTTTGTGTATGAGGTGGCTTGAGTTCGTGCGCTCGGCCACCCCAGTCCAAACGGTAGCAGCGAGTCCTCCACGAGATTTCCGGGCTAAACAGTGCAGTGGCCAGCACAAATGGCGCACAGCACTCGCTCCACACCCAGCCGAGCAGGAACTGCACTTTGGTGAACGGAGGCGAGCCGTTCTGTACCGACCGCAGCATTAACCAGTCTGACAGGAACCACACTAACACATGCACTAAGAAGAATGCTAATGGTTCCGCACTAAATAACTGTCCAGCGGCCCACGCGGCGCCGGCGCCGAGCGGTAAACATTCGCTGAGCACCTCCAGCATCGTGGTGGTCGGCACCATCGCGATCCGCAGCCGTGCCCAGCGCGTAAGGCGCGCCTGCAACGCGCCCACCGACCGCGAGCCCGCGTTCTGCAGCGCCGGCAGCGACGCCACCCGCATACGCCACCCGCGAGATACTATCGCCTGTGCCATGAAATAGTCCTCCGCTAAATAGTCCGCGAAAGCCGCAAGGCCACCCACATCGTCCAGCGCTTCCTTTCGCACCAACGACGACATTCCAACGTGACAATTGATTCCTAGGAAGTCCGCGCATAGGTACATCCGTGCCTGTGCTGTGCCAAAGTACACTTTTTCATATACCGCAGCGAAGCCTTCGGCGTCACACGCGAACGGCATCTGATGCACTATAGCTACGTCGTCTCGCATGTGCTGCACCATGTCTAGTAAAGTATCTTCGCGCATCCGGATCCCGGCATCGCTCACAAGCACGAGGGGGTATTTTGCTGATAAGTATGCGGGTTGCATATTATTTATTTTAGGGTTTACTCCTACCCGCTTCCCGCCTTTGAACAGTTTCACATCTACATGGGGATACTTCGGCTGTAGGGTCTGCTGCACTAACATTACAGCCGGATCATCTTCACACTCCACACAGAATAGTATCTCGTACATTGGGTAATCTAGGGTGAAAAATGTCTCGAGATTCGATAATAAGTTCGGGTCGATACCAGTAAGTGGTTTTATGATTGAGATGCCCGGGTACGGCTGTTCAGGTGGCGACCGGTCCACTGTTCTATGCAACTTCCACTTTGAATATGAAAAAGCCATTATGTGAATTAACCACAGACAAACCCATGCGATCATAAAAAATATGGCAAATCCATACACCGTATACACAATAGGCATCATAATTGTAAAATTAATATGCAATTTCTTCGTTCGGACCACATAATATCGACTGGTTTCCGCTGGAGTCCGCGAAGAGCGTACTAGAATAACGCTAACGTAACACCGACTGACTGTTCACTGAATTGACTCGAAATAATTTACATACGTGTGGAGCCATCGAGCACAATTCGAAGCTACGCGCTCCGTTATTTGATTCGACATTTTCTTATCGCGTCATGAAGCTGTTTGACAAAATTCTATTTTGTATTTGTACGTCCGGTCCATTTACAACAAAGGGCAAATCAATCGTCAATCAATTCGTTGCAATTCATTCGTTTCATTCAGTCCCGTAGATAGATACTTCCAGTTATAATACCATTACCTTCTTATTCTATGTTACATTAATTCCATAGATGAAGTACTAATTAGTCTTTAGATTCAGAATAAATACCAATAGCATTCTTATTCTATGAAAAAGGCTCACATAAGGATTCATTCTGAAGCGTCATTTTTATGGACTTATTTCTAAAATTATAATTTCAAATTGATATCAGAGCGAAATCTTTATTTTAAGGATTGATATAAACTAAATTTCTAAAGGATTTAAGTCAACATTATTATAAATTTAGTTTTTGATAGTCCATAAAACAGTAATTTTACAAATTTATCAATTTAAAATAACAAGTTAAGGAATGTTCAGAGAAATGGTGACTAAGAATTGATTCAAATTTTTTTAGGAGAAGCCTGAACGAAGATAGCGTATTGCGATCATAGAGTTTAACATTTGTTTTTAAAGAGGCAATAGTTTTACTCTTCTAATTTGTTTCTATTCGCGGGAAAACTAAAATTGAATTGCATCTTTTTTTCGAATTTATATAATTAATTATCTAATTAATTTTTCATTATGGATGTGTATAATTTATTAAGAGATATTAAAAATTTGAACGATTATATTTATGCAACCGAAGATGCTTGTTCAGATTTAAGAAATATGAAATTATTACTCAATATGTCGACAATATTAGATTTGAAAAAAATACGAAGTTTGGAAATTGAAGTAAGCTTCTTTCGAGGTGTATCAAATAAAAATTTTATGAAGCTTTTTTTATAGGATCTGTATTTTAAAATATTTTTCAGTACTTCAACTTCCGAAACTGTAATGGGGCTGCTTTTATTATTATAGAAAACATGTTAAAATTACCGCCGTCGAAAACATGGGGTCTTCTTGGCAAAGACCTCATTTCATTACTTCAATATTGGTTAGAAGTTCTACGACAACAATTAATTAAAAGTAGTAAATACTGGTGGATATTTTTAAATTGTCTTCTGAAATTTATTAAGGTAATATTATTTCAATTGATATAAAAATACCTATCTTTTCACATTATAATCTTTTCATCACTCCTAAAGACATCCTAAAACCGTATCTCTTGACTAATATTTTTAAATATGAATTTTATCAAATTGATTTTTCCATGTCCAGATATTACGTCAAAAAGATCAAGCTCTTCCAGACATTATTGTGGAAGGTTTAGCTGAATCACTTCTAGATTTGGCAACTAGTGATCACCCAGATATACTGCAGAGGCAGGAAATTCTAGCCTCTTTAAACCTGTGTTGTGCAGAGTCAAGCCGAGACATACGATTTGCACTACGGCATCACCTTGATTGCTATTTGTAAGAAAATAATGTGTGCATCAATACATGTAATAAAAATGTAACTGATCGCAGTCTGTACATGGAAGATATATAAGAAAAACTATTATAAGGGAGCTTAATGCAATAGAATAATGATTTTAAGAATTTTTGTTTGTTCATCTGTATGTTTGTGTGCGCTAATCTCAGAAATGGCTTAACCAATTTGAATGCGATGTTTACTAATGTGTTGCAGTTAGCTCCACTTAATATTTAGTATTTGTTTAATTTCAAGCGGTTCATAAATAATAAAGTTATGTCAATGTAAAGAATCACTTATAAAATACTATAAAATGACCGATCTGTTGAATTGGCTGAAACTTTATGAAGGTATTAAGTACGTAATTATCATTTAAGTATATAATACAATATAAATCCGGATTCATGAAAAGTTCCAATGGGAATGACATATGGGAAATACATAGAAACGGGCAACGCCGCGGGAAACGCCTAGTTAAAAAATAAATATATCATTTATGCCTATCCACCTACTTTATTCAAATTATGTGTTTATTCAGAAATTACGCATTACTATTGCAATATTATTTATGGCAATAATGTTTTGTATGATTTTTTTATGATTATAAGTAATTAATTTTCTATGTGCTTAAATCTCGGAAACCTCCTCCTACTTCTTTCGTAGTTCTTTATCTAAAGTTCTTCTAGTCTATTGTTTTCGACCTATCTTCTCTTTTATTCTGTCCTTTTTCACTTTTCTTAGTTCTTCACTATTAAACATATTAATAATAGATACATTACTTATGTTGTTAAAATTAAATAAAATATAGAAAACATATATGAAATGTTTATTAGCATCAAGCTTTCTGCCCTCTTGGCCACCTGTGGCCATCATCCTACCCAGTACAGCATGCTGGAGACACTACTCCGCTGGCTGCTACCTCGACAGAACATGTCTGTCAAGCAATCGGCAGCCGCCAAATGGTTCCCAGAGCATACATATCAGAGGAGCACTGTGGATTTGTTTTTGAAGAGACCATGGCAGAACTTTTTTCAGGTATATAATTAATATTATATTTATTTATTTATTTGTTCCTTATTGCACAATCAATTTTGTATAAATGGAGAGCTTAAGGTCATACGGCGTACTCTGCCATTTAATGATTAGGTAGAAACAAAAGGCTTTTGAGGGCAGTGGTGGTGAACAAACATTACAAAAAAAATTAACTTTAAACATAAATTGATATAATATAACTAAACTAAACTAGCGACTCGCCCCGGCTTCGCACGAGTGCAAAGCTAATACTATTGCCGGCCCCCCGGCCGGTACCGTCGCAACCGCTATGTTCCTGCATTTGAAATCAGTAATATCTTCGAAATTAATCATTTAAATTATATGCTGTAAGAGGTCATTTTGATCTATATTAAATACACAATGTATTTAAGGTACTTAATTGATAAGGATTAATGATGTATTGCTTAAAATTGTTTCATAAATAAACCATTATTTCTTGTAAAAAGTAAAGGATAAGAAATGGTTATTGTGGGTTATCCTTAAGACATAGATATATACCATCGGAACTTTTTTGTAGACCTTCTTAAGGTGTATAATACTGTAACACATTATAAAGTAAATTAATCAATTTTAATTCTAGGACGCTAGAGATTTTCTGAACTGTCACAACGCGAGCAGGGACCTGGTTACGTCAGTTATCTGTCGTAAACTCACTGTGGGTGATTTGATGATAGTTTCCGTAAGTACTTAATGGCATAAGATTTTCACTAGAGATTTTCTGAACGACTCAGTTATCTGTCGTAAACTCACTGTGGGTGATTTGATGATAGGGAGGACTCGACTGGGAGGAAAAGGAGCGTACTATGTTTTAAGTGTATGCTAGTATATAAGTAAATGGGGTTACTCTTGAAATAAGTTTTTTTATGCAACTTAGAATAGCAGACAAGCTGTCGGCCCACATGATGGAAAGTGGTAACCGTCGTCAATAGACCTGAGCAGTACCATGGACATAACAGAGTATACTGTTTTGCCCATTACACCCCATGTGTTGCCATTCCTGAGGACTCAGGTTGTTATTCCTCAGTCGTTTATCTATGGTATTGTTTTTTAACCTTTTTTTATGTGCTACAGCTAAAAAAGTTAACTCTCAGACTTCACAACCAATTTACACAAAACTTTAACGAATTATACACTTGTATCTTCCTAGTCTATTGATAAATGAAAACCGCATGAAAATCCGTTCAGTCGTTTTTGAGATTACGGCGGACATACGGACAGACAGACGTGGCGAGAGACTTTGTTTTATGATATGTAGAGATAGTGTATGTTTACTTAGTTATTTACTTTCTCGTCTATACAGAGGAATAACAAGCGCGATTCGTGGCTGGACTTGAATACAGCCAGCAAAAGCATATCAATTCTCATGGACGTACGGATGATGGAGGTTCTTGGGCGACCCGAGCAGCCCGCCTGTGAAACATTGCTAATTTCCAAGGATAAAGTAGAATCAGTTATCCTTTACAGGTAAGGATAGCGTAACCAATAATTACTGGGGGGAAAGGGTTTGTTAGTAATGAGATTTAACAGCATCATTGCTAGTAATAAAGCTTATCAAGTCGACCTTTACGTAGTTTCCCCTGGAAGCCATAGTGGTTAATTCTTGTTTAATTTGTCACTATGGCCCAACTGCTTTCATCTTCACCTATCACCCTTCACTGGTGCCCCGCATTAAAAAAAAAAAAACAATAATAACTATATTATTAACTAGCTATATCGCGTATTGGAGACTGAGAACCCCATTGCTAGCAATATATCCAACCAGGTCGACCTCGTCGCGGTTCCCCCTATCATGGTTAATTCCTGATGAATTCATCATGATGGGCTAACTGGCCTGTTTTCATTCTCATCGATCACCCTTCACTGGTGCTCCGCCAGCGTATTCTGTTAGCGCAGGCGGGGTTACCATACCATTTTCACACATCAAATTAAAAAAAAAAAAAAAAAAAAAAAAAAATATATATATATATATATATATATATATATATATATATATATATATCGCGTATTTTTACCGCTGTATATCTGTGTAGTGTGTGTATCCATACACTAAGTTAGGATATAACCATATTTCACGCGTGGAACCGCGCAATACAGCTAGTAAAAAATATAATTGTATTCCAAACCTCTTCTTTTTTCAAATCGGTTAAGAAAAAATATTAAGTGCTTTACGATTTTAAAACTTTGAGGACCACTGTACTGTATTGATTGATGGTTCTATTTTCCCAGGGACACAACGGACGTGACGATATCAATAAGAATGTTAACCTGTCCATCTGTACACCCATCCTCGGTGGACATAGAGGGCCGGGACGTGAAGATTGTGGTCAGCTCCAACAGCGATCTAAACAGGTTGAATACAGCTCTACAACGCGTGTTCGCTGAAAAATATCGGGTAAACACTTTAAATTATAAGTAACTCTAATTATCATTATATATATATATATATATATATATATATATATATATATATATATATATATATATATATATATATATATATATATATATATATATATATTTGTTAAGACAGAGGGAGACTTTGTACAAAAGTCGATTTTTTGGTTATCTCTGTACCGTTCGTGTTTCAACCGTGAAGCAGTTGTGTTTGCATGGCTGTGTTTCGGTTTGAAGGGTGTGATATGGCGTGAATTTACTGGGTACAGAGGAATAACACCTGAGTCCTCAGGAATGGCAACGCATGGGGGGTATCATGGGCGAAACAGTATGTCCATGGTACCGCTCATGTCTATAGTCGACGGTTACCACTTTCCATTAGGTGGGCCGTCAGCTTGTTTGCCATTCTAAGTTGTATAAAAAAATATTATACAAATATATATCATAAAAACATATATACAAATATAAATATACATACATACTTATGGATTATATGCGATAACACAAATAAACAAGATGATAAACTGCTTTCACAGCTTCTTTAAAAGATATTCGTAGACTATCTATCTTATCTTATTATACGTAATTTGTAGGTGTCGTTGGACCTAACTGCAATGCAGCCAGCTTCACCACAACCTCAACTTGACACATCTGCAGAAATCGCCAGCGGTTTGGTAAGTTCCTAGATATGCTATCATATTGTTAACAGAGAACCAATAACCTTCAGTAGTTAATGTCCTACCCGTTCAAATAATATAAAAAAAAATTAAAAAAAAAGTCTTTGTGGGTAGTTCAAAAACAACAAATGTCACTAATGTCATTTTATGTTAAAACATAATATTTATCGTATATATTTAAAAATAAAATGTCGGATAAATTTTTTTTTAAATAATTAATAACAGACTAATTTGCGTTAATGTTATAATTTTTATAGATATTTCTAAATAGTGAAATAAATTGGAAATTTATTTTAATAAGCAATAAGGTTATATACAAACGCATAAGTAATATGTGAAATTGTTAATGAAAAAAATGTACCAATCGACACGATGTGTATTAATAAAGGGGATCTATTCTATTAACGCAGGAGGAAGTTACGAGACTATCACATCCTGTGCGGGTCACAAGGCGTAAACAATCAGGTATTGTTTATATTAATTACTATGTAATTATGTATAATATTATAATATATAATTGGGTAATTATGACAATGTGTGCACCTAACCTCGGCGGCCTACAGTCGGGAGAAAGGGATTGTTAGTAATGGAGACTGAGAATCCTATTGCTAGCAATACACCCAACCAAGTCGACCTCCTCGCGGGACCCAATGAAAACTATCATGGTTAATTCCTGACGAAATCATCATGATGGGCTAAATGGCCTGTTTTCATTCTCATCTATCACCCTTCACTGGTGCTCCGTTAGTGTATACCATTAGCTCAGCTGGGATTATCATTCCATTACCATCTATTAAAAAACCTGTACAGTCGGGGGAGTGGGAGATTGTTAGTATTGCGGACTAGTCTTCCCATTGCTAGCAATATACCCTGTCAGATCGACCTCCACGTAGTCTCTCCTCGAAACAATCGTGTTGAATTCCAGGTATATTCATCACGATGGGCTAACTGACCTGTCTTTTCATTGTTACCTAGCATCCCTCACTGGTGTTCCGCCAGCGTATACCGTTAGCGTTACGGAGGGGTTACCATTCCATTATCATCTATTTAAAAAAAGTATCTTCTCCCCTATACGTGACTATTTAAGTTTATTTAGGTTATTGTTACGTTCCTGACTATGATTATACGTAATGAATGTTAATTTAAAATATTTAATTTTGTAGGCGTCATTGTTAGACCCAGGGCGCCGGTGTCACTGAAGTCACCGTCAACTGTATCTACAACGTCGCTTTTACAGGTAATGTAATATTATTTTTAAAATAAGGTAATAAGGTACATAATATTTTATGAGAAACTGAATATATACAGCAAAAGAGCAGTTGAGTTTGCATGACTGTGATTCGGTTTGAAGGTTGGGATATGGTAATGAATTTACAGGGTACAGAGGTATAGCATCTTGTTTCTCAGGTATGGCAACGCATGGGGAATTGTCATAGGCGAAATAGTATATCTGTTATGTCCATGGTACTGTTCATGTCCATTCTATAGGCGACTATTACCATTTTCCATTAGGTGGGCCGTCAGATTGTTTGCCATTCTATGTTGGATAAAAACACAAATATTCATATATATATATGAATATGTGTGTTATATATATATATATATATATATATATATATATATATATATATATATATATATATATATATATATATATATATATATATTTTTTTTTTTTTTTGATACTATACTTTCTTCTTGAAGGCAACCGTCTTCACACTGTGTACTGTAATTTTCAAGGTACCCCTGTATCCCTCACACGTCGCCGTTTCCTGAGGATTAAGATGTTATACCTGTATATTCTGTAATTTTATCGCTATATTTGTTTATTTATTCATTAGTACATATGTGTACATGGCGGACTTAATGCTAAAAGCATTCTCTCCCAGTCAACCATAGAGAAGTGTCAGAATACTCGAATGCGGTACTAGTAATTATTGATATACATACATACTAAAATTACATATATAAACGAATAAATATATATAAATAACAAATATACTTACACATATATAACATATTATTATATATTATACCCGAAATTGAGAATAATATAAAGTAATATAGAATATATCTTAGCACTGTTCAAAGCAAAACACAGCCATGCGAGCACGGCTGATTAGTGGCAGAAACATGAATGGGGTAGACGTGCCTAAGCATGCTTAATGCATCATGCATCATTAATGCTAAAAATATTGGGGGAAAGGGATTGAAACTATCATGATTAATTCTTTATGATGAATTCATCATGATGGGCTAACTGGCCTGTTTTTAATTTTTTTCAAAAAAAAAGCTTAATATTTTTCAATTAAGACTGTCCTAGCGCAATTATGGGGACTGTTTTGCGTTGTTTTGTTTTGATCTTTTAGCTTACTTAACACACCGATGGGCAGTGGCAATCGAGAGTAGTCTGGATATTGCGAAGGCCTTTGATATATGCCTGCGAGACTAACCAGGTCAATACCCTCAAGTTTCGATCTGGGGTGAACAAAATCTTGTCCAATTTAACCCCAAAAAGACACAAGTCTGCGCGTTTACCGCAAAAAAGACGCCGTTTGTCGTATCTCCTCACTTTCAGGGCACTTCCCTTGATAAAAAGTCAAGTCTAGGAATTCTGGGCGTTGATATATCTTGCGACGTCCAGTTTTGCGTCATCGGTTCTCAAAAAGTTAGGAGTGCTCTAGGGGAAACTATCATGATTATTATATCTTTATGATGAATTCATCATGACGGGCTAACTGGCCTGTTTTAATTTTTTTCAAAAAAAAAAAAGCTTAATATTTTTCACGTTTTTTCGTATTAAGACTGTCCTAGCGCAATTATGGGGACTGTTTTGCGTTGTTTTGTTTTGAGGATCTGTTCGTTAATTTAAAAAACGAACTTTTGTCTGACTTGGGTCGTGTGTGTTTTGGGTAGTAAATCCAAATGTTCATAGTTAGTCCCAATTTGAGGATTACACGATTAGTATATTTGTGTGAAAAAAGTCTAATTATTTTTTTCTTACTCAATATAATATTTCAGTTTCAAACGTACAATGCTACAATGCGCGGAACAATATAATGAAAGGCGCAAATGGACATTCGTCACGTTTGTGTGATAGTACGCTATTTTCATAAATACATAAGTAGATTAGGCACACAAAATATAGATAATTAGAATAACCTGGCGTTTCCCTATACTGTACTAAATGTATTAAAAAAATAATCAGTATTATAAAGAAATTAAACAAAAGAGACCGAAAATTATTATGCGGGGAATTCCAGGATATTCTAATTGTCAATATTTTGTTATATATACCTACAATTTTCTCAATAAAATGTTAGAGATGTATGCATTGATCATTATACAATAGCAATTAAGTACTGATCTCTATAAAATTATTTTAGATTAGTTTATCAGTAGGTAACTTTATAATATTATTTTATCAAAATTGTTACAGCTACGAGAAAAACTATCTAATTTGCCTACCTATAGATATGAAAAGGAGACAGCAAAAGTATGCGCTTTTCCTGAACTGTCCAGTGTTAGTGAATTAACTGAAGTTGACGATAGAGAAAGTATCTTCAGCAATATCACGTACAAACGACGTCATTGTGGTCAAAACAATTTTCGAAATTTTGAAAAAAACTCTCAAAGTGACGGCGAGAAATATAATTCTAGAAAATGTTTATCTCCTGTGACAGATGAAGAGCATTCCAATAGTTGCCTATTAGTAGCTACAGTAGGGTCTGATGAGGGTATCATCAATGACACGGTAGAACGCTTGTCAAAAAGTAAAGATTACAAAAATGATAATATAGTAGATTTACTTGTTCAAGAAGCTTTGCAAACTATAGAGACCGTAGTTCAAGACAGTGGTTTATATAGCAACGACAATAGAAAAACACAAGATGTACAAAAACAAACTAATGCCGAAGCAATGGAAAAAAATTCTGAATTAGCAAAAAATGTATCAGTACTTCAAACAAATAATGATACAAAAGTGGTTATACAATCGCACACTGATGATTCAAATGAAATACAAGAGACTCCATTGAATTACGTAAACATAAGAAGAAAGAAGACAATGAATGATGATCATAACAGAAAAGAGCATGTTGAAGATGTTGTAAATAAAAATAAAATGCCAGTATTTGATGAAGAAATAGTTGAAAAGTTCTTTGCGCAACATATAGAAGATAGAGGTGGAAATATTGTGGTAAGTCCCACTCTGGCTAGAAAAATCAATGAAACTAGTTCAGAAGGTAGCAATGAACAATTGGAGACATTTCTTACTTTTCATGATGATTATATGAATGCTGGTACAGTTTATGATATGGAAATAATTGAGTGTTTAAATAACATTGTGGATAAAGTCTGTAGTGATTTGGATAAGTGTGAGGAACTTTTGAATCGAGATATTTCGGGCGCTGATGTAATTAGAACAAAGAATCTTAAATCTGACTCCGAAGAAAATATTCCGTTAGGTGATCTAAGTAATATTGAGAAAAAAACCAGAGCGACACCAAAGAAAAAAGGATCTAAGACGAAGACAAGTATTAAACTTACATTTAACACTAAAAAGGATAAATTAACCAAAACACGTGCAAAGAAACAGAAGGATAGACTAGATATAAAATCTATTAAAAAAATGTCTCCTATTCCTGAAATAAATCTTACTACAGAAGCAGAAGTAGCGAAGAAAGTAACAAATAATGCAAATACTGATATTGGAACAGTATTGTCTCCAGTTAGAACTAGCGAGTTTGATTTGCCATTGATACATAGAAAACGCAAGCTATATTCTCCTAAAGAAGGAGAGATAGAATTAAGAAAACAGATAAGTGAAATAGAACCGCCATTAATCCACGCTTCTGAATCTAAAGATTCAAAAAATATAAACATTAAAACTAAAGGTTACGACTTTTTATCTACTTGTTATAAGGAAATAGAGAAGGAGCGAAATAAGAACGTTCGACAAACATGTTTGCGGAAAACTAGATCTAAGAAAATAAGGACGCCTTCTCCTAAAACACAAAAAATGAATGAACTTTTTGATAAACTAAAAAAAGATGTAAATAACCAAGATGTAATATTAGCAGATAAGAAAACTATTGATAAAGATTTGGCAATATATAATTTTACGAGTGATAGCGAAGATGAGAATTTTATGAAGAAAAAAATTGATATCAAAAAACGTGTTAGTTCAACTACAATCGGAAGTGACTCTACTGTATCTCGCTATGGACGATTAAAGAACGTAGTAAATAGTAATAAAAATACATCTTCGGATGTAATTGTGAAACCTAAGAAACAAGGAAAAAAAGTTGTTAGGCGCAAAAAAACAAAGTCTAGAAAAGCTTACAATTTGGTTGATGAAAGAATGAGAGAAGCTCCCGCTGAAGTTCTCAACACGTCATTTGTGGTCGAAAAACCTGTTATAGTTAATAAAGAACCAGAATTACTATTGGAAGTTGCACCTGAAATGGAAGTTATAACCGAAAATGAAAATAAATCCAATAAAATTTTACCACAAAGAAAGGCAAAGAAAACCACAAAACTTGATATGTCCTTAAAAAAGAAAAAATCTGCAATAAAACCTAACATGGAAGTAATTACTAGTGATGATAGAACTACCAGTCCACTGCCTGGTTTGGTAGTTGAAACAGTAACATATGATAAGGGCGACGCTGATGATTCGGTAAGTACACAAATGATTGCGAAATTCAAGAAAATATATCAAGAAGGTCCAGAATGCCCTTATGAAACAAATACAACACAAAATTTGTTAGATGCAGAAAATGTAAATTACAGCTCTCAACATTTAAATATCACCGATGATTTAAATGAGATTGACTATACCGATATGATTTCTAATACGAAGAAAATGAAAGTGATAATAGAGCCAATTAATACAAATAGTGAAAATAAAAACAAATCAAAGGAAAATACGGAAATAGCTGAACAGTCGAATCAAATTGTTCAAGTAGAAATCCACAAAGAAATTACAAATTCTAAAGTTAAAGATAAGAAAACCATTAATTCAAGTATCCAGTTAATCGGAGGCGAAATTGATAAAGACAGTAATACACAAAAATTAAAACCCAAATCTAGAAAAAGCAAAACATCAGAATACATTCAATATATAGAAATAATGAGTAATACAGACGCAAAATCAGAGAAGTCCATAGCTACAGTAGGAAACTATCCCATTACAGGACACGGGGACTCTGATGAAGCTCCTCCTGATTCAGGAGAATTAGCACAAAAAGTAGACTCTAGAAATTTAGAACTAGAAGACTTAGACCAGTCCATGAAAGATTATTATCTTAAACTACGTAATGAAATATTTAAACCCCTTAACATTGGTTCTAGACGATCCTCTAAGTCAAAAGGTGCACAAAATTTAGACCTAATTGATAATGACGATAAGTCAGAAACTATTAAATCTCCAGTGGTTTCATTGAAACGATTACAATATGATGATATTAGTAAATGGTTGCCGTCAAGAAGAAATTCTTCGGAAACTTCCATTTCAACATATAAAGTCCCGTCTCCCGTTAAAAAAATGCCACCAATAAAACCAATAGTGTCTCAATTTATGCCTTCCAACAACACTAGCTTTTCTAGTGGTACAGACAAACAAATCGAAATTAATATGGATATAAATCCAAAACAAATGATAAATATTAGAAATACTGATAATTTTAAAGAAAAACCAACAAAAATTAATTTAAATGAGTCACTTTCCCCTATGGAAAGTAATAAAGCTACTACGCAAACTAATCGCAGATCTGTTATATCACCCATAAAACTGTTTGACGAATGGGCATTAAAAAATGATAAATCGATCCCAAAATTAAATGAAAAAACAAAAATTGTATCTGTCGATGTACACAATGTGCTGTCCTCACCTGAGATTCAAGTTTGTGATAAATCTAGATCAGATTCATCAATAGAATCTAGAAGGCACACATTGAGCAAGGTCACACGTCGTGTTAATAAACCTCATTCAATTATTACGAGTGTAGACTCTAAAATTAGTTCACCAACAAGAGTGGAAACTAGAAGTGGCTTAAAAAGAAAGCCGGGCAGTTCAGTCAGCGATATTTCCAAAAAAAGAAGAATGGATACAGCTGAGTTGTCCCAAAGCACGACTGTTTCGAGCGTCGATGATTGGCTTAGAAAAAATGCTCTTAGTACAGGTAATGTTTATTTTTAATACAACTGATAAAGCATGAGGTGAAGGTAAAATCAAAATCGATAGTATATTTTAAAAGAATTAATCTACCAGCGAAATTGAATATTTTCACCAAAGAAAAACGACAAAATTTTATGCCTCCCACACTAATTTATGTTCCATTTCTTTTTATAACATTATATGGATAGTACAGGTGATTCTTTGTTTTATTTACCGCTAACGATTTCACCTATATATTTTATCAAATATGGTTCTATTTTGCGAAGTCCATATTATTGGTTGGTTGGCTAGTTTTAAGTCTGTTATCAGTATGCACAAGGAGACTCAAAACAAAAGTCGATATAAGATTAAATGCGCTTCTTATGATAGTAGAGAATAGCATACAAACTGACGTAAAATATTAATATTCGCTTGTACTAATAGCATCGTCCTTCCACTATCCCTTTGTGTTTTTTTAATGAAGTGGTAATCCCGTCTGCACAATCAATATATCGTCATAGTCGTAGAATACTGACGGATCTGACAAAGATTAAATACAAAGATCCGTCAGTATTCTACGACTATGACGATATGCTGATGGGGCACCAGTGAGAGATGGTAGACGAGGATGAAAACATGTTAATAGGCCACCATGATGAATTTTACAAGAAATAACCATGATGCTTTCTATGGATAACCGTGTGGTGGGTGACCTAACCAGCAATATAGCTGTTAAACCCTGTTACTAACAATCCCTTTCCTCTCAGTTTACGTGGCTTACGCGGAATTTTGGTTACGATTTTGTTTTTCGTATTTGCTCTGCTCTCATTCCATAAGCATAATGTGAACCGCTGTTTAAGTCTCTAATCTACATAATCAAATTGTGAAATTTTAAACATCACCATAACACATTTGACACTTGTTAGTATATATTTATCGTTTTCAGCTGGAAGTATAACTCTATCGTGTAGAGATAGCATTCAGAATGTAATGGAAAAGCTCGACACAACGTTGCAAGAGATACATCAGAACACAAGCAAAAAGTAAGTTCTAGTAAAAGTAAGTAATACTCGTAGTTTAATCAAACTTTCGTATTTTTTATGTAACTAGGAATGATAGAAAAGGTGACTATCGTACTGGAAAGTGGTAACAGGACCATGGATTCCGTTGCTATTCCTGAGGATTATGACGTTATGTCTCTATATCTTTTAATTACTATATCCTATGGTTTAAACCGAAATACTGCATGACTGTACAGTTGTTTCGTTTCAAGAATTATAATTGTAAGTACTTATAACAATTTTAAATAATATATTTTTAATTAATCTAGGTTCGTACATATGTTCGTCGATGCCCAAAAACAACTGTGCGAGCAGAAAGCGGAAAGACGCGAGCTTTACAAGCAAGTTTCGTCCGATATAGTGGCTGAGGTGGTTAGAATCATGGATGCCAAGATTGCTGACTTAGAGAAAAGGTATGATTTAATACTGTCAGACATCAGAGGGCGCCACCCTCACACAAGTAGTAGTAGTAATACTGTTAGAAATTTTAATAGTGCAGATCGACAGAGAAGCCGTGAAGATATTTAATCGTTATTATTTGAAACTTGACTTTAGCTACATAGCATACGACTGAAATTGGTATAATAAATTAAACGGTATACAAAGCATCAATATTGCAATCAATAAGTAGTGCTCGTCGCTGCTACTCCATTGGTTTGGGTTGATCTTCATACGGAATTTATTATAAGAAGTCATAAGAAATGCCTAGGGAACCAACCGCGATATAGAAGTTTGAGAAAAGGGAAACTCCAAGTTATAAATAGATAGATATTAATTTCCAATTCCATTCTCCAAAAGTTTACAATACTAAACTTATTATAAATACAAACAATTGCAAGAAAATATTACAGTGAGAAAACTATTATATTCTTTCTCAGCTTGAGAGAGTCTGGCTACAAAATTATTAGTGGGCAAAAAACTCTGCCTTATGTATAAAAATCTAATGGATTATTGATGCCCGTCCGTCCATTTATAATAATAAATAAAATACTGTACTTTATAGGTCGCAAGAAATGGACAACATATTCATAAATCAACTGAAACAGAGAGCCACCGACTTGATTCGTGAAGACTGTAAACAGAAGCAAACTATGGTCGTACTGTTGAGGGAGGACTTGCAAGCCCTTATGAATCAAATGAAAAAGTAAACAATGTTTATATATTGGCATTTCGCTATTGTGTTGTTTAATTGAAGCCAAAAATATTTTAGTAAAAATAATTGTTCGGTTTTTATAATATTCGTCTAAAGTCGAAGCCAAAGATCCAAATATCAGGCATTTTAAAGCACTGGAGCGGTTACGATATAATTTCAGCGTGTAAATTTATAGGCGACTACGTTAAGCTGAATGCGCGCGAAGTCAAGTAGGCACGTTTTGCTGAATGCACGCGTAGTCGACTACGTTTAGCTGAATACTTACGTTTTCAACTACGTTTCGCTAAGTACGCGCGTAGTCAACTATGTTTTGTTAAATGTACGCGTAGCTGACTGTATATCACTGAATGCGCACGAAGCCGACTGCGTTTATCACGTTTTCAACTACATTTCGCTGAATGCGCAAGTAGTCAACTACGTTTAGCTGAATGTACTCGTAGTCGATATGTGGTCGAAACGCGGTAATTCAAAATGATAGGCAGTTGAATAGCAAGTTGAAAGTTCATACAATGATGAATTTAAAATTACTGTGACGTCAATGTCGTCTGTTCTAAAATCTGAAATCTGTTCTAATTCTTGTTGACTTGTACAGCTTAATATAAAGTAGATCTTACATAAAGCTAGGGCCTTACCAATTGTTAAGATAGATTGAATGTTGAACATTTATCATTATTTTTTGGCATCCATCCGTTTGGATTCGGCTTTTGGCTTAATTTGGTCAATGACAATTTGAAACTCTGATAGTGTTATTTGGCTGAACTGTCGGTCAGCCGTTTATTTTAACTTTTCTTATCAAAGACATTTAAAATTTAAGTATATTTTTAATAATAATTTTAAGTAGATAGGTATTATAGTAAACGAGAAAAAACTACTGTGTCATTAATATGTGAGTACCCAAAGTAAGTTACAAATAATTATCAGACTAAATAATTTAATTGTAAGAGTGTAACAGGCTGCGTTGCTAGTGGTGATTTATTTTATCCACTTGATGGTAAAAGGCAATTATAATTTCGTAAAACTGTCACCTGCCAAACAGTTATCTATTTCTAGTTGCAATGTAGGCGTTATATTCAATTTCATCAATTCATAATTAGGAATGCAAATGTTTGAGGGAAGCATAGTATTATATCTATTAATAAAGTTATTCATGTCTATGGACTAACTTTTGCCATAGATTTTTTAATTTTTTTGGAAAAATTCAAATTGGCTGTCAAAGTAGGCATTATCTTTAGCATCTTTGAAATTATTTTCCAGAGATCTGGTTCTTTATAAAAGACTTCTAAAAAGATTCACTTCTAAGTTGAGCTTGTGCCCGCGCCCAGAAGTGGGCAAGACCCAACCAGCTTCCCCTATGTCTCTATGGTTACAGTTTTATCGCTTCTTATTAATAAATGAAGATTCTTCACGTATCTAGTTGATGACACGGAACCGTTTTTCTCGTCTGAAACATTATGTATAGTATAATACATATAATTTTAATTCTGTTATCAATTACTGTTATATTCAGCGTAATGTTCTATAATTTTTGGTTGAGATGGTAATTAGCAAATTAATTTTAATTTGTAAAAAATGGGTTATATTGAATAAGAGTATAATTGTTTTATTAAAGTTATTTTTTAATATATGAAGCGTATTTATTGTACGATAAATTGGTTTGTACCCATTGAATTAAATCTTGGCCGCATACAGCTTTGGAATACGATATGTTAATGAAAGACTTAGTGGTCTAGAAGAGGGAGACTAACTACAGAACTTCTGGGAGGGAAGGGATTGTTAGTAATGGAGACTAAAATTCCCATTGCTAGCAACCAACCAGGTCGACCTCCTCGTGGTTCCTCCTAGAAACTATCATGGTTAATTCCTGATGAATTTATCATGATGGGCTAACTGGCCTGTTTTCATTCTCATAGATCACCCTTTACTGGTGCTCCGCCAGCGTATCCTGTTGGCGCAGGCGGGGTTACCATTCCATTTTCACCCATAAAAAAAAATACAGCACATGGCAATACAGGGTATCCGACATAACATCAGGAATGGCAACGCAAGAGGGACATCATGGGTATCACAGTATAATCCGCGATTTCCATCAGGTAGCTCGTCAAATTGTTTGCCATTGGAAATATCAAGAAAAAAGTGGACAATTGCGTGCTTTAGCGAGCGTAATAAAACACTTTTTTTTTTAACAAAATATTTATATAATAATTTAATATCTTGTACACTTAAAATACTCAACTATATAACACAATTTATTAAAAAAAACCTACACCACAATAGGTCGTACAGGCGCCATCTGACGTTCAACGATTCAGTTTCGAGCAATCTGGAAAATTGTGACGATACGTATTGCAAATATTCACTTTGCCGATAAATAAATTCCTATAATGCTGGCAATATATAATATTGTTTAATTTAAAACACATTATATATATTTTAAATTTTGTATAATCGTTTTAAAACCTATTTCTGTTATGAATTTAACGTTAAACAATTTCCTTATCTACTATCAAAGTAGTAATAAAATCTTTCTGTCACCACAGATGTAAAATGTATAAGGGCAGTATCTTTTCTATCTGAAAATCACTTACATTCTTGTAAAATAAATTTCATTTTATTTCGCTTCTTATATTTTTAAATTCTATTCCACTATTACATATATTATTTATTGCACATATAATACATAACTGTGACGTATTTATTCCAAGTGTTTAGTGGTAAACAGAAAAAAAAGTATGTCCGTATTATAATTACAGGGGGTCTACTATGAAATGAAATCCTGAATTTTCAGACTCAATTTCGTGATTTCGTTCATACCGAAATCTGCCCAGTAAATGGAGCGTTTCGTTCGTTATAAACTCTACCGTAAAAGTCAACAGGAATGATATTTTAATATTTGTAATATATTTAAACATATTATAACGTATGTATTGTGTAATTTTGACATAAAATTTGTGATTCCTTCGACCCGGAAATTTCAGAAAATATTTTATGGTAGGCCCTTTGTACTAGTTTTTCTTGTATGCTACTTTGTATGTATCTCAAACCTAATAAAAGCAATTAAGTTGACGTTTTCTAGATGATGTACTAAGATAAAACATATCAGATTTGAAGTTAGACCTTTAAGAATACAACTGTGTAAACCGCATCCAATTTAGTGAAGTGGTTTTTGTGTGATGTCGGAACAAATTCAGAGAGAGATTTAAAAAATATTGTTTTGACTTCTATTGGTTTTATTAAGAACCCTCTAGTATTTTTTTTACATCTCCCATGCACAGCCATGTCTAGTTACAATTTTACTATACCAGTAAGATTGTTAATATAATTCTTAATATCATCAATAGAAATGTTCAAAAACAACAATACATTCCAACATTGTTAACATACCGAGTTGGCTAATAATATGGGATTTCGTCCAGTCACAATTTCCCATCACTTGTGATTTAAGGTGTTCCATCGCTGATTGACTGATCAATTTCCTCATTACGAAATACATTATATAGTAACAGGCCTTCAGACAAGTAGCAAACGAATCAAACGGTAGACACGTTTTCGTTACCGCACGCATGAGAATGAATCAGACTCGGGATGTTGTTGTCCCATTCTCTCACGCATACGACAGCGAAAGTGTACTAGTTGCACGCATACAGTTTCCATTTGATTATGTGTTCGATTCCAACGTTCACAGTTGTGATTGTTTACATTTGTAATGACACTATGATTCTTCTTGACTATTCGCAACTTGGGCTAGGAACACCTGTTGGGGCTGATGCGGCGCTTGTGAGGATACCTGAAACAATATGTTCATGTTATTATTGCCAATTTAAGAGATGACACCAAACAATTTAAGTAGAGCGTGCCCACCCGACCCCCCTACAAATATCTCTATGGAAACGGTGCCTAAGAATCGACTCCCATGAGTATTCTAACATTGATTCTACATACTTGTATGATCTGTGGTGTTTGCTGCGGTTGTCCTTGTATGATGATTGCCTGGCCAGGATTATTTTGAATCTGTAGTCGTATCATGTTTAGTTGTGCTTGTGAGAGCTGGATCTGTAAAAAAAAACATTCATAGACATATCACATAACGCCATCTATTTGTAAACTAAGCAAAACTTGTATTATGGTTATTTGACAACTGGTACTAGTGTACCAGTACATAAATAAATTTTTGTTTAATAATAGAAAATTCCTGGTGATTATAAAAAGAAATATCTGTAAATACAAATGTGCATATTGTGTGGCGATTAACAACGATATATGCGTGCATTTCTTATGTGTAGGTATATTATATTTATGTTATGTATTGCTTTAATGTGTTACTATAATTGTCACATATTTTTCACCACATCTGCCCTTTATACGCTTTCTGTTTTTACCCAATGCTTAGCTGGTAGAGAATGCCATATGGCATTAAACTCGCCATTTGTACAAAGTTTATTGTGTAATAAAGAATAAATAAATCAATTAAGAAATATAGCCTAAAATAATTCCACTTTGTCTGTCTGTCCCAATGAATGTAAAATATCCCAATGATCAGTCAACTTTTGACAGATACATAATTTTTTCAACCGACTTTAAAAACGTCAATTAGATTGCATTTATTTTTGTTACCTCATTACTCCGTCATTCATAAACTGATTTTGAAAATTATTTTTTTATCTGAAAGAGCATACTTTTAGATTGGTCCCGTGGATGTTTTATCAAAATCGGTTTAGTACTTTTGCTTTTAAATCAAAATAACTTGTCACGATTGAAGTCGATGTTATCTTTTGTGGAACAAAACGTCGATTTTCAGCCACTGACCCTAAAATGATTTAAAACTGACGTCTCATTTGAGTCGCAGACGTCACCTTGCTACCTGAGATTTCATCATAATTGAAATGACTTTTTTTGTCAAAAAATATCATAAATTATGGCATATTTTTTATAAGCAAAATATCTAGATAGAGCGACGACGTTAAATGTGTTGCAGGGAGTCAATGGATGCAAGTAGCTCCAGGAGCACTCTTGTTCATGATTCGTGTAAAATTACCGGTAACTGCTGCAGTTCCCCGGAAGGTGTCAACACTTGTTGCACTAGCGTGACTGGCTGCGGTGCTGACACCACGTTGTTGGATGATGAACCCGCGCTCGAACTCTGCAAACATGAGCAATTGTTTATAAAAATACTTACAAGAAATATATTATAAATAATGTCATGTTTCATTCAATTTGGGGAGAGAAATAAAAATTTATTTATTTATTTTATCAACTGGATGAGCTTTACAGTCTCCCAATACGTTTACCAAGGAAAGTATCAGTACCGTAAAACATATGTATAATTAAATGTAATAATATTAATTAGATGTAAATCACAATATAACAATAATACAAATAACATAATTCTTTGAACACAAACATTCTGTGGTCATCCAACGAAACATAAAATATATTATAGTTGTAAAGTAATTGGATAGAGAATTCTTAACATCAGGAATGGCAACGCGAAATTGGTACTGTACGAATTCTGTGTGATAGATATATCGTAATGTTCATTTTATATTTTGCCGCTCCGGGCAGAAATATATTAGCGATTGCCCGGAGCAGCAAAATACAGCATGAAGATAAATCATGGCGCTCCTTATAATTTACGACTATTATTTCGCAGTGAATTTAATTTGCCGCGAATGACTCGATATTTTGCCCGGCTAGCGTTACCCTACATGGACTACTAGTTTCCATCAGGCGGGCCTTCAGCTTGTTCGTTAATTATTCTTTATTATTATTTAAATACGTACAGTTTATATCTTAATTATCATGTATTAAAATTATAATATAATCAATATTGCAGACAATTATATAAAATAATGTAATATTTAGAAATTTCCTATATAATTTTGTTTTGTTTTTTTATTTAACTTTCTTTATGTTTATGTTTCTTTTTATGTTTAATTTTGTTCACTAATAGTTGCAACCGAATGGCTTTGTTGCAGTCGCATTTATTATTGGATCATGCTGTGTGCACATGTTGTGGCAAGTTTACCTGATCAATACATTAATGTACTTGCATGTTATAAATTAAGTTTGTATTTGTAAACTTCTGTTATGTGCGCCTAATGAATAAAATAAACAAAATGAGCGTGAGACACAAAATAACTGTTTCCCCTAGTCCAACTGAAGAATAGGAGAACAAGGAATACCATGTCCTCGTGCTCCTACCGATACAAGAATGAAGAACCCTTCTAGTAGGTGAACGAGGAATACTATTTCCTTGTACTCCTACCAATAGGAAAGTGAAGAATCCATTGCTTCTACTAATAGAAGACTGAGAAACAAAGTGCTCACGTTCCCCCATTTAGTAGGAGAACATAGTAGGAGCGCGAGAAAATGCCGTTTCAATGTATTTAAATAGTCGTACTGACCTGTACGACTTGAGCGCACGGCTGCACGACGATCTGCGGCTGCGTGGTGGCCTGCAGCGCCGCCTGGTGCTGCTGCGCCAACTGCAGGTAGTACTGTCCACACTCAATACGTCACACATAGTCATATACACTTGGTGATAGAGAATGAAGGAAGAATAAGAGGAATTCAATATATAGATATCGGATCGGTTACTAAACTATGACTGGTTACTTAACGGTTACAACGGTCGCCTAAAGATTATAAACAGCATATCCCATCATATGGGGAATATTGCAAGTTAGCAGTTGACGGTCCACGTGATGGAAAATAATAACCGTCGCCTATAGACATGCGTATCATACAATACATTGTGACGCTAATGCATTGCCATTCCTGAGGTTACAGCTCGGTTGCCCGTGATTTCAGTGGTATTTTAATAATAACATAGATTGATTTATTTATATATATATATATATATATATATATATATATATATATATATATATATATATATATATATATATATATATATATATATATATATATATATATATATATATATATATATATATATGTATGTATATGTATATATATATATATATATATTTGTTTATATATAATAGTGGGTCACCTACCCTACCCTTTGTTTTTATTTCTTTTCTCAATGTCCTAGGTTGTCTGGAAGTGATTGCTTAGCAATAAGGCCGCCTTTTGTATCAATTCTTATTTTACAATTAAATGTATTTACTATACTATAAATGGTGCAATAAAGTGTAAAATAAATTTTAGTCTTCACTAATTGCATGATTGTTACTTTAGTATACATTGACACTTATCTATAAGAGCTGTATACACACACCTCTAATTGATATGTTCATCTAGCCTTAAGCTTAGAATGAAAGAAATATTTTTATTCAAGTAAACTTAGATTTAAACATTTTTGAATAGTCATTTTTTTCACTTACTTACTTACTTATAATATTGTACATAGTCCGTTTAATTACTGTAAACATATTGTTGGTGTATCTTTTATAAATAAATAAATAAATTTGTACAACTTCAGCTATGTAAGCAAGCACAATTGCTTATTAGCAGAAATCCGAGTTGGATAAATAGAGAATACCACGCGGGTGATTTTTTTTACGAAGTCTCTTTACACATATCCCATATATACCTAGTCATAAATGAAATAATAAAATCCTATTAATATTATAAATGCGAAAATTTGTAACGATTTATGAATGGATGTTTGTTACTTTTTCACACAAACACTATTTGACAGATTTGTATGATAGGTAAGTAACTAACTCAAGTCATAGAATACTTATGTACTGCTTCTACGGGTAAAGCTATAAAAATAGCTAATAAAAAAAAAATTAAATGGGAAGTAGGGGTGGGTTATATACAGCAATATCTATATACATATTTTAGTTACAATATATACTAGTCCAATAACGAATATGTTAAAAGTTTGTTATCCAAAAAATAATATAGAATAACAGATTTTTAACATATTCGAGAATAGATATCCGATTGATATGGGCGATATTAAAATGGTTAATGATTTTTTCCGCCATCAAAATCCAGAGGAACCAATATATAGTCATCGAAATGATACCCATAACACCCATGTCTAGTAGGAAGCTACTCAGTCACGCTTAACCGACTGAATGGATTTCAATGGAAAATTACATTAATGGACTAACACAATCTAATAACGCGGGCAAAACCGCGGGTCACAGCCAGTAGCCATATAAATTACCTGGTCGGTGGCCGGACTGGGGCGGGGCGGCTCCTCGCGAGGTTTGCTCGGCTTCACCTCGTGGCGCGGCACGATGTCGATCAGAAAGTCGAACTGGTCCGACTTGGATATCGCCATTGCTATGTCGTTCCTCTGTACAATAAAATTATGGGATGTTCTTCACATTGGTAATACTTCATTACTCCTTTCGACTTTCGAGATATTGTCGAGCCTCTGGGCCTTTTTGGGCACTCATAATCTGACAATTGTGCATTGGCGTATTTAAGATTATTTTCAATCACTTAAAATTTGGATTTTGACAGTAAAATACATTTGAAAAATTCCAACGTAAAGTATGAATCAGGTGCAAAGCTTTTAATGGTTATATGCAATAAATACATATATACATACATACATATATATGATTAACTATTATTGTTTTCGCTAGCAGGGGGGGCGTTTTTTAAATAATCAGTCGGAAATATTGATATGTTAAACTGTTTTTGGAATTTGACATATAATATACGTACATATATAGATAATTGCGACGTTGCTACACTTCGGTGAACTCTCTTAAAACCATAGACAAAGCAGACCTGTATGTAGTCACGTGAATCTAAACTTGTAAATTTTTAAAAGTTTGTTATATCTCTCCAGCCTGTCAATGCCTTGGCGTGAATTTACTGGGCACAGAGGAATAACACCCGAGTTCTCAGCAATGGCAACGCATGGGGGTATCATGGGCGAAACAGTATACTCTGTTATGTCTATGGTATTGCTCATGTCTATAGGCGAAGGTTACCACTTTTCATCAGGAGGGCCGTCAGCTTGTTTGCCATTATAAGTTGTATATAAAAAAAAAAAACCTTGGTGAATATATAATATCTTAGAACTAATGTGCTTACATATATTATATTACATATAATATAAAGCATAATATTGAAAATACCTTCAATGTTCATACATTTCAAAATCCATAAAATTTTGCATTTTTTTCAATACAATTGACTCTTACCGTGTTAAAATTGCAATTGTATTGCGAAGTGTATAAAATTATCTCACCTGCAAAGTTCTCCTCTTGTTGTCTTCAGTATGCGACCAGGCCCTCAGCGTGAGCTCGTGTATGAAGATCTCGGCTGCTTTGGCGAACAACACCGGTGCCTCGGCTGATATCATCTTGACCTCTTCGTCTAGTTTCATTATCTTCTTTATTCGGGCCAGAGGTAGTGGTTGCATTTTGAAGTCCTCCTGGTTATATGTACAGACATCTTTTAGTTACAATTTTATTATATACTAGCTGACCCCGTAAACGTTGTTTTACCACTTATTGCGAAATATGAAAATCGCGATTAAAATACATGGGTTGATCGTAAAACGATGAAAATTTAAAGTTGTATGTATTTTTCAATGCTAAATTATAATAAAATAAAATTTAAAAAAATTGTCAAAAAAATAAAAAAAAAAATTGGGATGGGTCACCTTTATCATTGACGGGTATGAAAAATAGATGTTGGCCGATTCTCAGACCTACCCAATATGCACACAAAATTTCATAAAAATCGGTAAAGCAGTTTCGGAGGAGTTTGGTAACAAACACCATGACACGAGAATTTTATATATTTTTATAAGATATAATTCCTTTCCCGTGGGTGGGTGCACCAACCCGCCTACCAAGCGTGGCAACTACTGGCAAAACCCCCCAAAGGTCTCCCTTTTGTTTTTATTTGAATGAAATTTGGTACATAGGTAGATTATATCCTTACTTCATCAACATCATATCAGCCGTTAACTGTCCACTGCTGCACCCCCCCCCCCCCTTTTTGGGAGGTCTTGCTGGTAATTGTCACGCTTAGCAGACATGTTGGAAAGCGCAATTAAGTTTTGGCGATGATTAAAGTGGGACGCTGTTGCCCATCTCTTGACCATTAAATTTCCTTATTCACCTCTTGACACCCACAGAAAGGCAGAGAGAGAGTGGCCCATTCTATACCGGGACCACACGGCCAACTAACCTAACTTCTTACTATAATTTAATATACAGATGCACGCGTGCAAAGCCGCGGGATACACTTTAGAAATTCTAATACTTATTGGTAGATTCGTTGGTCACTTGTATAGGGACGGTGGACTTACCGTTGTGACTTTCTTTATGTCATCAGTGACTTTGGTCCAGAACTGCTGCAGATTCATCTGCGTGTTATCGGTCTGCACCACATCCTCCCCACCCTCGGTCTCCACCTCTGCAGCCACACCGGATGCGCCACCCTGGTCACTACCACAATATACATGTATTTTTTCAATCAACTTCAAAAAGGAAAAGTTTTAAATTAGTTTTTTTTTCCTCATAACTCAGAACTAAACCGATTTGGATTTTTTTTTTATTTGAAAGGATATACTTACAGATCGGTTTCATAGAAAATTGATCAAACTTTTTTTAAGTCAAAATAACTGGTTTTGATACACTTGAAGTCTTTCTTTATGGGACACAATCTTTAATTTTAATGGGTGGAAGTGAAATGATAAGCTCGTCAACGCTATCTTTATATGCTAACAGGGCACCAATGAAGGAAGTGAAAATGGAAGCAGTAAAGTTGGCCCATCATGACAAATTCAAAATTAATTCACCACGATGGTTTCCAGGGAACCGTGTGGAGGTCGACATGATTGGTTATATATATTTTTTTTGATGGGTGAAAATGGTATGGTAACCCCGCCTGCGCTAACGGGATACGCTGGCGGAGCACCACGTGAAGGGTGATCGATGAGAATGAAAACAGGCCAGTTAGCCCATCATGATGAATTTATCAGGAATTAACCATGATAGTTTCCAGGGGGAACCGCGAGGAATGCGACCTGGTTGGGTATATTGCTAGCAATGGTATTCTCAGTCTCCATTACTAACAATCCCTTTTCCCCCAAGATATTTGTATTAGTACTACCAGTTTGTCGTTGTAGACTTACAGAAATAAGCAAATTGACCTTTGAAATTGTAAAACAGGGATTTGGCGTAAAGATAATAACATAAATAGACTAAACTTTTAAAATCGACTTTAAAATAAAGATTGTCAATTTCACTCTAGTGATTTTGTATTGGAATTTTAGCCAATTGAGAGCCGGTTCTGACAATTTACTTAATCATTAACCAATTTGTCGATTTCATTCTATACTTACCTACTAATTTTGGTAATTGAGTTTCAGTTTGGAATTTTTTATGCAACTTAGAATGGAGATGAAGCTGACAGCCTACCTGATGGAAAGTGGTAACCGTCGTCTATAGACTTTAGTAAAATATTTTAAATGACACTAGGGTAAGTAAGTAACTTTAGGTTTTCATCTAACTTATAACAGTTTATAACTTAAATACCTACCTATTCAAAAGCCTTTCAGAAAAAAAAAGAAAAAATAGAATATATTAATTTTAAAAGATTTTTTTATTACTTAACGTGTAATTACCTAACGTGTGAGGAGTACCATAGGCAGCACAGTATATTCAGTAATGTGTTCGGTATAATACTGTGTGGTGCCGTTTGGCTATAAGCGACTACTACCACTTTTCATTAAGTGGAATGCCAGTTTGTCACACAAAAAAATATAATAAAAAATAATTAGTCACACTTATCTATATTTACTTCATATTTTACCGTTTGTTTTGGTAATACCCGATAAAAGTATTACTAAAGTAGATAAGTTACATATAATATTTTTATAATATATTAAATTTAAATAAGTAGGCATGTTAGTAAATTCAATATAAAGTTTAACCGGCGACGAAGTCGCGGGCACGTATTGTATTATAATTATTTGAAGGACAAAGTAATGAGGTAGGTAAAGAAAGCAACAAAATAATAATAAAAAAACAAATATTTAAAGAGATAAATTATTAGCGTTTCCGTATGTAGATACAATATACCTTTCTTTTTAATCATCGTAGTTGCTGATAAAAAGGTGTTGGTTATCAATTGATTTATGTATTGGAACACAACTTACGCAGGCACAAAGAAGCATACAGACATCTTGAATTTTATGCGCACAGAACGGCAACGTCGCACTTATGAAATGATTTTTCACTTTTCACACAAAATATATTTTACTATTTCAGAAAAAGAAATTATTATCCGCGGCCAAAGTTTAATAAAACACGGTAACCAATAATCAGTGTAATATTCGAGAATCTCCAATCACCAATTACAGAAAATGCGCCGCTTTCACGATTCGTCCATCGATGACCAGTCACAAGCTTTACGTTTCGTTTTAGTATTACCATATACAATAATCTTTACGAATTAACTAGGTATTGAATTTTATTGTTAGGAAGTATTTTATATAGTAACTATTGAATTGATTTTATTACGATATAATATCTCTATAATGGTTTAAATAAAAAAAGAAACTATGGAAGGAGTTATTCATAAATTAATTTTTCATCTGATTAATAAAAAAAAAATTGCTACATAGTCTTATTATATTATTTTATTCTTCTTAAAAATTTAAGCATGATTAAATATGTAATTAATAATCACAATGTACAGTAAAATTTACTGGATACGGAGGAATAACACCTGAGTCCTCAGAAATGGTAACGCATGGGGGTATTATGGGTGAAACAGTATACTTTGTTATTTACATGGTACTGCTCATGTCTATAAGCGAGGGTTACCACTTATTATCAGGTGGGCCGTCTACTTGTTTGCCATTTTAAGTTAAATAAAAAAAGAATTATAATAACGTTTGTTGTAGCTAACCAATCACTACAGTCATAAAGAATGTTTGAATGTTAACATATATTTAAATTACGTATTTTGTTATGTTTGTGCATATTTTATTTATTTATTTACTTACAAATACACTGAACAAACTTTTCATTTAAATAATAACATTCATTAGACACAATCTCTTTTAGGAAATTAATATAATTAATTAATAAATAATTTTAAGCTTAATAAATGGATATTAGATTACTGCTCTGTAAAAATTAATATAGTTATGAAGTAATGCTCCTTATACTAACTTTAACAAATAATTTTCTTTATAATGTAAGACAGATAATTTTTTTTGTCAGTCTGGCAATATTAAACGGAAATGAGAAAACAGGAAGTTTTGTACGATAGTTGTGGTTGGCGTTGTGGTCAACCAGAGTCAGGCTGTCAGTCTTATGTCAGTCATTTATATGCGTTAGTCAGTCTGAACATTTTCAACCAGTCAGTCTCAGTCAGGTCAGCGTCTGGTAAAATGGCCGCTACCGAAATACAAATAGTTAATCCATCTAATTTAGCTAAAATTGAGAGGTAATGCGATAATTTATATTATTATAATTCTACTTAAACCTTCTTTCATGAAATGTCATAAAGTATTGTTTGAATCTGTATATCTTACGTGTCTGGTGTTTATATGTTTCCTTGACAATGTTTCGTCTTTTCCAGTTTTCTTCATGACCCTAGTTACAAGGAAATTATTGAAAATTCCTCAACCTTTAATTCGCGACTATGTGCCGAAAGGAGGATGCGTATGCCATTTATCGATACTCAAACGGGTAAGAATATAATATTGATTTTTGTTCTCCATTTTTCTGCAGCCATTGCGTGCCATACAATATAATGTCGGCTAAATTGTGTATTGATACTGATACAATATTTCAGGATTCCGTATCGTTTTATTATTTATTTATTTACTTATGGTGTTTTGTACGTAGGAAAAATTATTTTGTTCAGTAGATACCATTAGGGTTTTCACGAAATATAAATCTTATTAGATACTTGTTCAGATAAATATGTACCTAATTACAATTTCAAAACCGCCCACAAATCTGAGGGCCTACCATGAAGTGTTTTTCGAAATTTCGAGCCTGAACTAAATACAAATATGATGTTAAAAATGTTAAAGTGTCATTCCTTTGGAGTTTTATGGTAGGATTTATGACGAACGAAATGTTTGGCTCCATTTACTGGGCCGATTTCTGAATAAACAAAAACACGAAATTAAGTCCGAAAATTCGGAATTTCATTTCATATGGTTATGCTTCAAACTCTTTTTTCCTACATTCTTCACGACTCTGGAATGCACTTCCTGATGCCATTAAGAGACTACCGACTAAACCGTCTTTCAAAAAAAGCATTCACGTTCACTTTTATTTTTATCCGAGCAATAAGTGCTTTATATTATTCCCAAATTCATGTATAATATAGTATATATCATATATTTGTAAGTATATTTGTTATTCATATATATTTATTAATTTATATATGTAATTTTAGTATGTATGTATATCAATAATTAGTAGTACCGCATTCAAGTATTCTGACACTTCCCTATGGTTGACTGGGAGAGAATGCTTTTAGCATTAAGTCCGCCATGTACACATATTTGTACTAATGAATAAATAAAAATAATAAGAAAAGAAATTAATTTTCTTTTTTTTTTCTCTGTTTAGGTGTCGCACAGAGTCATTGCAATTTATTTATGACAAGGAAACAGAGAATGCCTGGAGCAAGAGAGGGGCAGGTGTACACATATCCAGCACAAAGGTGATAATTTTTTTTTGTAAGGGGCTGGTACTTTTTAATTACAATTTTTGTTTTATCAAATCAGAAATTGTGCAATTTATTTTAATAAGTTCCAAAAGACATTAATATAAATTGTTATATATGTTTCAGTTGTTTGTCACTTTTTTTTTATAATAATGTCAATATTCCTCCAAGATTAACTCTGTGTTTCATTTGTTAAAATTTTGGTCTATTTTGCCTCCAAATAATAAGCAAAATTGGAAGAAAAATCTTATAAGAATTTGAGTTTGCTTCTTTGTATAATAGTGATTATTAATGGAGTTCAGATTCCATACAATATTCAAATATTTCTTTTAAATGACTATTTTTATTTATTTATACTTTTGGATGATCAATAATGTGTGGGTGATGGTGATGCCAGATGATCTTTTACATGCATAGATTGTTAACTAAAAAAACACTATTATAGATGGCGCAAATCGCGCCGCCAGTACCTCACAATGTCGTCGACACGGTGGGGTTGGAGTGGTGCAGATAACTTAGCGGATCACACAGGCGAAGGGGATAACAGCTCCGGCATACCTGGCGATATTCTTGGCGGCGAAGACAGCCGTGACGGGTCACAGACTGCCGCTAAAGATGATCCAAAGGTAAAAATTTTATTAATAGACTTTAACCCTTTCTACTCCAAGCCTTTTTTTCTTTTTATTCCACCAGCTCCATGTTAAAATTGCATTTAGCATTGCATGGCAGAATTATTATAACAGTGCAATTGGTGACAGTTGTAGAAATCAGCACTGTTGCCATGTTTCGTAGTAAGTGTGAGACGGCTTTATCAAAAATATTAGTAAAAAGTCTCACCTTTTTTAAAATTGTCCGCAAAAAGAAGTATTACACTATGTCGAGTGTCACTCGACAGTGGAGCTGGTGGAACAAAATCAATGTCGAGTCACACTACATTGGAGTAGAAAGGGTTAAGTATTGAGTTATGGACAGTGTTTTCTGATCAAGTAACATCAGATAACTAACGTAAAATATTTTTAGTAGTTATTCTATATTGTACTTGTGTTTATTGCTCAAAAACTAAATGAAAACATAATTGGGACTTGGAAGATTAACTTCGAACAAATTTCGACAATAACACTATTATAGTTTTATTACCAGGAGTGGACAAATAACAATAAGCTGTTTACGATTGCACTGTAGATAAGTATATTGCGGTTGCGGCGTTATACAAACAATGGAATCTAATAAATGGTCTCTTTAAAATGTATTGTTTGTAATTTAAACAAAATGCAGATGGTCAAATACTTTACGGTATTGTATTTTAGTGAGCCCAATAATAATATGTGAGATTATCATTTAATTATCACTTTATTTATTAATTTATATAAATAACTTTATTGACCAAAGAAAATAGGGCACAAAAGATGGACATAATGCTAGTAGTATTTTCTACAAGTTGACCTTTATCAATTAAATTAGGTAGTTTTTTTTTATACAATTTAGAATGGCAAACAAGCTGATGGCCCACCTGATGGAAAGTGGTAACCGTCGTCTATAGACATGAGCTGTACCATGGACATAACAGAGTATACTGTTTCGCCCATGATATCCCCCATGCGTAGCCATTCCTGAGGACTCAAATGTTGTTCCTCTGTACCCAGTAAATTCACGCCATATCCCACCCTTCAGACCGAAACACAGTCATGCAAACACAACTGCTTCACCAACCCAAGCAATCGACTTTGCCAGACAACTCTGATTTTTAAAATTTATTGTTATTAGAAAGGGATTTGGATGTGGGTAAGAATAGAATAGAATAGAAATCATTTATTCAAATAAATTTACATTGAAGCACTTTTGAAAAGTCATTACATTTTTTTTAATTTACCGCTCGTTCGGAAAGCTGTCTCATCACAAGAAGAACGAGCAAGAAACTTGCGTGATGCTCTTTTAAATAATTTTATTATTATTTTACATTTTTAAGTTTAATTGTGTGAATACAAACCACCAATTAGCACTAATTCAATTAAATACTCAAAAAGAAAAAAAAAATTGAATACATAACCAACTGGTTAAACAATTAATAAGAGGAAATCAGTCATAGTGATTAGAGCAGACCAGTCCCTACAAGCAGCACCCGTTCACGAGTATGACGGATGAGCCAGCCATCACTGCGCTCGACCATATTTTAGGGAGCCCAATGACCCGGCCCACCACGCCGCCACAAGTCTGGACATTTTAGTGAGCATGACTACTTAGACCACGTCAAAGCTACTCACAATTGCCATCTGATAGTTATAGTATTCACATTTTACATAAGAATGCATGCGGCAATTAATACAAAAAACCGCTACGCTTTCATATTTCTAAAATTAATCAATTAAATCAAGAAAGCAATGAGAAAATAAAATTATAACGTTGTATGCTAATAAACTAATTATTTACTTGATATGTTGTCATCTATGAATTCGTCTATCCTGTAATAGGCTTAACTTGAATTCGTCTATCCTGTAATAGGTAACTTATAGTATGTGTAACTTATAGTATTCATAAGTTATAGCAAACTCAAAAGTTGTTCTATTTCTTAATAGGAATGGTTCTATGATGAACTAGCAATAGAAGAGATGGAGACAGGAGAGGAGCCTGACCCGGAGTCGGACGAAGACTACTACGACGACACGTACGCGAATAGGCGCAAGCGGCGCGGCGGTGCCACCCCCACTGGGCCCGGCAGCCGCGGCGGTAGGACCAGGAAGTCACAACCAGATGATACCCCTGCTAAAAGAGGACGTGCGGTACGTTACATAAAAAAAACGTACATATATAGCTACATATATATAAATAGTTAGTACTTATATCTGCGCCTCAAGGTCAATGAGCCTTTCCAGAACTATATAATACGATGTCTACTAATCTCAAAATTTCTTAATAAATCGAACACTTTTTTCGTAGATGCTTTTTTGAGAGAAGCTTTCAGAATAATTCTATTAGAAAATTATAAAAACGCATCATAACTATATTAATATTGCATGTTAATATTGCAGGGTCGAGGCCGCAAGCGTGCTGGTCAAGGTACACTCCCGTACGAAGTGCCCGGAGACGCTGAGAAGCCGTTCGGCTGCGAACGTAAGTCCACGAGGCGACGACATTAGTGCCTCACATCGTAGCTCAGGTCCTATGTAGGCAGCTAGAATGTTCTATCGACAAATAACACGATCTGAGACTGTCTGTCAAGTATTTAATAGTAAACATAATAGTGTTAGTGTAATAGATTTACAATGTCTCTTATTTGGGCTATTTTGCATGTAGTCATGGGCAACATAGCCATCCCAGTTTTGCATAGGAGCACTTTTATAAGGTGCTGGTATTGCAAGCAACTGTACACAATGGTAAACTACTATAGGTGCTCATTTGCCATTATAAAAATAGTAGTACCTATAAAAAATGATTTCTCATTACAATGTATATTATATATGTATTTTATAGAAATATTTTTGTGACAGATTAAAAAATTTATCTTTTTTTACTTGGTATCCAGAAATAGATATTTTTTTAATTCTAGAAATTTAGCGCGTGATTTTCCTTGTAGATGTAACGATTAAAAAATATACTTGATAAGTTCATAAATTAAATGGTTACAATTGATATACTTCTCAGACAATCTCCATCTATGTAGGAATTTGAGAGATAAAATTCTCATTTTATATAGCATTACAAAGTTTGCATTTATTTTCGATGTCCAATAGGATTTTACAAATGCAATAAGTCTATCAATACCTATGGTGTACTAATGCTAGATATGTCCACACATATCCTTGTTACTAACAGCACAAGCTGCCTGGACATATGTGGGACAGATATAAATCTCTTATTCATAAACATGAAAATCTCTAATATGTTAGCTATTGACATTTCTTTGTTTCTTGAATTGAATACTTAATTTGATATTGTACAAAAGTCATTATTTTGTTTAATATCAAATTTTAATATTTTCACTGTAGCTCGCCACGATTTTATATGATTTTACTGTCATGGTGTAATAAGAGTGCAGAATATATTACGGCTCGATTATTTGGCCATTTGGCATATTGTTTGAGTTACAAACAATACATTTTAAAGAGACCATTTTTAGGTTTCATTGTTTGTATAACACCGTAACTGCAATATACTTATCTACAGTACAATCGTAAACAGCTTATTGTTATTTGTCCACTCCTGGTAATAAAACCATAATAGTGTTTTTGTCGAAATTTATTCGAAGTTAATCTTCCAAGTCGCAATTTTGTTTTCATTTAGTTTTTGAGCAATAAACACAAGTACAATATAGAATAACCACTACAAATATTATTATATTAGTTATCTGATGTCATTTGACCAGAAAACATACTCTCCATAGCTCAGTACTTAAAGTCTACCAATATTTATTTGTTTTTCACTTCTGTGTTTAATTTTTTGAAGAAAATGGGTAGAACTAAGGAATATTTCCAAGAGATCAGGGGCATAATAATCGGCTTTCATAAATTGCATATTATGATCTGCTCTTCATTTATTGTATAAATTTATAGTTATATATTTAATTATATCATGACCGTAGAATTGTAAAATCTGGTGTGCTGAGGTGAATTATAAACGCATTTATTAATAAAAAAATTTATTAAAAATTAATATTTATAACAATGATTATTTTTTAAATTATTTATTCTTTTATAATTCATAATAATTTGAAGTATATCTAATATAGGTATATGAAACGATTTACGTGTTTATGAGTAACACGGTAAATCTATTTTGATACAACTATAAACTCGTTTATAGTCTTGAATATAAGGCGTTTAAGAATAGATATAGAATTTCAAAATAGTGTAGCGACTAGACCATATCATGAGCTTACGCGTTATTATAGATTAAACATTTGTCACAATTTGTAGACGTTGCGGTTTTTTTATTGGTATAAATTAAAAAAAAAAAGAAGTTTTGTGAATAATATAATGAAAATCACTGTAGTTAAAGAGCAGTACAAAAGTAAGGTCTTCCATGTTCAATTTTTTATTTTGTTTAAATATTCATCGTTTCGGTCATTACAGTCCACTGGTGAACTGAACATAAGCCTTCCAGGTAAAGGGAGTTTTACCAGTAGGTGCCTTGTTGAGTGATAATTGATGTACATAACAGGTTGAACATTTATATTTTGGATTATGGCTGTTTCAAAAATGCGCTAAAACTACTGGGGGGAGAGGGGAGGAACTTATTTGCCCAGCCATAAAATATTGAAAAAAATTTAACGAGTGTCACATGGGATGAAGTAATGATTTTAAAACCATACCCCATACTCCATACATCCAAGTCGGTTTAGGCATTTTGAAGTTATAGTGTAACAAAAAAACTTACATGCATTCGCCCTGAAAACATTATAGTTTTTTTTGGACAACACAATAATAATAATAATAAAGAAACCGCAACGCGTACCACCGAAATAAACGATAACCCGACATAATAGTTCGTGCAATACATTTTTATACATGAAATAAATTGGTGAACCGCATACCTCGATGGTAAAACAACATGAATTGCTCAATACTTACTAAATATACAGAAATAGATGGACCTGAGCTTTCTTAGTTAATTCTCTATATTCGATATGCAACCAGACGTCCGATGTAAAACTAAATGTAATTAAATTGGATGTTAAGCGTTTAAAAATCAATTAGTCTATTATCATGAACGGAAGGTTTATTTTTGAACCCTAAACAGCTGACTGCTGAATTAGTGTCAATGAAGCATTGTACTAGTTTTCATTGTAAATATTTGTAAATTTGTCCAATATTAGGATTTTATCGCTTACCTCCAAATAAACCTATTTTGAACTATTAAAGTTTTTGTCATTTTATTTTTCAATTAATTCTCAATTTTAATAAAGGGGACAAAACACTAATAGTTGTAATAGGTTTATAGGAAATTTTAATTTTGACGATTCTGTGGGGTAATTAAAAATTGCCATGTAAAAAATCTTGACTATATTGATTTTTAAATGAAGTAATTATGTATGTAGATACATTTGTATGGGCCGTTTGGATTGTGACCGCGTAATGTAACGTAGATGGACGTCTGCTTGTAATTCGAATAGTTTAGATAAATATAAATATATCATTATATAAGCATCACATAGTTGTAACATAGTGCAGGGCCAATGAGTACTGTAACGTAGATGTAACATAGGCGGGACTTGGTCGAGCAATAAATTATACTTCGGGGCACTTACTGTTATGTGTCTGCACTTGTTAGCAAGTGGCAGATGTGTCTATCGATAGATACGTCATCGCTATCGCGTGCATGAAATAGAACGCGCGATGTTTTGTTGTCTCGTTCTGCACTCATGGACGCGGCAGCGTAAACGTATCTATCATGAGATTCGTTTACCATTTGTTTAGAGGGTTTGGTTGGAATATTATAAATTTATTTTAATCGCATATTTGAACGGATACATGTGGGTACAGCATAGTGGAGCATGTCTTCCACATTTAAGTAATTCTATATAATGTAAATAACAGAGTCTCTCTCTTTTCATTTAAGAGTTTCCTCTTGTCGGTGCAAATAATTCATGCACTTGCTTCCAGCCAGCTCTATCCCAGGCCATATCCTTGACCTCCCCGTATGACATGACACCCAGTGTTTCTTTTATCTGTCCCATGTAGTTATTTCTCGGTCTTCCTCTTCCTCTTTTGCCCTCTATTTTTCCTTCTACTATGCTTTTTATATAATCGTCATGTCGTATAAAAAATAACAGTTTAATAACTGTAATTTCATATAAAGAACAGCTATGTTAGATAAAGTAATGTGTATTGCTTATGTTACTTTATCTAAATTATTGTCGATCCCTTATCTAATTGGTTGCTTTGTTTTATGTAAAATAAACAATGTGCCCACTTGTTATGGCTATACCCACTGTTTTGAGATCATCACCTGTAACAGTGCGACTAAAACAGCAAGCATCGTGCCATTTGAATTTGGACTCTAAGTTGTGTACTGTATAATATATTTTGGAATACCCTCATCGCGTCAACGAGTAGTGTAATTTATCTTGTTCGAAATGTATTCAAATGGCCACTATTTAAAGTTCAATTTAAAATGACAAGATGCTTAATGTATCCAAGCAGTGAGGTAATGGTGGTGTATATTTATGCGTATTAAATGTTTATACACGTGCATTTGGAAATGTACGTATTTTTTTTTTTTTAATTCCAATCACCTCTCGTACATACTCGTGTTTATATCTTTTTTCAAATGGATAAATATTCAATTACCAAGAGATAGTTTGACACAAAACAGTGAGACCGGACAGTGTCGGCTTGTGAGTCGCAAAATATGCCTTTTTATTGTTGTGTACGTATGTGTATAGTGTTAGTTATATAAGCGAATCTCCTGGAATTATCCGATTAATGAATATTAGATATTTTTAGGCGAATTAATAGACTTATAAATAGTGGTCTGAGACTTTCACAATGCTATCTTGTGTTGAATAGAAATATAAAAAAAATTATTCAAAACAAGATGTTTTTTTTTATATTCGAAACTAATATTAGTCATACTTGTTACTATGTGTATTCAACCTGAGCCTAGATCTAGTAATTTTAATTTATATTAAAAAATAATTCAACCTTGTTTTTGTGAAAAGTGAAATTATCACTTTATGTTTAAATAATAAGGTTTATTTTTATTTACGTTAGTGCAAATTGAACATCACAATTTTTATGTGTATATATAAACTTTTAATCTTTTTTTTTAATCACATAATTCTTGTTATTAATGGCCAGTATGTTATTACTTTAAGCTGTTAATATACGTTATTGTTTGTAGAGAGTCTCAGTACTGCTATCCAAAATTATTATTTATATAAAAAAAAAAGCTTGCATTTAAATTGATTTGTTAAGGCCAAGTGTTTACTGGATGTGTATATTTTATTTAAAGCTAACTACACATTGGTTTTGTTCATCGCCAATCACCACTTCACATGAGCTATTCGTGAACGTAACTATTGTATGGAGAATACACCATTTCGACAATACAAATTTGTATGAACCTAAATGTTTGGCGGTGCGTTTGAATATCGCTCATGTGACAGGTCTCCTAATTCTAATTGTATAATTCATAAAGACTTTGTATTTATATAAACCTTATTTAAACTTTAGTATGTTTTGTCTCTTTTTTCTTTTGCTAATGTGATGATGTACTGGCACATATTTAAAGCCTTTTTAAATTTTTATTAAAGTAAAAAGAAATATACAAAAAGGTTAAAAAAATTATAAATGTTACTAGTACGACAACAATATCTTAAAATTGAGAAGTCTTTATGAATGCGAGTGGGAGACCGCGTCAATTACAAAACCTATAGTGCAAATTGCGTAATAAACAAATAAGAACGGTATGAAATCAGTGACACCAATTATTGAATACACTGCCACATATATTTTATTAGTGGTCGGGCGATTAATGTAGCTCTGTTATTTATAATGTAGGGTAGACTAGATATACTTCAGTAATGAACCTTTAGGATCGGTATACATGCATCCCGTATTTCCGGTAGAATATTTTATAAATTATATGTTGGAAATAAAAGAAGTGTATAAAATGTAGGTTTACACAAGTTTTCATTTTTGAGCTAAACGTGATGACGCTACTTCCTTGTGACGTCACTTCTCATATCATTGTAGTACAGGTACCAACATCACAATTTATCAAGTTGTTTATAAACTTTAACTTTTGTATACTACATAGTGATATTTTTTTTAAAGTTACTTTACAATTTACAAACGATACTAAGGTATTAAAATACTCTATCGCCTATTTATTATCCATCTATAATTCGACACTACGATATACTTATAGTAATTTTCTGAAATACTCTCATGTTCTAATAAATATATGTATATATATTTTGGTGGATGCATGTAAAAGATCGTGATTTGCTTTTTATTCTCAAATTGTCTCTGAATAGATGCTATTGAAAAAGGTTCAGTACTGAATACATTGGTATGAAGTTGCAATTGACATAATTTATTATATAATACTTATATTCTCGTTTGTATCGTAACGGTTTTTTTTTTATTTAAAAAATTTTAAAATTCGTATTCGACCTGCTATAAATTTTACTACTTAATGTTAAAAAAGACTGGCTTTATTTTAATTTTTTTTTTTAATTCTGTAACAAAAAACTTTGTTGCACCTTTTGGAAATGTATTCTAATTTAATTTTAAATTTATAAAATGTAAATATTAAATTTTTTTTTGTTTTAAGGATATAGGAAATACTTTTCTTAATTGCACCTTCATACCGATTAATCCTTATTCTAAACGGGATCTTATGAATTATTCATACTTTAATCACAATGTTTAAATTCTAGCACAGGTTGGTTTGAATGTATGTGTACGACTCATGTGTCTGTGATAGTTTATTTATTTCTTTTCATTTATCTCTAGGAATTTTTCTGTAGCAATGACTAAAGTTTTATTCCGTTTCTCGTGCCAAACTGAAGCACCATGTCGATTGTTAATTAATGAAATGTGTCACAAATAATTGATTTGGCTAGAATTAGTCATTTTAGAATTTTATTAGTAGGTTACAATTTGACATCAATGTTTAAAGTATTATATATACTTAGTTTCAAATTGTTAAAATTAATTCCATGGTTTATATGTATAAATCAATATTTCGAAAAATAAGTCCTATTTACTTTGAATACTAACTATTCGAAGTAGTTTACAGAAAATCACAGATTCGTCACGGTAACTATTAAACTCGGTGGATTGTATGAAAGGAATCGTATTGTAATAAGTCTAAAGCGGTTTATTTTTAATTTTACAAATCTTTACTATGTACGACATATTACATTAATCTATTTAAGATTACATTTAGAGAAATATTAAAGTTTTTAAATGTAACTGGCAATACAGATACATTGGCATCATTTGTAAATAGATGAATCAATATTTTAACTATGTGTATTGTATTATAATTTTTAAATAATGGATTTTTATGTCGAAAATGATGTTATAACACAGTGATTTGCGACTTGTCTATTTACGAATTGTTATTCTCTAAGCGGAATGAAGATTATGTCAAACAAAATACAAAAGAGAATTTATAACAATTCTTTTCCTAAAAGTGAATTTACACTAAGGCCACCGTCACATTAGGACGATCTTTGATCGCCGATCATCCGCGACGGAACGCCAATACATTAAATTGTATACAATTTTTTACTATTATATATATACATTACGTAGAAAATCTATCGTTCGGTCGACCGCTGCAGAACTCCCTTATTTTGTTCTAATTATATTGTTGTGAGTGATTTTCTAACAAATAGCTGCCAATCTTATTGGGGGAAAAAATCTATCGGCCACGTAATTTTGATGAAATCTTCATACGTTACTAAAATGATAACAAAATTCAGTATTATCATAAAATTTTAGTCATTGTAATGTAAACTGTGTTTAATTAACTGTATCATTTATTTATTAGTATTTTAGCGGTTCAATGACGTTTTAGGTCTTCGCGTTATTCTTAGATCCAAACTATTATTAGCACCCAAAGATTGTTATGAATTTATACAAGAATATTTATGTTGAATAAGAAATAAAATTATCCAAATGTAACGTGATTTTGTTGATTGTATGATTGGACTCCAAGTTTGGATCTCGTGGTGTTGTTATGCTAAGGATTTTGTGTACACATTTGATGAACTGTTGGAAACAAAAAAATAATAACTTATGTACATTTATTAAATTTCAAATAGACGATATGGTTGGATAAAGTAACTGGCATTTTTAATTGTTAAAGATTTTTATTTAATTATAATTTGTTTTTATTTCATATGTCGAAATTTACGATAACTTTTGAAATTAGTAAATTGTGACGCGTCAGCCATATCGCCGTATGTGAAACAGACTAAAGATAATTTGTTTGTTATTAACATTAATGACTTGTGCAAAAAAATTTTCAAAATATTCAATATTTAAATAGTAAATATGTATTCTCATTAAAAAGAAATTTAATACTTAATGTTCATCAAATGTTGCCATGACAAGCAAAATTCCCAGCATATAATTAAATGTTTTAAATGTGTAAGAGTGTGTCAAATGGCAGATCCATTGATTTGAAGTCATCAATCTAACTCCACCGCCGCGGGTGTCTGCGTCCAACAGAACTGAACATAAAGATATCACGACGGACCGGCAGTTTTTATGTATACATTGTATAAGAACGCAAACGTGACGCAATTGTCTATGGGTAAAAAAGTAAAAGCAGCTTCACTAAAGTAGGTATATAAAATAAAATACTTGGGGAAATTAAAGAGTTTACATACTTGATTGATTTTAACCTTTATATCGGTAATACTTTAAAAAAAAAAATATATTAAATTGTTAATTACATAATTGTTCTTAGGTTTCTGAGCGTTTACCACTTTTATGCTTTTTTTTTTTATTTCTATTATTTCTTTTTTCTTTAAAAAAAAATAGTATTTAAAAAGTGAAATACCTTTTTATGTAAATCTTAGGTTGTAAATTACAATGTAAAAGAATAGAGTAATAAAATTTTGGCCATAAAACAATTTAATACGGAACAAGAAGAAATAGTAAAAATAAATATTCTCAAACCCTGTGTTAGCATTGTTTCAGCAACAATACGGTAGATATAACGGTAAAACATATAACGAAACGTCAATCGTTTACGCGTCGCGTTGTTGCGTTCTTATACATTGTTTGATGTTGTGTTACACGATATGTTGATTGATGACCGATAATTATTGGAAATCTTCGTTACTTACGATATAATACGCCGTTGCCGTCGTGGTGCCTCCCTTGTGCTCTGTTCTGATGACGTAGCCTCCCGTGAACCCCCAAAAACCATAGACTATAACAAACCTATTGCATAAACAAGTGGTATTAAACCAGATGGAGGCACTACGCACGGTAAGTTTTGTATATTTCTATTATTATTTTTTAATTGTATAAATTCAGAATTGTTTAAATCATGCATGCAATAAATTATGGAATTTGACAAAGCGAGAGATATTTACTTACATACTATGTTACTATGTAAGGATAGAAGCTGTTGGCCCTTACTAGTCTTTCTAGCGGCATATTGACACACAACAGTATAATTCACAATATTTATAGAAATGTTTAAAATCATTACGTTTACTTCGTAACAATATTCATAACACATTTTTCAATTTGTAACAGTGTGTGGCGCGAAATACAAGACTCGTCCGGGGTTAACGTATCACTTTACGCACACACACAAAGACCCGCCGCCGGGAGGCGCTCCGGTGGCGGCTGGCAGTGACGGCGACTCGCGGGACAGTCGCGCGGGAGCTCATACGCCGCCCCAGCCGCAATCCCAGCCCCAAGCGCCACCGCAGCCTGCCACTGAGTATCAAGATAGTTACGTGACGTTTTTGAATAATCCTGCCGGTGCTGGTGAGTTTATATTAATGAAAACGTGATAGGGCCACTTCACTAACTGTTTATAGTTGTCGCTCATTGTTCATACGCGATACACGTACATGTTAAGCTCGCTCAGTAACGATATAAATATAATTAACTACTGTTATCATGGGTAAATGTGACAAATGTAATAACTATGAGAAGTCCTGGATTAGAATGTGCTAGATGTGAAAAAATAGTACATTGCAACATCAGTTGTTCTGGTCTATCAAAAAAGCAAGTAACAGCGCTCCGTGCAGCAGACAATGTTGACTGGACCTGCCAGGGGTGACTTGACTACTCTCCAAGTAGATCTTCAGTTGTAATCCCTTCTTTCTAGTCGTTACTAATTTTCCTAATGAATTTTTATTACGAGGATTCGCTCAATTTATTCATCTAATGCTGAATTTATAAAATAATGACATTAAACTTATTATGTATATAGTTTGACTCTACAATTTTGCAGTATGTCTATTAAATGAGTAATAGATGCAAATTTGAACATTAGCATTAGTTAAGCTCTACACCATTGATTATTCAACAGCGACGTTAGGTGCTGCGAGTGGGGCTACGCCCCCGGCGCGGCGGCCATCCCCGCCGGCCAGGCCCGTGCGGCCGGCTTCCGCTGACACTTCTTCCTCCGATTCTGCGCACGCGCCGCTCGTACCCCCCGGCACCGCTGCTTCCGCCGCCGCTGCCGCCGCTGCAGCTTCCGCCTCGGCCCCTAGTGGGGTGCCTGATGTAAAAGAAGGAGATACTAAGGTTCGTGTTTCAAAAGTTATCGTAAAGGAATTTAGATATAAATAAACATCACATCAATTGCCGAAATATTTATAAGCTCATCACGGCGTGAATTTACAGGGTACAGAGGAATAACACCTGAGTTCTCAGGAATGGCAACGCATGGATGGTATCATGGGCGAAACAGAATACTCTGTTATGTCCGTGGTACTGCTCATGTCTATAGGCGACGGTTACCACTTTCTATCAGATGGGCCGTCAGCTTGTTCGCTATTCTAAGTTGTATAAAAAAAAAAACTTCATAAAGGTTATGTCTATTTTTTTTTAATGAATGTTAATGGAATGGTAACCCCACCTGAGCTAACGGTATACGCTGTCGTAGCACCAATGAGGGATGATAGGTAAGAATGAACAGGCAGGTCAGTTAGCCCACCGTGAAGAATACACCTGAAATTCAGCACGATGGGTTCCAGGAGGACCATGTGGAGGTCAACCAATCAGGGTATATTGCTAGTAATCCTATCAGGTATATTGCTAAAATTTAGTATATATATATATATATATATTAATTTTTTATATATATATATATATATATATATATATGTATGTATGTATGTATATATATATTAATGGGTGATAATGGAATGGTAACCCCGCCTGCGCTATTGGGATACGCTGGCGGAGCATCAGTGAAGAATGATAGGTGAGGATGAAGCAGGTCAGTTGGCCCATCGTGACGAATTCAACAAGAATTGTTCACGATGGTTTCACGTGGAGGTCGACCTAATAGGGCTGTCAAACGTCATTGCTAACAATCCCTTTCTCTCCTGCGACATATATTTCAACATATATTTCAACATATATTTCAACATATATTTCTGTGCCCAGGCATCACCGTCACCGTATTGCGATTTCTGCCTCGGCGACGACAGGGAGAACAAGAAGACTGGCACTCCAGAGGAACTAGTTAGTTGTTCAGACTGCGGGCGATCAGGTAAGAGACGCGGCCGGCCGCCGCGGAACGGTCTCAAGAAGTGTTACCACATCGAGAACAGAGTGTGCGAACGCCACAGACACCTGCAAGAGAATATAAAACTCAACGGCGTTGTGGAGATATTGTCCTCCATGTCGTACTCGGCCGATGATTTCGACACGTTCGCCAGTCAGACCAATTTGCTGAATGACGAGTATGTCGAGTGCCCTGTCTCCCCGCCATCTTCGCGTCAGAGTCCTCTCATATAGGTTAAAATAGGCGTGTGTAATCCAACCAGCCAAATATAGATTAAGTTTGTTTTGTTTTATTGTATAACCCTTTCAGACCTGAACGATACGGGCGTGAGTTGTAACTTTAAAAAAATCTAAAACCGCGTGCAATTCATTTTTACGCACGAAGCTGAAATAACATGATAGTGAGATTCTAAACCAGCCAATAAGAAATCATTTTAGCGGTTAGGTGGTGCAGTAGTCTCGTGCGTGCCGGCAAGATGGCTTGGCTCCAAAACACGAAAATATATTTAATCTGAAAGAAAAATCTTGGGTCTGAAAGGGATAAGCGCTGCGCAATTTAAACACTTAAGAAGACTGGCACTCCAGAGGAACTAGTTAGTTGTTCAGACTGCGGGCGATCAGGTAAGAGACGCGGCCGGCCGCCGCGGAACGGTCTCAAGAAGTGTTACCACATCGAGAACAGAGTGTGCGAACGCCACAGACACCTGCAAGAGAATATAAAACTCAACGGCGTTGTGGAGATATTGTCCTCCATGTCGTACTCGGCCGATGATTTCGACACGTTCGCCAGTCAGACCAATTTGCTGAACTGATTAAGTTTGTTTTGTTTTATTGTATAACCCTTTCAGACCTGAACGATACGGGCGTGAGTTGTAACTTTAAAAAAATCTAAAACCGCGTGCAATTCATTTTTACGCACGAAGCTGAAATAACATGATAGTGAGATTCTAAACCAGCCAATAAGAAATCATTTTAGCGGTTAGGTGGTGCAGTAGTCTCGTGCGTGCCGGCAAGATGGCTTGGCTCCAAAACACGAAAATATATTTAATCTGAAAGAAAAATCTTGGGTCTGAAAGGGATAAGCGCTGCGCAATTTAAACACTTAAAGCTTGTTCACACGCATATTTGGCGTCAATCGTTAATATTTTTTTTTAATGTATACCAAATAACATTAAGGAGGTTCTGTTTTGGACTAAATGTGATATTCTTTTTGTTTTATTTTTTATTTTTATTATATATATTTTTTTATACGACTGAGGTGGCAATCAAGCATACGGCCCACCTGATGGTAAGTGGTTACCGTAGCCTATGAATGCCTGCAATACTAGAGGTATTACGCGCGCATTGCCAACCCTGAAGAAACCTCTTTACCCCCTTTTGAAGAACCCCATGCTGCAGTCTCTTGGGAAAACCTCGGCAGGGAGCTCATTCCATAACCTGAGTGTTCGTGGGAGAAAACATCTCTGAAACCGCGCTATACGCGACCATTTAGGCTGTAGGATATGAGTGTGAACTCCCTGTCGATGGCGAGCCGTACGATGGTAGAAGGTGGCCGTGGCCATCATATTGAACAATTCCTATATATTATATATATCATATTATATAATATTTTTACAATATCCGCATTAATTTAAATGATTTTTATTCTGGTTTATAACAAAAATTTATGTTGCGTAACGCTTTATATATAATTATGGTATTTAGTTTGACCATCAGTTAAAATTGCTGCTCTCTTGTTCTATATTTATAAAGGATACATTTTTTGCAAAGGTTTTTATTAAAATAAATATGAACGTTAAGAAAAAAGCTTTGTCTATATACGGATTATGGTAAGATTACACAACTTTTGCAGTAGTGTTTATTCTGAGGATGTAAGATTCAAATGCGAGGGAAATTGATACTTATCCCTTATATTCATAAGTAATATTGTCACAAAATTCATCACATAGTGTGGTGAGATTTTTCTTACCAAAGAGGTATATTTGATGTCGTTTTTATTTTACGTTTTTATTATAAAGATATTACTAAATTATACATATGATTTCATATACATTCCAAAAAATATGTTTAAAAATATCTAATGGTGATGATGAGAGAAAAACTATTGTTACGTCAAGATATATAAAGAGTAGAAATTTAAACTTTATATGGTAATGCATTACTTAAAAATGTGATCTTAGTGTTGCCATGGTAAAATTTTTATACTTATACGATGATGGATGCCAAATATTTTAATATGTTGTCTGTTGTAATATTATAAGATTTTTATCTTTACAAATTATTCCTGAGTGCGTTATTGAGTTAAACGAAATTTTATTATGTTAAATGATACCAAAATTATATTTTTTAAAAGTACATAATTATTTCAAACCGCAGTGGATATCAGTTTAGTTATGTAAGCATGCTTTTAATTACGTTTATTAGGGCCTGCGTAGACGAGGACAGTAGTGCTCTTTTAAGGAGTAAAAACACAATGTCAATTTTAAAAGATTTTTTATTTTTATTTGATCGTTAAACAATTGAATAAAATATGATGATATACTAGTTTTTTTACGATAAAATAACTTTTTTCCCCTGCATTCAGAGTATGACGTAGTTTCATAAAATATGCGCTTTGTGATTTGACTTTTTAACAGAGTATTCTATCTAGAATATATTAAATTGTATTGCATAATACAACTTAACGCAGACTTGAAAACACTCATATGAGTGTTTTCAAGTCTGCGGGTAGCACAATGGGAATTTAGACTCTTTAAGTCTCTCGTCTAGGCAGACCTATATTGATGTTTGATATAGGTATTTATAAATAAGCTAAAACGTAACAAGGTCTGGAAGAAATCCCTTCAAGGGCTAAGCCGGCTTGTGTAAGGTACACAAGCGTTCATTTTCTGATATCTGAGGTAATATACCTAAATGTGAGTGTACAATAAAGCTTATGCAAACAAACAAATGTTCCATTGTATATTTATAATTGGAATATGAGAATGAATTTAATATCTGAGTCAGTTGGTGCCTTAATATGTAATTTTTTTTTTTAAATAGTCCAAATTTTTATAATTTTGATTGTTTTTGAATTATTCCAACATTTACCATATATCCATGAAGCGGTTTGAATAAAATAAATAATAATAAGGTAAACCGTAAAATATCATGTATAAGATTTTTAAAATTGTCATAAACGCTTAACTCCTTTCGAAAGCAATCTTTAAGCGCATATATTTCTGTCTCGGTCATTCTCTATTGTTTTGAAAGGGACCGGTATATGTGCTAAAATTATTTATTTATTTGTGTGCTGAAATTAAGTCATGTTTGGAGTACTAAAGTAATTATAATATTTTGTTTATAACTGCTTTGCTTACTACCGTAAAGCCAAATACATCACAATCCTAGCTTTCTAGTCACGCGTCACCAAAAGAAAACGAGTCATATGTTAAAGCACATACTAATCTTTGCTTTTTTAACCGACTTCATATTCCACAATGACCATTAACCATGAAACTTTTGGGTACCGTTCAGTGTTTTTATGGCATAAAGATCGGTAATGTGCGATTGATGGTAGTCGCTTACCATCACGTCGTACGCTTGTTTGCCACATTCACATAAAAAAAAATACAATAAAGACGTCTAAACTTTAGAAAGAAGTCATATTATTTGTACTATATTACATCTTGTTTATCTTCAAACGAAGTCAAATAGAAGTCTGTTTTTAATTTTTTTTTATGCAATTAAGAATGACAAACAAGCTGACGGCCCACCTGATAGAAAGTGGTAACTGTCGCTTATATACATGACCAGTAACATGGACAGAGTATACTGTTTCGTCTATGGACAATGCGTTGGCACCCCCCATGCCTGAGAACTCGGTCTCTAGAGACCCTATCCTGGTGAATTCTTCTAGAATTCATCAGGATAGGGTCACTGACCTGCTTTCAATTTCAACTACTATCGCGCACTGGTGTCAGCGTATACTAATAACGCAGGTAGGGTTTTTTTTTTATAGGTGATAATGAAATAGTAACCTCACCCGCGCTATCAGTATACACCGACGGGGCACCAGTGACGGATGATAGATGAGGATGAAACACGTCAGTTAGTCCATCGTGACGAATTCAACGAGAATTGTTCACGATGGTTTCCAGGGGTAACCACGTGGAGGTTGACCTGATAGGGCATATTGCTAGCAATGGGGCTGTCAAACTCCATTGCTAACAATCCCTTCCCCCCGCAGGTGAGGCCACCATTCTATTCTCACCCATTGAAAAAAATATGCTGTCGGTAGGTGGCAGTTCTGTAACTGGACTTATACTTCGTAGACATAGACAAGGTGTTCACCTTTACCTTATATTTCCTTCTTTTATTTCAAGTGGTCATTTTGGGATGAACATCGGGTGTCTAAAATAGTCACTTCGCCTAAAATGATTTATATTTGCATTTTGTCTAATTATTTATATGTTACTTTATCGACGGGTTTCTCATTTTTTTTTTCTGTAAATTTACATATCATTAATTCATATCAATAAAGGTATTTGAATTTGAGGTTAATAATTGAGTACTTTAATTGCAAATAATAAGTCATTTTTGGGATTACATTGTGAATCATATAAGTAGCAATTTTAGACCATAGATTATGTTAATTTTTTTTTATTGTAATTATGCCTATATTGGCAATATTGTCTATTCTCAAGTTATAAATTATATTTTGAACTGAAATTCGTTCATTATAATTGGTTTTTTTTTCTTTCTTTTATTCTGAACAGAGATGTTTGTCATTGATTTAGAACAAAGTAATGATAAAACAAAATTGCAGTGCCAGAAGTGTTGTCCATCGGTTTTGGAATTATGGGGATATTTTAGAATGCCATTTATTAAGTAATAAAACAATACTCATATTAGTTAAACATTAAATACAAAATAAATTACAAAGGAGAAGTACAATGGCAGTTTTATAAAATAGAAAAAATATATTTTTAATAAATAATATATTTTTAAAAAATATTTATTGGCATAAAATAGAAAAAATATATTTTAAACTCCAATAATCAACATCATGGATATTAGAAAAAAAAAATATAATTTTTTAAATTACTTTTTTTAATACCTCTTTATTTCTTACAAAATGGAATGATATTGTGATAAGTCTAATGTATTTTAAGTGTTCGACCGTGGAAATTTATACTTTTGGCACTGTAAATGAAAAAAAAATCAATTTTTATTTAATTAACTATACGGAAGCAATATTTGAGCGTGTAGAGCTTATAATGTGCCTTCCCATGTTTTTTATAATATTAAATATTTGTATATAAGTTCAGAATTAGTATTCAATCCAAAGATGACAATGTATTAGGCTATGTAAAAGACTAATTCCATATTAATAAATAGCAACATTCCTTCATTCGATATATTATAATATTAAAATTAGATAAGTGTGTAATTTTTAATTAATTGTTTATGTTTTATATTATATATTAAAATATATTACTTTCCAATTTGGCTATTAGTTCTATAGTATAGTTATATTGAATATTCTCTGTCATATATAAATGTTAGTTTAATTAAAATATATATTAACATATAAGTTTAAGTTATATACAGAAAATACTGTAGTTACTATGATATTGTATCTCTACATTTATAATATTGTTCCGTTAATATTTCTAGAATGGACTCTCGTACATTGTCCTTACCAAAATGGTTATATTACATTGTAATGAACTTTAGTATTGTTTTATATACCAAATTGTAGTTTACATATACAAATTTATATACCGGATATCAAGATATCACGGTGCCTTACTTTGCAATATGTATTTAGTCGTTTATTGTAACTAAGCCAAAATATCTTCTAGTAATATAAGTTTGGAAGTCACCTTTAAATTTTATAATTGTTGTTATTAATGCATTATATTTATGAATGTGTAACGCCGGCGGTGCATTCTTTCAATATGTCCTGAATTTAAGAGCATTAAATAAGGGAGGATTTTTTTTTTCTATTTATGAAGGTAACCAAAAACAAAGACAAAGAATTGAAAAGGGAGCGCTTTATGTTTTGCCTGTTGGGATATTTTTTCTATTTAGTATTGCTTGTAATAATATGCAACATTTTTAATACTAAAAGTTGACTAATGTGATTTGTGAGGGCAATTTTTAACTTTTCCCCCTTTTTTCCCTCATTTTCTATTCCACTTCCCTTTTTTTAATTACATGATTAAATTATTATTACATTTTCCTAAAAAAAGTGACTGAAATTATTCATGTAAAACATTCCATGTAAATTCCTTGTTTAATGCTCTAAAATTTAGGTTTGCTGGTATAACCAAGGTATAACCAATATGTTCAAATTCTGGTAAAATGGTATCTTATCAGACTGAACACATACGTCATTTATCACAAAATTTAAGCTTAAGCCAAGGCAGAAACGTTAGTTTTTTCGAATTGGCACTACCGAGATTGACATCCTTTAGCTTGCTTACGTAAAAACGTGCCTTACGTCGAGGTATTAAGGTCTATGAGACTATAAAATAATTGTTAGTTTTTAAAGCTACCGTCACTCGAATATGTTTTTGTATCTCCTCTCGTGAAGGATGTAAGCCAAGGAAACAGACCATACGGCCTTGCTGATGTATATTTCCTTTTTAATGGATAGGTATTTAACAGCAGTTTTTTTTTTTTTTATTTTAATTGGAAGTATCTACAACGGTAGGGAAGTGCAAAGTCGCGACACCCAAACATTTGTTATCGCTTTTCATACGTTTGTCTCTAAATTTTATTAGCGTAAGACCGTAATTACCATTGTTTTTTTTTGTGTAACTTTTTTTTTTTACATTAAACATGTATAGACAAAACATTGGCTTTCAATTTGTGCTGAAGAATAGTGAAACGTGCACTTCCTTACTCGTGATACTTTGATGATTCACCATCGCGCCTTTATTGTTAGTTTTTATTATTATTATTTTATTTATTTTTCACTATTGTTCGGCACATTATTATTTTTTTTCCTTTATTTTTAATAATCCAAATCCCTATTTGATTATCGACGGGAAGTGACCGCTTTTAAGGTAAGAAATTGTGCCTAACAATATGTGAAATTTTCTTTATTAAATTAATTAGATTTATGATTGTGTTTTAAAATATATTTCATGGGGTACTCAGTATATTTGTAAACTAAATTCGTCCCATTAGGGGCACTATTAAGTGAATTATTAAACATTAAAAAACAGTAGTTTATTATTAGATAAAAAAATTAAAAGTGTCAATCGAACGTTGTAACTTTGTTTTTATAACTTTTATTTTATTGTCTCTTTTTTCTGTATTTTTTTTACAACACTATTCATAAATTTATTAACTATACATTTATTAGAATGGTACATAATTATAATGATTAAAATTATGTTACACGTTGTGGCCAGGTCACCCGACGTGCCTGCAGTTCACCGCGAACATGATAGTGTCCGTGCGCAAGTATCGTTGGCAATGCATCGAGTGCAAATGCTGCTCTGTGTGCGGCACTAGTGACAACGACGTGAGTACACACACTTGTACATTGTAGTTAGGGTTGCCATTATAAAAATACTAATTCCTCCCGTCACGTTTTACAAGAGTTACGGATGTAAAGAAGCCACTAAAAATATTTCATTTTGAAATCTTTTTGAACTCTGTTGATTCTCAATTAGGTGTTGTTTTTTTATGTTTGTTACCTCCTAGTTCGTTATAAACCGTAGATTTTTTTTAAAAACCAGTTTAGGTGTTTGATTTTGAAATGAAAATATTTGGTTTGCCACAATTGAAGTCGGTTTTTTTTTTGTGGAACACAATCTTTATTCATGAAAACAAGCCAGTTAGTCCATCATGATGAATTCATCAGGAATTAACCATGATAGTTTCCAGGGGGTACCGCGATATTGCTAGCAATGGGATTCTTAGTCTCCATTACTAACAATCCCTTCTCTGGGGGTCCAGTCCCCTGAAGACTCAGATTTTGACCCTCTTTCTTTGGTGTAAATGTTTAGATTTGCTGGTCGAACAGTCCTTTGAAAGGAAGCTAACGATTTCACCCTGTATAACCATTGCGTATATCTCGTACAGGACCAGCTGCTGTTCTGCGACGACTGCGACCGTGGCTACCACATGTACTGCTTGGCGCCGCCGCTCGACACGCCGCCAGAGGGCTCATGGTCGTGTGCGCTTTGCATCAAGGAGTTCCATGCTGACGAGTGAACGACCAGGTCGGTACTCATCACCTTCACTCGTCATTCCTCACTGGGACGAGATTCTTCACCATTATGTCGTAGATATGCCGTTTATACGTACGAAGCGTTTTGCGTCTTCCTTCATCATGTGTACGGCTCCTTCTAGACAAATTTAAGGCAATTGTGAATAGACTGTGGGTCCGTGGGCTTCATTTTAGATCACATCATCACTTTCCATTAAGTGAGATCGTGATCAATTACGGGACTCTTTAATAGTTTAAATAACCATAAATTAAAAAAAAAAAGATAATGTTTAATAAAGTTTTTTTTTTATTTGTGTACATTTGATTATGTAATTCACCAATTCGTATTTTTCTCCTTTCAGATGGTAGATATAATAAGAGAAAGAGATAAATATATCGAGGGCTGTTTGGTACATACGTACTCGTAAATAACGAGTGTTTCTCGTCATTTTATATAAGTTCGCTCGTAAGTGAATATTGTGACAGATTGTACATTGTTGCCATAGATTGTAGGGAGGTGGTCGGGTGAAGACTGACGGCTAGCGAATAAGTTTTTCATAGGCAATTTAAAAGCTCATCTACACAGAACGCAGCGCTGCTCGAACGTAACTTTAATTTCTCGGCACTTTTTTTTAATTTACTGTACCACTGCACCGTATCGTACGGATTTACCATTATAACGTAGTCTTGTACTATACTATAAAAACATGCCAATGTAAGATTTAATTTTCCGTGACAATATCGAGGACGTCCATGGAAATTTAACAATATTCTCAAACAATACTAACCTAACCTTTTTTAACTTAGTGCACGTGAAGTCTGCTGATTGATCGAAGTAAAACAATATTTATTGTATTAAAGTTTGGCATTCTTTATTTATTACAATAAATGTGCTTTACTTTTTAACTATTTAACATATCTGAGTCCTCAGGAATGGCAACGCATGGGTGATATCATGGGCGAAACAGTATACTCTGTTGTGTCCATGGTACTGCTCATGTCTATAGGCGACGGTTACCACTTTCCATCAGGTGGGCTGTCAGCTTGTTTGCCATTCTAAGTTGTATAAAAAAAATCTGGCAATCCGTATGTTTATTTACCACCTTAGTTGTATAATAAAAGTTTACAATAATGGTACCTTCTTACATGAAAACGATAGTGTTCTATGCAATGTATTTGTTTATAAAAGTTCGGCAATTTGTTCGCAAGTGCGCTGCGTTCTGTGTAAATCGGTCTTTATTAGTGAAGTGCTTATAATTTATATATATAAATTATATATAAGGTTTGTTGCTTAGTTGTTTACGTCAATTTTATAAATAAATAGAAATAATATGTATGCTCAAGTGTAATTAAGTTATATATTATTATTAGCATTAAAATATGCTATTCAATGACTAAACACTAATTATATATATGTATATAATATAAAATGTCTAAAAATAATTGGGCACACAGCAGAAAACTTAAAAAAAAGGGCGAACACAAAAGATCATGGAAAGGTCGCAGTGTCGTAGATTTTTTTGCTTGGAAAAAGCCCGTTTCAATAATAATAAATAATCCACTATTGGTGTACACTGGCGAATCACCAGTGAATTATGGTACAAAATGACAACATTTACCATGAACGACACTTACTCATTTACCACGAACTAGAGTTATGTACTTATAACGCCATTATGTCTGTTCCAATATGTACAATAATGTTAAAACGAAATTAAACTATATATGTTCATGGAGATATGTTTGTCATAAAACAATACGTAAATTAGTATCGAAGGCCCTAAAAAGTAAACGAAACAAGTAGGGTTGGTTTCACAAAAAAAAAAAAAAAAAAAAACACTTCAGTCCTGGCATTACTACTTACTTTGATTTAAAAACTAAACCATAGAACCAATTTTGTTAAAATATCTGTGAGTCTAATATGAAAGTACATATGTCATTTTAGTTGAAAAAAAACTTTTTTTTTCAAATCGGAAAAGTTCGAATTATAAATATTGCTGAATTTAATTCTAATTCCTGCTGAATGCAGCACGGTGCAACTACTTTATTTATTAAAACCTGCTTAAAATAAAGTTTTTTTTTTTCACGAGTATAACTCTCTTTTTTTTTTATTATTAATTTAATGAATATCAACGATTTTATGTAAATATTTTATTAAAACGCAACAAACGTTTTGAATGTGTCGAATTATTTTCTTTTATTTTATAATGTAAAAAGAAAATTGTCAAGAAATAAAATGACAAAATCCTATATTTGTCTCGTGCCAGTCTACACTCGACTTTCCTTTTTCTATGTAAGGGCTAGTTCACACGAGTGCTCGAGCGGTGACCCGGTGACGGGTTGTTGTCGAATTTATTTCCAATTTTTAAATAAGATTGATCATTTTTATAAATAACAATTGAATATCAAACAAGAATAGTTTAGCAAATGAGACTGGTATACTCAAGTAGTTAAGTCGAATTTTAAATGTTTACGAATTGGTCTCTTGATGACCATTGGACTGAACCACTGTTGATTCTTGTAGTGTGAGTTGTAGAAAAGTATGTTCCTATGGCACGATGGGGATTCGTGGCTTACCACGTCCATGGTATAAGGTATAAGATGTCTAGTGTATATAAATGTTTCCGTGAATAATTTTATTACATTTTGTAAGTAAATCCGCTGTGCTTCTCGTGTGGACGAGCCGTAATTCTCGTGTATTCGAACTCGCGCTCGCGCAGCGTGTTTATAGCATTCTTTCTACCTCTACCGGTGCTTGCTTTAGCTGATTTATTTTATTTCACAATAGACCGGCTCTACGTAATTTATGGAGAGTAATGAACATACAGTTACACCATTATTATTAGACGAATGTTACTGAGTTTGTTTCCCTTTTTGTTTATTGTAGGAAACTATTTAATCTAGACAAATATTGTTTTGCTACCCTTATAAGGTACATTTTTTTCTCATCGTGGTAAAAACTATACTATTTTTAAAGTCAGATCATTATACATTGTAAAAATTTCGAAAAGGAAACGAAAGAAACTATATATAATTATATATAATTGCAATTGGTCGAATTGTCCACTGTTGAATATAAGCCGCCCTTGGTAGGTTTGCCAGTAGTTGCCACGTTTGGCAGGCGGGTCGGCAACCGCAGTTTGACTTTGGAGATGTTCTAAGAGGGATCCTGTTGTCGTACCTATCATCGGAGTTACAGATCACGTTTATACATCGCTTAAAAACACAGCTCTGTAAAGGTGTAACTGTGTGTGTGACTTTACACACATATTGTAATAGAACGCGGTAATGTCTCCGCTCAGTGATTTAATTTTAACCCTTTTACTGGCGGTGGCAATACGTGTGCCACCAACATTTTTATGATTTTTTTCCACTTTGTAGCACCAATACCATACTGGTGTTGGCAAGGATATTGCCACCATGTTTTTTTCTTCCACTAAATATGAATATATTTTTTTTCTTTAATAAAAGTTATTAAAGTACCCACAATAAACCCAAAAAACGAGCTTTTAATTTTCCGAGACACAAAATTCTACCAGTTAGAGGGTTAAAACAGTTTTCACTTGGTCTAGTACCGTATATACATAAATCAATAGTTATGTCGGCTAGTGGTATTAAATGTTTCATGAAATAGCAGTATGCTCCTTTTTTTTATAATAAAACCTTTAAATAAATAGAATCTTTTTTCATCGATCAATATCGTATTAAAATTTAGTATTCATTTTAAATAGCTTCAGCTTAAAAATCTATATTTCCAATTTGCTGTTTCATGAAAGATGTTTGCGAAATTGTCGAATAATAAAAAACTAGTTTACTCAGTGTCAGATAGATGGCGTTAGGTTTTCATATTATTTGCTGTCTAATTATGCAGGTTACATTATTTACAGTCTGATTATTTAATAGGCATATGTTGTAAGTAACTATTTTTTTTTATATAATTTACATATTTACTTTGTATATTTTTAGCACAAACATAATTTCAAATATTTATTTGTATATTTGTTTATAGATTATGTGTGTAGCCACTTATTAACAAAAATTAATAAATAAAAACAAACCGCCATTTATATGTAATAAGTAACTAAAATTATAACTTTAATTTCTTTTGGTGATAAACACCTAGCGCCATCTAGTTATAGTTTACCACACTAATGCAAGGATTGACTTGCAATTATTATTATTTTTTTTTAAATAAAACGTGACTTCTTTTTCTTTTATCGAAATACATTCAAGTACATACATAAGTTTATCAATTAATTTTTAAGTTAATATCTGTCTATACAATGTCAGACATTGTTGTTGAAATTGTGTGCACTATTATTTTTATATTAATATTAATCCGAATTAATGCTAGCTACTATTTATTGTCATTGCTCTATCAGTTCTGTCGATGTCTAGGGGTGCGAGCCTGTGTCGAATTTAATTACAAGTAATTATTTTGTCTACAGTAGTCTACTAAAAGAACTGATACGTACTTCACTGGTTTTGATGTTGTGTACAAAGTAAAACTATCATTCCGTTTCAATATAATATAAAATGACTCCATGACATGCTGTCACTTGAGGGAATAGTTAATAAACATCTTTTTTTATGCAAATTTTTGCAGAAAAATCGTCACTTTCAGTAGTGGCAAAATTAATATGAGACCAGTACATAAGCAAACTGCTAATTGCAAAAAGAATTGAAGACATGAATGGATAAAGGTGAGGTGTCGCGTTTTTGGATTTTTGCTATCATATGCATGGATGAGGGAGAGACCAGAGGGAGATTTTGTACTAAAGTCGATTGCTTGGGTACCTCTGTCCCATTCGTGTTTCAACCGTAAAGCAGTTGTGTTTGCGTAGCTGTGTTTCGGTTTGAAGGGTGGGATATGGCGTGAATTTACAGGGTACAGAGGAATAACACCTGAATCCTCAGGAATGGCAACGCATGGGGGGTATCATGGGCGAAACAGTATACTCTGTTTCGCCCATACTACTCTTTTTCCATACCATACTCTGTCCGTCAGCTTGTTTGCCATTCTAAGTTGTATAAAAAAAAATGCGAGCAGTTTCTATTTGTAACGATGGTGCGTGTTGCCATATTAATATTGCCGAAGTTGAAATAGTTTTTTGTTTTTTAAACTAAATTATAAATGAAACTATTCCCTCAAAGTGTTAAATATAATACCGACGCTAAGTGGCTGCACTTTTAGTGCGACCACATTCCGTATGGTGAGTGAGGGAGTCCGGAGGCCCATCCTATACCCATCCCCTTCCTTATCATCCCCCAACTCCGTCCCCCCATCTTTCAATACCATGGCAGTGGAATTTAAAAAAAATAACGTATTGTCAGCATTGGAGAATCCTCCCTCCATCGGGCTTCTGCGTATTCTGGGGGGGCAAAATTCCGCTCTATGGGACCAAGGGCAAACAGAGCAAGACTTTGCGGCATCCCCTTTGCTCAATGTGAGCCTCTGTAATATTAGGGGAATTCATTCAAACCTGAATGTACCACCTAGAAACGGCGCGGCCGGCATTGCTCTTCCTCACGGAGACACAGATATCCCCTCCTAACGAAACATCATTTACCCGGGGTTAAGCTTGAACATTGTTTTGTTTCGCGTGCCGGTGTATGTGCGTATTCAGAGAGGATATTGCTGTCGACGCCTTGGGACTCTTGAAGGTAAAACTAGAAATGACCATCCCCGCATCTTTGCCTATACATCCCACAGCGGTAACACTGAAACCGACCAACTAATTGAGCACGTCCAAATGGCTACAGATTCCCTGCTTGACATGAATGACTTTAATGCCCACCATGCCGAATGGCTTGGTTCGCGTACAACCGACTATGCGGGAAGATGACTTTGCTTTGGCTTATGGTCTTACGCGAATCCCTGATGTGTTGGACCATTCACCTTCACTGCTGGACCTTCTGCTTTGGATCGTCGGATCACTGTTTTGCGAGTCCGACTCCACCTCGTTCTATGGGTAGACGTCGCATTTGGCACTACAGGTCGGCAGATTGGGAAGATGCGGATTTTTTCGCATCTTACCCATGGAGGCGGGTTTGCTTCACACTGGATGATCCCGACGCCATTGCCGGTTTGCTGATGTGGTGCTTCAGGGAATGGAATTATTTATTCCTAACTCTGTGGTGACATGGAGCCTCCTGTAGAACAGCATCTGTCTGAAACAGGAGTGCTTCCTAACCTGGGAGGTGTGTAACACCAGTGCGAAGTATTCTTCTAGGTCCTTCAAAAGAGTTTTTGCTAGAATTCAAGAGATTGCTATGCTTTCTGGTCTCTTGATGCACAAGGGAAGTAAGGAGAGACTCGTTGGCCCAGAACGCTAAAGAAAAGGCCGATCTTCTTGGATCCATCTTTAAACTCGACATTGGATTGTAGGAGCTCTATGCCTGACATTAAATTCACGCATAGCTCAGTGCGTAGAGCACTTTTCTCCTCGAAATCCATAAGTCGAGTGGGCCTGATGGTATTCCTCCAATTGTGCTTAGGACGTGCGCACCAGAGTTGGCTCCGGTTCTTACGCGTCTTTTTCGGCTTAGCTACTCATCCATAGTCCCAAAGCACTGCTCTTGCATCCGATTAAAAGGGAGATGCTCAGATCCAGCTATGCCCATAGCTATCACTTCCTTATTCTCGAAGGTTATGGAATCCATCATTAACCGTCAACTAAATTTACCTAGAAGAGCACCGGCTGATCTGTGATATACGGGACAGGGACGTTCGGCCGGTGATTTAACACACCGATGGGCAGTGGCAATCAGGCCTTAGCAGTTAGTCTGGATATTGCGCAGGCCTTTGATCGGGTGTGGCATAGAGCGCTGCTTTCAAAGCTACCTTCATTTGGGTTGCCTGCGAGACTGTGCATTTGGGTCGCCAGTTTTCTCAAGGAACGTAGCATTAAGGTCGTAGTCGACGGTGCATGCTCTGATTTAAAACCTTTGAATGCTGGTGTCCCGCAAGGCTGTGTACTATCTCCGACTCTGTTTCTTCTGCATATCAATGATATGTTACAGATAAGTAATATTCATTGCTACAGGAGATACATTATATTTTCGCGGGCACATCGATGAGTGCCGGAATAGACTTGTGTCTGAAATCGAAACTTCACTCCATCAAGTTTCGATCTTGGGTGAAAAAAATATTGTCCAATTTAACCCCAAAAAGACACAAGTTGCGCGTTTACCGCAAAAAAGAAAATGGGCGTTGATATATCTTGCGACGTCCAGTTTTGCGGTCATCTGGAGGAGAAGGCTAAGATAGCTTCTAAAAAGTTAGGAGTGCTCAATAGGGTGAGACGATATTTCATGCCAGAACACCGCCTGAAATTATATAAAGCCCAAGTCAGGCCGCATATTTGTGGGCAGGAGCGCCACAGTACTCCTTCCGTTAGACGCATTCAAAGTCGGGCGGCTCGAATTATCGATAGTCAACGCCTTACTGTCCGACTTGACCCATTGAAACTGCGCAGAGATGTTGCGTCTCTGTGCATCTTCTACCGAATTTATCATGGGGAGTGTTTGAGGAAATATTGCTGATTTTCACCACCGTACAACCCGCCACAAACTAAAGTTTCATCCCAATCATCTGGACGAGTGGCGGTCTTCCACCGTGCGTTTTTCAAGGCACTTTCTTCCACGCACAAATACTTTTTTGATACGACAACATAACCTTCAAGAAAAAGTATATTCCTTTTTAAAAGGCCGGCAGCACACCTGCAATGCCGCTGGTGTTGTGGGTTATCTTGGGCGGCGGTAGTCAATTACCATCAGGTGAGCCGCATGCTCGTTTGCCCCCTGTGTTTTAAAAAAAAAAAAAAAAAAATATTCTTAACTGCAACTATTTCACAGGCCAACAGTACTGTATCGTCTAATTCAAAGGTTCTATGTTGTTTTAATTATATTGTAATATATTACGGTTTATTTGCATATAAGTGTAGGTGTTCACATGTTGCGTTCTTGGTGGTTTCCAATACTGTGTTTTGATATAATTTTTTATATGTTATTGTATAAATCATTTGCCATTAATTGTAAAAATTAAAAATATCTCTTACGAGAAAGAGACGATATACTTTCGAAGTTGAAACAAGTTTGTTAGTTAATTTTTGTTTTTGAATGAATAAAACGCTATATTTTATTAGTAAATTATTCATCTTTAATTGTAAACAACTAACAAATTTGTCGAAGTTGAAACAAGTTTGTTAGACAATTTGTGTTTTTGAATGAACGAATGAAAACTCTTTATTGTACCCTTCAAAGATACTGATTAAAAACATTATGTACACAAAAAGTATATAAATTTAATTATATAAAAGTAAGATAAAGAGGCAATTGTAGGCCGCATTATGGGTAAAAAAAGTCTAAAAATATCTTTGTGAATAAATGGATAAAAATCACGATACAATCTCGAAATTTGTAGTAATCAACTGAAATTATTTATGTTTATACATGATGATTAATTTTTTATATCGACGTCGTATCATTTGGGTTTATTTTACAAATAAAATGAGAGATATTTTTTTTTGTTTATTAAATATCGTGACACATGTTTTGAAAACCGCCCGTATATAATTACGTGTATGTAATAATTAACGAATAGATAGTGTACGTTTTGTAAGTAAAGCTGTGATCAGACTAGGAGGTTGTGACGGACTTAGTGTGTGGGTTTACACTGACTTTTTAATGCTTTTTTTTATTATTATTTTAAGTCGTAGATATGTATAGTGTCTAAATCCGAATTTTGCTTTAATATTATCGAACAAATTCCTGCCAGCTTTGTATCATTCATAAGCGAATCTTTACGACTGTCTATCACAAGTTTTTGTAGTCTTTGTAAATATCCCTCCCCCTTCTATATTACTATTCAATATTTTGTATAAATGAATTTGAATGAAAATATAAATCGCAGACAATTATGGCAAAACCATAGACAACGGTTTTGTACTTAATATATCGTGGTGTGATCAGGCTCAGGTTTTTTACGATGCCTATATAATATCAAGAAAATATTTCAAATTTAGTTTAATATATGAATCATCGTATATCCTCATATCATACTGTCTGAAGCAGTAGTGTTTTGCCAGTAGTTGTCACGCTTGGCAGGCGGGTTGGCAACCACAGTTATTATTTATATACCACAGTATTTGATGTTTTAAGAGGGACTTTGTTGCCCATTCTTCGACTATAAAGTTCCCTTATTTGCCTCTTACGACATCTACGGTTACGAAAGAGGTGGCCCATTCTAAGTCGGGATCATACGGCAAATATACTGTATAAATAGTATCTAATTAATATATAATAGTTTATTTTATATCTCAAATTCTAACTTAATGATTTGGTGTTCTTTTTATTGACGTTGTGATGGACAGCCACTGATTCTTATGATGCCATGTCATGCCTGTTGTTTCTAGTAACTGTCTACCAAACGATATTAAAAATGTATACATACAAGATTAACTTGCATTTAGTGGTCATTTTGTTATTATGTAAGTAATGTAGGTTTAAGAGATATACGTAAAATCCCGGTGTTCAGGCGACAAAGTGTAATACTAAGAGGTTTTTTTATGGGTGATAATGAAATGATAGCAACACCTGTGCTATCGGTGTACGCCGACAAGGTACCAGTGATATGATAGGCGAGAATGAAAACAGGTTCGTTAGTTAATCGTGACGAATTTATTAAGAATTAACCACGATGGTTTCTAGGTGGTTCTGCGTGGAGATTGAACCGATAGAGTGCATTACTGTATGTGTTATGAGAGTTTGGACATTTTTGACATTAAGTGCCCAGTATATTGAACGTGTGAGTAGGCAGTCATGGATTTTGTACAGATCGTAATGGGAAGTGGTTCAATTTTTTTTTATTTTTTTTTTTTTATATATTGCTGTCTAAGATGTGAACACATATATTGAGCCATTATTTTCCAGTGTGCCAGTAAAATGCAGTTTTGATATCGTTTGAGAGCCGTCAAAAAGAATTTGTTAATTAATATGTAAATTAAGATTTCCATCCGTAATGTGTCATACTAATTGAGGTTGTTCATGTGTGGGGAGTCATGACCAAGGGATACCATAGAGTGATCTAGGTGATTCTATGTTTGTAAACGAGAGAAAAATGCTAGAAAATAATTTGAATTATTTATTATATAATATATAATAAGTTTTTGTTTCACGTTGTTTACTTTATAGAGATGGTGGAATAATATAATTGAGAGTGAATGATTATATATAATTATGTATTCGTATTTTAAAACTTAACCAAAAAATGGGCTATTTGTAAATTATACTCAAGTATTTTTCTCTCATATGAGTGAAGGCACTGTAATCGTGATGACGTGACAAAATAAATGGAAATTATCATAATATCTGCGTTTGATTTTTTACTCCTGGCTATTCGAAAAGTTTGCTAGTGTAATCCTTTTAAGGCACGATTTTGTAGCGCCTTGCCTTTACACGAATTGTACTACAAATGGTAAATAAAAAATTTGTGACTAATACAATTTCTAAAAGAGGCCTTTACTAAGAAATTCCTATATGATATGTTTAAAAATCTTTAATTATATTCCTATGGATATAAAGGAACTTCCATTAAATAAATTTAAAATTGTATTACGTAAATGGTTACTTAGCAATAACCTTTATTCTGTAGACGATTTTTTTAAAAAAGAATAGATAAATATCCAGTATAATTGTCGATGCATAAATTAATCAGTTCCTATCAAAATGGGACATTTGCCTGCTAATCTGTAATGGCTAAACAGGCATAAAACTTTATGTAATATGAGACCACCGATACCTACCTTATTTATTATAAATTTATTATTTTTATTAACTGCTACTGGTAGTGTGATGTAATTTACTGCTTGGATAAAGCAAAAAAGTGAATATAAACTTTTTTTTTTTTTAAAACGGTTTAGACTTTTTTGGGTTTTTCATTTATTAGCCTACTATAATAACATAGTAATATATAGACAAAATATTAGAACGAAAGTTTAGTGTGTTTTAAAATTATTAGAGTTTTAAAAAATATATAAAAAAAATTACAATGAATAGTCGCCAATTTCAATTAAGCGCTAGGGGTGGGGCAACTGCTACAAAGCATAGACAAAAAAGTATTTGTTCTTGTGTGTAGGTATGCTGGTGTAAGGTTATCGTTTTAAAATCATTGGGTTAAAAATAAAAAGTACATTGAAATTATCTAATTATTATTTATTCATCGGAACAATTCACTACTTTGTATGTATGATATGAAACCAAAATGTTTTGGCATTAAACGTCGGAACTTGTCTATATACTAAAATTGCACATTCTAATTGACTATACCTACACTATATAACATCTATTTACTAAGACTATAATTATCATTTATATTACTTTTATTCGGGTAATTTTGAATCTGGGAAAATTTATAAATTTATTTTTTAAATGTCAAGTCTATTAATTTGCAGTTAAAAAGATGAAGGAATTATAATCGAGTTTACCCGCATTTAAAAATTACCCAAAACATTTCAACAGACCTATAAAGAAACAAAGAATATAGGTAACAATTTTACAATCAAGATCACTTTCATTATAAAATATCACTGTCAAAACAATTTATAATTACAGTACAAAAGTAACAAAATATTCAATATCACTTATTATATTAACAAAGTTATATTAATAATTCCATTGTATGGAACATTGATCGATTTAATATTTTTGTTTTCTCATGATAAATATTTTCAATAATAGAATTAATTTAAAATTTTGTATTTGTAAATATATAATAAAAAATATCTTGTAAAAAATAAAATTCGTTGAAGCAGGAACAACGATAATATATTGCTATGTAAAATAAAATAATTTTAGTTAAAACAATCATATTATATCTACAAAATATTCAATTCACATATCCGGTTATGGGACATGCGGCAAGATTAAAAATTGGCGCCAAACTTTTTTATTTGGGATTCTTGCTCTTACGATATGTTACTTTCAATAATATAGAAACTGAGAATTGTTTCTTGACGAAATTAAGTTTTACAACCTAACATTAATATGATCTTTTATAATTAGGTACATAAATAGCAAGAAAATAAGGAATTAAATATGCGTATTTTTAAATTCTTTTTTTGTAGCATTAATACTAATACGCCTAGGGCGACACTTCCGAGGTATATATCACCGAATTGCGTCAAATTTGAGTTTCAAATAAAGACATTGTCATGGTTTAAAACTTATAAGTATCTATAATAATTTTAGGATTGAAGTATTTATTTATATTGACCTATTTTTTTTTTTGCCTTTGACCGTCATGCAATGCTAACATAAGGTAGTCCATACAGTTTCTGTTTCACGGTACTGAAAACTGTACGAAACAATATAAGTTAGTAGGTATTGTCAACACCAAAATTTGACCACTATATCCAGATTGTGAAAAATCTTTAAATGCCATAAACAATAAATCCTCATCCAATCATGTGTTAGGTACGTCGATAAAGATTTTATTTTAAAAATTAACTTCACCAAATTTTCCTTACAATGACAATCATCGTAATTAGTTTAGAATTGGCAAAGATATTACAAAAAATCGCTTTAAAAATTAACTGACTATTTGAATTGCTGAATATTGTGTGTATGGTATATACTAGTTCTGGAATTACAGAGGTATAAATTGATTTTGATGCTGACCATACTTTACTACAAAAGTGTAGAATACAAACAGTTACATGTCGGCCTAAAAGCGTAAATAAATTAACTCGTATTTTAATAGTATTTTATATGTATAATATAACTTAAAATATGTCACTATATTAAAATATACTATCTTGTAAGTTCATTCACAATTAATTGTGACGATAAACTTATTTTATATAATTTTATTTATTTATCTATGTTTATATTACAATTCATGGAAGACATTTTGATTTTGTTGTTTCGTTATAATATCTTATATATTATGTCAATAATAAAATTTACAAATAATAACTTAACTATAAAAAATAATAACGTAAAACAAAATTTAAGTAGGAAAAAACGGCCGATAGATAATTAATTAACACTAAGTATATTTTTATACCTGTAGAAGCTATAGGGCATGTTTTTAGGAAAAAATTGCGCGCCAAAAATTGAACGAACTGAGTGCTCAGTGTGATTACGATTGCATTTATGTTTACTCGATAAATTTGTATGGATATCTGAGTTTCTGGAACTATCCGCTAGAGGCGCTAGTTTTCAATAAAAACCATAAACATGGCACAATGTACAAATTTATCGAGTAAATGTGAACAAGTTTGTAACTAAACAGAATAAAGCGAATAAGTCCGTAATCTTTACAATTCACACTAGGCACTCAGAACCCGTACATGATTATTATCGATGCTCGCCATGGTTGGTGTTCTAACACCCAAGTCGGTAAACTTTCAAGGAATACATTAGGCGTTTATGTAGAGACTAGTGATTTCAGATCACGTTGTTTTTAATCGTCCACTCATTTCCTACCGTCACATTTGAAATAGAAGGCTTATTTATAGGTGATTTTTTTTTATTTTACTATATTCACTTCCATTTGGCAGGTGTCATAAAACATTAAAATGCCTGCATTTGTGCAGTGAGCTCTAATTTACCGATTTCTACGTATTGTATGAACATCGTAGTAATAAACAGGCCCAGTACTCATTGATAAAAATTCAGGTACGGTAAGATGGTTTTAGAGTAATTTATGAAAAAAGTAGTTTACGTTCTTGTCATTGAAATGCCAACCTTGTTACGTGATACAGCGTTAAGTTGATATTTCAATAATTCACTGCAACTACTTTTTTTATTTTTATTAAGTTATAGTCTCTATTATTAACACAAAATTAATTCACTATACCATCTTTTTTCACGTTCTCGACTTTTCTCTATTACATTAAAATTATATAAATGCGATGGCGCATTAAAAATAATATCAAAACATTATTTTAATATTCACTTAATTCTATGTTGGGCCGTAGCATTTTCTAAACCAAACACAAACGAACCTATGTTTATAAACTTTCTTACTTATTCCTATCAACAAATTCTCTACTGACCTTTACATATCATTTGGCCTTATTTTACAGTCAGCTCCTTGTTTATTATAATAATGAGCAAATACAAGTTATTTTCATTACCATTCAGTTACGTTGCACTCGTGCGTTCACATTATGGCATATATTGTTAAAACAACTTATATATTTAACAACTAATTGAGCGTTCCCTTATGTATTAATTAGGCAATAAGTGACAACATATAACTCGTTAACATAATTATCATTTTTGGTTCAATTTCTACAAAAATAATTAACAAACAGCACCTATATATCACTGTGTTTACATACATTCGGTTTGAACTCTGAGATAGTGGATATAATCGGCAATATGTTATCATGACAGAACCTTTTCACAGTGACTTGTAATGCAATCAAAATAAAGAACACGACTCACGATCATAGATATGTCCCTATATAAATTTTGTAACTCTAAAAGTTTAATAAATATTAATTAAAAAAATTTATGTATAAAAATTGAAATGGATGTTTATGCAAACCCTACTTTTGTTGTTATGTGTTCTTATATTTATTGTGATTGCATTTCTTCACTTGATTTCTGCGGAATGACTTTTGATGCAATTGATTAGAGAACAGAATAAAATCATGTCGAAAGGATGTCAAATAGATGTTTATAATTGACATCTATTCGACAATTTCGATACGATTCCAACTCGGTTGCGTCAAATATAACTCCGCAGTATACAATATATAAGTCCTGTATTGGTTCCATTTAGTCGAGTGTGTTTAAAATTATTTAGTTTTTGGAAAAAAATATATTAAATTATGACGATGTTGCTAATTTAATAATTATATATATATAATACCTAAACATAATTCGTGATAAAGATTATATTTAGAAAATATCTCAATTAATAAGCATTTAAATAATATAAAATATATTATCGGGCCTAACGTTTATAATAATAAACATTTTTTCTCAATACAATTCATAATAAATAAACAATATCAAACTAGAATACATTATATACAATTTGTATTTCGTTGTTTAGTTGCGAAAGTGCTTCTTGTATAGAAGCCGAATAATATTTGTTTATAAAATCTATTTAATAAATATTATATAATTTAATAATAAAATCTATTCAGATACAATGTTATTATATCTTATAATATCACTATCTTTTTGAGCCATTTATATCTTTTTTTTTTTAGAATGGTTTTCTTAAATATTCATATTTTTTTTCCTTTACAATTGTTTTTGTGAAATTTAATTGGCGGATATAATTTAATTAAAAAATGTACCGATATTGATATATTTATAATAAAATAAAAAGGCAAGATGAAGATTCGCTCCCTTATTTATAAAAACTAAAACCTACAAACCTATTTAAACTATTACACTGTTTTGTCACTTTCTATCAAATTAGGAGTTTAACAAAAAAGAAAGAGAAAAAACCGTACAATAGTTAAATAAGGTTTATGAGAGCTTTAACGTTTTCATGAATAAGGAGGTACATAACTAGGTAGATAATCTAATAAAAATAGTATCAGGAACAAAGAGAAAAATATAAAGTAGGATACTAAGTATCAAGAATAAATGATTTTTTTTGAATTCTCATAATTATTTTATATTTCATACATTTCAATATTTCGTTAATTCAGTACTAATATCAGCGTACCTCGCGGTATCTTCTTTTACTTTCTGTTTTCTATAATTTATTTAGTTTTATTGCTTTAACCATTGTTCATATTGTAGTATTTTATATTACAACAGTAGGTTAAAATAACTTCAATCAGTCATTAGTTTTAAATATAAAAAAAAAAAAACGATAACATCTGTTTTGAAGTGATTCGCTTTAACGGTTCCTTTTTTAAATTTACCCGCCAACTTTGACATGTACTTTTTTATTTAATGTACTTAAATAGTATTAGTTTACTATGAAAATCGGCCATTCGGGGCAAGCGGTCGGGGGAGGAATAGGCAGGGGCGAGCCACCACCTACTGACACCACCTCCGGTATCTGCGAGTGAAAAATATAATACGAATGTAAATAAAAGTACCTATATCAGTTTTCTTGGATCTCACGACTAAGTGGCTGAATTTATTTTAATGAAATTTTGTCATAAATGAACCTGAAAATCTATACTCTATCGGAAGTGAAATGAGATAAATTATGTATAAAATAAAAATACATTATACAGCGTCACCTATTTCCGAACTAAGCAGATCATGTACGAATAATATAGGTATTAGGCAACAAACAGAGATACTTAGATCATATATTATATTATACATATATGGTCAGGTCAATAAGAACAGATTTGATTAAAAATGCAAATGTTTGTGTCGTGCGGGGATCGAACCAGCGACTATCAGAAAGTGAGGTAGCGTCTTATACCGCTAAATCACCTCGATCGTAATCTAATACTCATTTAAAATCTAAATTAAAAAGTGAGATAAATTTATCTCAATATATTTTAAAATAAAAGTCAGCTTACAAAGACAGTATTAAAATAGACATGTCCTAACAAAATCCTGACGCATGGTAACCCTATTACCATCAATATATGAATGATTTTTAAAATATAAAGTTCATTACGACCTTACCAATACTTACCATGGTCTGGGGATGATGGGGCTGGTGATAATAATGCGCTGGGGACACGGGCGGCGTCGGGTACCCCCAGTACACAAGCGGCGGTGGCGGGAGCGCCGGCCCCATTGGCGGGTAATAATATGTCAGAGGACCTGTCATGAATAGTTTTATTAGTTTTATTTTATGGATACACCAAGTGGTGGTTTTATAATGCTATATTGAGATTCAATTTTGAGAATAAATCATGTAATAAGCACAATGTTCTATTTGGATTACCGTTTTGAATTAGAATTAAATATTAATATTATAAATAAGCATTTCATTAAAATGAGTGTTTTCTTATAAAATTTTTGAAAACTGTATAATTTATTATAAATAATAATAATAATGATAGGATACAACAAGAAAGTAAATCGGCAGGGTTTACTCCCTTGTTAGTCCCATATTAATTTTGTAACATTTTTTTTTTATCGAACTCGTTATTAAAATATGACTAGGTAAGTTAAATGTATTGTTTCTTAAACTATTTTGTAATTTTTTATTTTACTTAAAAGGATGAAACTTTTTAAAGCAAATAGACAATAGATATATAGTTTTTTAAATGTTATATTAATAATTATGATTTAATTTTATCATTAATCCTGTAATTTTTTGTACCTAATAATGTAGTATGAAGAATTAGAGTATATATTTTCCCAATAGATAATTTATGATGATAGATATAATACTGTGAATTGTGGAACTTTGTTCTGTTGAACAAAATTATATGTCATGCGATTTTGTTAGTCACAGTACGATTTACGTTATGTAAAGGATGTGCAAATAATTGGCACAGCCCTAAATGCTTTCCAATATATAAATACATTTATATGAATACCAGTTTTTATAAATACCATTTATAAGTTTAATCACCCGCTATGTGTCTAATGTTACATATTTTTAGAGACCCTATAGTTATACAGTGTATTCGTAATGTATTTTGGAAGTGAATAGTAAAATGTTTAGCTGATTTATCGTATTGTATTTTTTTCTTTATACGCGTACTGGTAATATTTCTGATAGTGGTAAGTAATTAAAATGCTATTTGCTAGAACTTAAATCATAAAAAAAGTAAATAATAAAGTAATAGTAATAAACAATAAAATAATTAGTAGATAATATTAGAAGGATGAAAAATTATAGTTGTACACTCGAAATTATATAGTGTGTCCTCGGCCGAGAGTTGAAACTAGATACATCAAGAATATATCTATAATATATATATATATATATATATATATATATATATATATATCAAAATCATCAGTGCAGTGATTGAAATAGAATTATAACAGCCACAATATAATAATAGAAAAAGACAATTACGTTATTTAGTTGAAAATTACCAGTATACATATATTAATATATATTAAAAAAAAAGTCTTAAATTACTTCAGCTAAACATTTTCATGCCAGTGTGACGTCATACGGCACATGGACGAACAAATGTAGTTATGTAATTAAAAACAAGATGAACACTCACCAGGGTCTCAACGCATTAACAGTCCACCAAAGCAGTGCGCAACTTACACCAATACTCTGATTTGTTTGTTACACACGTCGCCGATGCCGCCAACCACCAAGCTAGTCTGCGGACTTTACCAAACTTATGCTTGCCTAGTATCCCTCGTACTTTTAGCACCATTATTGCAACCTCAAATTCTTAGTTAAAATAATATTATTATCTTAATGTAATTCTTTCAATTTGTTTGTGCGCGTTAATTTAGTTATAATTATTTATTTGTGAAAATGTGTCCTAATTAGTAACGAAAATGTTGTCCCTGTAATAACAATTATGAGAAAATTTTGCTCATATTTGTAATATCATTATTATTAATTGGTTAAACGAAACTGAGGTTGCAATTAAATAAATGCGATAATAAAGAGTAAGAAAGAGCTTTATATATCACGTGACCCACAACAAATGAAGTAGATACTTACGCCATCTGGTTATGCCAAAATGATGAATACTTGGTGTACCACTAACATCCACCCAGCCTCTAAAGGGCGTTTAGACCTTACCCACGGTTCCTTTCTCTAAAATAAGCACATAAAGGATTTCTACAACACACTAAGCTGAAATTCACCCCATTTTACATGTTTATAGTTTTAATTCTATCACCTGTAGATTCCATGCATATTTTCGAAGCGTATAATAAATAATATTGTAGGATATAATTTTTATTTGAGAATATAATGCCATGTTGAGTAATTTCTAATTTTGAGGTAACTTTAAAGTTTCAAAACATATTTAATTCTTATTCATGTTAATAAGTATTATTGTTGCGTACACATTGAAAAATATTTACATTACATTATGTTACACCAAAATTTAATAAATTTAACTCAACATGACTGTAAACTCATGAAATTAAAACGGTTTATGAATGGAATAAGAACATTCTACTTCGCGTACCGAGGTAGAGTTTTAGGAAATCTTAGCCTGTGTCTACCATTATTCATGGATTAAATGAAGCATTATTGTGCTTAGATATATGTACTTGTTTTTTAAACTTTCAGAACTGAAGACCCTGTTTCAGAAGTTTGAACAAATGACATAAGTGTAGTTAATGAAGCTATGTTAGGAGGCGGGATAGAGGGAGTGATTGTGCTATTGTTTTCCGTGAGCTTGTGAAGGAAACAAGACTATGTCAGCTTTACAGTAGAGATACTGAAATCCACAATCCTTAATTCGACGCGACAATAATCGACACCATGTCGAAACGATTATTCCTTATTTTTGAAATATCGAACCGATAATACGTAATTTATTAAGCTTTGAATGAACTAGCCTTTGATTTATGTTTATATTCATAAGTTAAATATCAAATTAAGGAGTACCTAGGCATCAGAGGTAGAGTTTCAGAATGTTTGAATTCGTTGCAAGATTCTTTAATAAGTTTACCCTGTATATGACTACATTTATATGTAAACGTGTTTAGCGTAATATACGAGATACACTGATATTTAAATTAATAGTAAAATAAATAAACTATTGCATAAGTTGGCGTGAATTTACAGGGTACAGAGGAATAACACCTGAGTCCTCAGGAATGACGCATGGGGGGTATCATGGACGAAACAGTATACTCTGTTATGTCCACGGTACTGCTCATGTCTATAGGCGACGGTTATCACTTTCCATCAGGTGGACCGTCAGCTTGTTTGCCATTCGAAGTTGTATAAAAAAAAGTAAGAGTCGATGTACAAGTTTGTTTGTTAGCGGTGCACAAGGATAGATATTTGTTACATAATATAATAATTTACACCACCATTTATGCAAGATTGTAAAACTACTAGGAAATTCATAAAAATATATCTTTCAAAACTATCGCATTCACTAGTGACATTTGATCATAATTCAACTATAGATTTTGTTAAATATATAGAAAAAATTAGCAACTCTTAAACTGCCCAATAGAATAATATGATATATATATATGAATATATTAATATGAATTGATAATTAATGAAGTTCACTTTGATAACACAGAATATTCGGCCACTCACCTCAATAGTGTTAGTAACACAAACACATCCTAACATGAGCATTTGATAAGGAAGCTTACGTAGTTAGTAATCTCCTTCACAAGTCGTCTTCTACGTAATGAAGCCTTGTTCAGAATATAAATAGCACAACCAACCTTCAATGGCGGTAGAAGATTATAGTATATTTATATTTTATTGAGTAATCAACTATTTAAAAGTATACACGCTTAATTATTAATTCTGTAATTAAATAAATATATTTGCTTACTTTTAAAGTTTATTGTTATAACCTTGAATTATAACAAGAAACTTTAAAAATAAATACATTTCATAATTATAGTCTAAAACGAATGTTAATATGAATGTATGAATTATATGTTTCAAGAAATGAGAGAATTAAAGTCTTAAATTCCCGCCTTCTTCCACCGCCAAAGCAACCACATACCAAAGAAACTCGCAATAAATATGATCTAACACGTAAATTATCATTTTATTTAAAGTACGCAGTAAACTATAATTAGCCAACTAATATAATTATAAAAAGAAACTCATTATCGAACTAACAAGGTGAGACAGAAGCTTCGTAAACCGACTTCCGAGATAACTTAGTGCTACTCATTTCATTAGATTTTATAAAAGTTCTTTATTAAATTCGTAAACGCCCATTCTAAATAAAGGTATGTAATTTTGGACTGATTCCGTGTAAACATTATTCAATTTTGTATACATTTTTTAGGACTAGTATTATACTTATACATTTGTTATATAGTTAAAATTTTCGATTTGGAATTTGCAATATACTTTACGGTTTAGTACCATTTAACATCATGTTATAAAAAATGTTGCACATAAGTATAGCAATTTTGCTATATGTTGAATTAACGAAATTTTAAATATAAAACCTCGCATTTTAGCTGAGAAGAGTCCACAATTACAGACCTTTACTGTTGTGGGGCTCTCATAAACGTCACGACGCCCTCACACCACGTGTCCCCCAGTCAATACGCAAATATTTCAATGAAATTTAGTGCAACATTTTTACAGTGGCAATGGTACTGATTTTGATGGCGTACTCTAAAAACAAGTTAAACTTAGAGATAACCTTGGAAAATAAAAAAGTTAAACATAACTTTTGAATTGCACAACATTCCCCAAGGGACACGGACTCTCCACAAGGGCTCTAAATCTGTCACGTGACTGCAGGGTTGGTATCAATGGTGTACATTTTTTATTATATCTATGTTTATGCAGTTTAAAAATAAAGTTAATTATAACTAATCATCGACGTTTTAATATGTATTCGAAATTTAAAATTGCAGTAGTATGCCGTCGATTACGAAAATTCCCGGACATTCTGACACCCTGTATAAACATCATCACAACATCAATATATTTATTAGGTATACAAAGCACATTAATTAATTGCGAATACATGGTGTTTTATAAAATACAACATGCACTAAATATCATTGGAATAAAAATTTATTCATTTAAAGTAATAAAAGACGAAATATTGAAAGCATAGAGAAAGTATCAAAGGGCAGTAGAAGAGAAGCTTGTGTAAGTACAAATGCGTGTTAATGACTGGAGGATACCAGATCACCCCTGACCGTCATTGCTGTTATGGTATAAAAGTTCACTTTACGACGACAAAGATGACCATACAGAGACCCCTGAATAGGTTATCCAAAAAACATAAAGTATCAGTTGTTCTGCATTGTAAAAACCTATAGAGTGTATAATATATAATATTAAGTAGTTTAAAAGTATAATTACATCAAAGCAATTAGAATTCAATACAAAATCGACTATGAGAACCATAACACCATAAGCTAATCGTGTAGATACAAATTATATGAGACAGTAACATAGTATCGCTGTACGTTATGTATCCGGACGAAGTGTGCTCTGGAAAACGACAAAATACAAGCAAATTCATTGTTGTAATACACCCCGGTTCATTTCGACGAGCCATGCAAACCTTTCCAATAAATTTAAGCGGTCCATGCTAAACCCATAGTTGGTTTACGTTATGTGATAACCGTTTTAACATAAAGTGCCACACTTACCGAATTCCCGTTGTTCAATCACGCCCATGCACATTTTCCATAACACAACCAGTTCGGATACACCAAATTATTACAACACTTGGTTTTTTTTTAATTATTATTGATAAACACATTATTGCATCGTAACTAAGGTAAACGATTGCAACTTTGACAGTGTAGACTTTGTCCCTTGCCGTATTAAATTATAGGTAACAGTGTAAAGATATGAGCACAGATAGACGTCAAAAGTAAATTTCGAATTATGTGAAAACAGCGCGGTTTTAGAGATGTTTCTTTCCATGAACATTTAGGTTATGAGTTAAGAGACTACAGCATAAGCTTCTTCGAAAATGGAGTAAAAATATTTCCTTTTTGTGCGTAATGCCCCTGGTATGCATGCAAGCGTTCATATATATATATATATATATATATATATATATATATATATATATATATATATATATATATATATATATATATATATATATATATATATATATATAAATGAAGTTTTGCCAAAGCAATGCTTGGCAGACGGGTTGGCAACCGTAGTTAGGCTTTTAGAGACGTTTTAATAGGGACCTTCCCTTAGTGGCCTCTTACGACACCCATGGGAAAGGAAAGGGTGGATCATTCTATGCCGGGGACACATGACATAGGTTATGGTAACTGTTTATTGACCTGATTTTAAACATTCTTTTCATTTTTATTCCAGAGGGAGACTTTGTACAAAAGTTGATTGCTTGGGTACCTCTGTCCCATTCGTGTTTCAACCGTGAAGCAGTTGTGTTCGCATGGCTGTGTTTCGGTTTGAAGGGTGGGACATGGCGTGAATTTACAGGGTACAGAGGAATAACACCTGAGTCTTCAGGAATGGCAACGCATGGGGGGTATCATGGGCGAAACAGTATACTCTGTTATATCCATGGTACGGCTCAGGTCTATAGACGACGGTTACCACTTTCCATCAGGTGAGCCGTCACCTTGTTTGCCATTCTAAGTTGTATAAAATATATATATATATATATATATATATATATATATATATATATATATATATATATATATATATATATATATATATATATATAAATCTACATTATTAGCGAGTGAAACAGGTTAGATATTATTTTCGAAAATTCTATATGCCCGCGTGAAGTCGAGCCGGATTGTTAGTATTACGATAAAGTAAATATTTATTTGCTAATAGACGCCACTGTTAGCTGTCAAAATGGTAAGGGACAGTGAATGTATTTCAGCTTTATTGTCAAAGAGGCAAAACGTAAATATATTTAGATATGACAGAACAAAGATTAGTCATTACACCGTGTTTTGTGACTGAAGCCCCATACCTATGTTTGTGAATACCGAGACAATGGCAACACCATAAACAATTACGTTAACTTTATAGGGATTTCTAAATAGATCCATTATAGGTACAAAACACCATACTTTGAACACATTTCCATAAGCTTATCAATTTTTAGGCAATATTTTATATTATTTTTTTTGTTAAGCAAATTTATTTTCTTTAGCGCTTAATTACATTATCAATATATGATTATTTTATTATACATTGATCTCCTTCGTTAACATAATACAACTTTTTGAAACCTACATTCATAAAAAAATGACGAGCACTTTTTAAGTGTTTGTAAACAAATCTATTTAAATAAAGATGATTCAAATTTGAAGTTTATTCTAATTTCAAATTTTTAATAACATATATATTGCTAAACATATTGTTTCCAACCAGTATTTTAGTAGAAATGTTTGTATATAAGAAAAAAGATATGATAATGTATATAAATACATAATATATGTTCTGCATGTATTATACATAATACATATACATGTATTGTGCAAGATTTTACTATCACTGGGTGCATCATTAGCATATATACTATATAATATAATGATATATTCTATGTTTTTAATATAAGTATAAAAATTGATACTGTAACATAGCGCATAGAGGACACTTGAAACTTGTTAAGAAATGTGTTCAATATATTTTATTGAATTTTAATACCGATATAACTATACTATGTGGTGTGAGGTTTTGAACAATGACGTTAAGCTAGGTGGATATAATGCTTTAAATTTGTTAAAATGTGAACAATATAGAGATGAGAGGTTTGGCTATAGGGTATCAGGAAGCAGGAGAGGATAGATGCCATATTTCGAACGCGATTTAGGTACCGAAGCTAAAATAGCAATTCCAAAATCGACTTGTAAAAAAAAAACGTAACAACGTTTCGCAAAAAAAAAAACTTAAAATATAATAATATGATCTAAAAAAAAAACTGTATATTGACCGCAAAAGGTGCATTGTACTCGATATAGTATTAAGTACTCGATTATTCGCATAAGTACTTCAAGTACTTATTTAGAAGGTATATATTTTTTTAGACTATCACTCAGCCTTGACGATTTATGTCTTTTAGCTAATGGAATGTCTACAGTTAAAAATCACAACAATAAAAAGTATCTCGCAATAGATATATTACCACAAACAACATTAAAAACTAATTACCTAAATATATTGTCAATGGATAAACAACCTTTCTCATTTTAAACTACAAACTAATAGTACTAATTCATAGTGCAACAGTATTTAAAGTCAGTACAAAATCAACAAAAAAAAAACACTCTGATTTCATGTAAGTACACAAGTATATCTAAAAATATCGAGCTGCTGTTATTAGCTGCCGTTATAGAATAATAAATTCATGACAATAAAGTTAAAACAACGAAAACATAGGGAAGGCACACGGTGGTAGTTTCAAAAACTATTTGAGCCTGTTGTCACATTTCATACCCTGTTCAATTTAACTACCGCATCGTAGTTGTGTTATTCGCAAGTCTTTTAATTATATATGTTATTTAGCTTTACATAAGTAACACCGGCGCCGTTGTTAACCTTGACGTGTACACCATGTCAAAGTTAGACTGTCCAAGCGATATGAAATTGTGGGACATTTTTACCGTATATTTAAACACCGGGGTAGTACGGGTAAGTAGGGAACATTGGCAGCGTAGCGGTGGGGAACGACGCGCTCATAGAGGCCGGGAGCGCTGTAGACAAAGAGCCGTACCCTGCTGGCAGAGCGGTGGGTATAGCCGCGGGCAGACCACTACCGTACGTCGAAAGCATAGAGTTCGTATTAGCGTACGAGAATATCGGCGGGGACGTGCCGTAGGACAGAACAGGGAGGGACAGGGCGGGCGCCATCTGCGGGGGGAGCGTGTAAGGTCGTTTGGCCGGCGTCGCCTCCGTGGGGGTGAAGGCGCGGTCGTAGGTTCTCTTAGTAGGCAAGATCGTCTGCTGAGCGGGGAGGAACTGAGGGATGGGGTAGGCGGGCCCGGCGGGGGCGGGGGAGCGGACGGCCGTGTAGGTGGGCAGCAGGGGCACCATGGGGGAGCGCAGGGAGGCGAGCAGGAGGTTCTCGTGCTGGCGCGCGATGAGGCTCTGGTGCGCGATGTGCTGCGCGAGCAGGCGCGGCGCGGGCGCGGCGGCGGCCGGGGGGGGGACCAACGTACCGGGTGAGAGCACTTTCGGCGAGGTGGCCGGCGTCACGCCGCCGGTCAGCACCAGGTTCATGTCGTCGCCGGAGCACTGGAACACCTGCACGGAAATATATATTTTTGTCAAACATGCTTGGAAATGTGAGCATTATTTCGACAATCTTCTTCGAGATAAATCAAAATTACTGTACTGGCCAGATACATGCGGGCAGCGGCCGGCAAAAGTTGTATGAAAATCCATATCTGTCGTGTTTTGCGGCCAGATAAATTACTATGTAAACTCATATCTGTTCTGTAATTTAAAAATGGAATGACTTTTTACTTCGAAACATGGCTACTAAGGAGGTAACTAATACAAGGTTTTATTTAAATTTCGAACTGGCTTGCAAATAGAAAGCTGTTTATTGAAAAAGAAAACAAAGGAACATTATGGCGCGTGAAAAATTATTATTGTTCGTTATTCGTCATTGAATTTAAAAAGTAAAATTGTGTTTTTGATTTCCGCGCATTGTTTGAGAAAAGTACTATACAAGCCTTGGCCACAACTAGGCATTGATAGACTCACGTATGTGTGCCTCGGCCCCGCCTCGGCCCACATTTGCACGTTCGTCCATCAATGCCTCAGTTGCTAGCCGCTGCAGTAATGTACTATTTTTAAATACATAAATTCATTTCATTAGAAAATGATAAAGTCTCTTACTGACATGTCTAGTTGTCAATTATATCAAGGGTAGGAGAGACACATAAAAACAAAATAAATCAATGCGTTCCTTTGATAAACCATTGGCCCAATAAAACAAAAGCACAGTCCAATTGAAAAGCCAAAAAAAAAATCTTATATGATTTTACTTACTTCGATGTACCGTTGCTTTTTCCCAAATGTCATGTACCGATGATGCTTTTGCTGCGCGCACAAGAACGCGCTCGCTTCGCTGTCCATTTGTATGAACGCTTCGCCGCTAGGGTGACCCTGTTTTATTGCGTGAATAAGGAAATATATAATAATAAATAATAATATGATATTTATTACTTATAAAGAGTACAATATAAAATAGGTACATTTGTATTTAAAATTGAGGAGTTCTTTGGTCAAGAAGTCTTAGGTCTTGTACTGTTTAAACCTGTACTAGATATCTGAGATATAATGTAATAAGTATATATACATATACTCGTATATGATTTTACGATGAATAAATGTAGGTTTTAATCCAAATCCGTAAAGATGTCACTTACTTGAGCATTGTAAACCATATGTACACCTTGGACCACTATGTTTTTGGCAAATTCATCCAAGAATGTCAGTATGTGCTCGACCTGCAACAATGTATAAATGATACTGTCGATTTAGTATATTTGCTTATAATCTGAAACTTTAATTTACATTTTTTTTAACAATAGATCCAGAATTAGAATAGATTCCGAGTCTACTAATTACTACTTTTGAGGATACTAACTCAACAGCTGAACGCGCCGTGTTAGTGTGAAAGTTCGAAATTTTCTATCGCTTATTGCTCTATGTTCCTTTGGAAAAAAATATTCAATTTTACTGATAGATATTTGTTTTTTTTCAGCGGTGGATTAACGGGGGGCGGAAGGGGTTGCTCGCACTCTGAGTCTCTTATCCTGGGGGCTTCCATACGCTTTCATTTTATTAAAATTTCACTTACAAGACTTTAACTAAATAAAGAAAAGTTTTAAATAAAAGATTTTTCGACGACGTCTGGAAAATGTTTTGGACTTTTCATTAGATGTAATCGCGATATTGGTTCTAGTTAATCTCCGAAACCGCTCAACCGATTTAAATGAATATTATAATGTGTATTGTTTGCTCTGACTTTAGAAATAGGACAATTTATATACCAATGAATAAAAAATAGACTCGGTAGATGGCGGTGGGGGGTTTCATTGATAAATGCATAACGGAAATGGCCGTATGGTTTCGACATAGAAAAGATTACTCCTTTCCCATGGGACTTGTAAGATGGGACTAAAGGAATTTAATAGTCGAGGGATGGGCAGCAGCGTCTTCTAAAACACTACCAAAAGCTTAACTGGGGTTACCAACTCGTCTGCTTAGTGTTGCAACTACTGGTAAAGTGGTTTGTGTTCAGCAGTCGATGTAACAAAATTGCTTAATTTTATATGTAATTGATTATAGAAGTAATAAATGTATACCTGCGCTTCGTATGGTAAGCCCCGTAAGCGGACACAGTCCTTGGCTGTGCCGGATGTGATCACGTGTTGCGGCACCAACACGGGTAGTAGGCCTTCCGAGGGAGCTGGTGCCGCTGTTGGCGTGCTCGCCGTACTGGATCGAGTCTCTAGTGATCTGTTCAGGACCTGTAAATGAAGTTATGTTTACTTCAGGGTCTTTTTTATGATATTTCCATTCTAGGTTAACAAGCTGAAGGCACTTCTGATGCAAAATGGTGACCATCGGCAACAGACATGAACAGCACCATGGACTGCAGTATAGTAATGCAATGAACCCAGTAGTTTTCCACCAACAATACTAATGTAAAACGTAATGTTAACTCTACTTAATGTATCCAATAGTAATTAAGGCTACATATTAATGCGTACGTATGGTACAAAGGGTTTTATGGAAACATAACTAGTTGAAATTCTCCATTGCACAACCGTAACGGATTGCAGTAAACGAGGTGCATGTGGTGCTAGTGATGCAAACTAACGCACGACTTAATCTCAAGGGCGCGCTGAGGACATAAAAGACATTTGTAATACTTTACTAATATTGTAAAAAGACTTACAAAAGAACTGTCATAAAAGAATTTTCACAAAAGAACCGCCTTCAATTGTAATAAAACCAGTTGTTTTGGTCTAAAAATTAAAGTACTTAATCGATTTTGATAACATTTCTATGGGACCAATCTGTAAGTATATACTATCATATAAAAAAATCTCAAATCGGTGCATAACTAAACGGAGTTATGAGGTAACAAACATAAAAAAATAATACAATTAAATTAAATTGAGATTCTCCTTTTTGAAATCGGTTGATAAATGTGAAAGTGAGTTTGTCAGCTTAGAATTGTCTGTATTGTTTGTTGAAATTCAACATTTAAATATATACATACATATACATTAAAATAAACGAGAATAATAAGTCGCCGTGTGGTCCCGGTATGGAATAGACCATCCCTTCCTTTCCCGTGGGTGTCGTAAGAGTCGACTAAGGGACGACGAGGGATGGGCAGCAGCGTCCCTCTTAAAACATCTCTAAAAGCCTAATTGCAGTTGCCAACCCGCCTGCCAAGCGCGGCAACAACTGGCAAAACTCCCCTTATGGGGAAGGCTTATGGCTTAAATAAAAATTAAAAGATTTTTCTACAAAATCTACTTCTGGTAAAAAAAAAATATGAATGTACGATAGAATATATAAATGTTTTGCAAGTTATAGATATTAAGTCCTAAATTGTTTGTGGTGAGAAATAATAATAATAAATAAATAAATAATATAAGGGTATTTTCTCGAAGCAAAACTTCCAACAATTCCCTGAGATTTACATTCAAAACATGTGATCGACGAATGTTTTCGATTATAGATTCAATATACAAAGGTTAAAATGTCTAAAGTGCAAGTCGAGTCAACATGCAATTAATTATCTATATTTATATATGTATATGTATATGTATATCACCAACCACAGTCACCTAATCGCAAAAATATCACAGATGTACAAAGGTTCGGAAGCATTAAGATAATGTAATACCGTTTATTAATAATTTAACCTTTTTACGCTCTTACCGAAAGGTGGTCTAAAGTTTGGATATAAAATTAAACTGAGAATCGTATATTAAAACTTTGTACATAAATCGTTTGCTTGGGCATCTCTGTCTCATCTGTGATTCTACCGTGAAGCAGTTTTGTTTGCATGGCTGTGTTTCGGTTTGAAGAGTGGGATATGGCAGTGAATTTACAGGGTACAGAGGAATAACACCTGAGTCCTCAGGAATAGCAACGCATGGAGGGTATCATGTGCGAAACAGTATACTCTGTTATGCCCATGGTACCGTTCATGTCTAAAGGCGACGGTTACCATTTTACATGAGGTAGGCCATTAGTTTGTTGGCCATTCTAAGTAGCATTAAAAAAAGAGTAGATTATTGACATAGAACTACCCCTTCCTTTTTCGTAGGTGTCGTAAGAGGCGACAATTGGAACGTAATGGTCGAGGGATGGGCAGCAGCGTCCCTCTTAAAACATTACCAAATGTCAAACTGCGGTTATCAGCCTGCTTGTCAAGCGTAGCAACTACTGGCAACTCCTCCCCGCCTTAAGGGGGGGTATTCATGTCTATGATCGACTAGTAACACTATATGATGTGTAAACCGTTATTTATACTGTCTTGGTAGTGTGTTTAATAATAATATATATATATATATATATATATATATATATATATATATATATATATATATATATATATATAAATATTACTACATATGATTATGTTTAGATAATACATAAGATTGTTGTTTAGATAAACGGCGCGTTTAACCGATAACGCTTTTAATTATAAAGAAAAAAATAGAGTTCAACATAAACCGATATGATGTAATTGAAACAAATAATAATATGTCCACAGTTTATTATTAATTTATTAAAGCTGTTTACGCGCATGCGTATTTTTATGACGTCTCGTTTGTAGAAAAATAATTGGCTGGAATTAAGATTTGTTATTGTTACTTCTAATGGTTAAATATTTAGCTGTTTAAAAATAACTGTTTGTATAATTTTAATTATTAATAATGACGTTAACGTTATTATTAGCTCTTTAAGGAATTATTAACATATCCTATACAAATATTAAAAAATCAAAAAAATTTTCTCAAAAACTATCGTCGTAAATCAGAATTTAATTTACAAACACAAAGATATTCATCTCAAAAGACGTAAACTTTAGCCTTAAACTTTTATTTTATAATTGAAATGATAAACAGTGGTATAAAAATCATAAAAACTCCAATAGCTAATCATACCGAAGGATATTTTTCGGTAATGGCATAGAAAGAAACATTATTGTTTTATCTATGGTAACGGGATTCAATATTAAAAATGATATTTTTGTCTATGGTAATGGCATATGAATTCCCGCTAAAACTATCGTTTGAGAAAGAAGTATAAGTCATAAACAGTTTACCTGCTGAACTTCTGCTGTGGTAGATCGAAACAGCTCTATATATCTGGAGCCGATAAGTTTCCGGTGCCTGGAGAGGGCTTTTGGTGCGTCATCTTCCTTTGCGAACAGCACAAAGGCGTCCCCCGTCGCTCGGCCATCCGACCTCCGCACAAAAAGAACCCCGTCCGCGCCGTCCAGCACTTGAACTGGGTCGTCGCCAGTTGAGAAGAATTCCAGCTGGAAATTTTATTGGTTTAGTATTACATGCATAAAATAATTAAGACTGTATTTCACAAAAAAAGCGACTTCAAAAGTGGCGAAACCAGTTATTTTAATTTAAAAACTTGACTACTGTACCTAATTTGATAAAACATTTATGGGATCTATAAATACATCTTTACAACTACAACATTACACAGCAAACAAGGTGACGGTTCACTTGACGGAAAGTGGTACCTAACCTTCGTCTATAGACATGAGCAGTACCATAGACATAATAGAGTATAATGTTTCGCCCATGATACCCCCCATGCGTTGTCATTTCTGAGGACTCAGGTGTTATTCCTCTGTACTCTGTAAATTCACTGCCATATCCCACCCTTTAAACCAAAATACAGCCATGCAAACACAACTGCTTCACGGTAGAAACACGACTGGGACAGAGGTACCCAAGGAAACGACTTTTGTACAAAGTCTCCCTCTGGTTTATAATTTTATAGAATGGTAGGCTATATTTTGTTAAAAAATCTGTGCAAAGCCGGGGCATGTCGATAGTGTTGGAATAAAGAAACTCGCATATATTATATATACATGAACCCTGAAAACATTATACTTTTTTTCTGCGCAGTTGTGTAAAAAGTATAGATAAGTATACTTACAACTTGTTGTGGTGTAGCATCATACGGCAGGCCACGCATGCGTACTATGACCTGCGCACCCCGCGTTAAGAAAGCTGCTGCCTCGCAGGTGGCGCCACCCGCCACAGATAAGAAATCCTCACCACTGGCCCGGTACACCTGCACAGATAACAGGGAAGTTTCAGTAAAGTGTGAATTGTTGAAAAATGAAAGTGTGTTTGAGTCAGTTCTTTTGGATACTTGCAGATTTATCAGTTTCATAAGTAACGCTTTAATAATAAGAAACATTGTCAGGGCTTGGCGCTTCTCTGGCACTTGTCTGTTTTTACCATAGGGTTTTATCAACACATGTTTTTTTTAGTGTAAGAGAACAATGCATTGGTAACCAAATAGATGAATAGATACTCTTTAATGTTTCCTTGATGGGATTATAAAAGTAAACTTATTATAAATGCAAACTATTACAAGAAAATATTACATTAAGAAAAAAATACGCGGCCTAATCGCTAAGAACGATCTCTTCTAGGCAACCTTTCGATGGAGAAAAGTAATTATAAACAGTTTGATTGGAGGCACGAAACTCTGTTGGTTTTTTAAATACAAATAGTTGTTTATTATGTAACTAAGTAACATAGATAGACAAAATTTACAACGCAAGATTTAGACCATAGGTACATATACGTACTTAGTTTTGAGTTAAAAAACCAAGTATAAAATTGTTTTCGAATCTACTAAAATAAGTTTACATTTTAAACAAAAGTTAGAGGAAGAAAGGACTGAGGATATGCTCGCATCATCTCCATCCGTCTTTATTTGCTATACTTCGACTATTGACTGCTATTGCTAGATGGATCCACCTCTACTTGTTAAAAATCTAAGATATGTCTGTGATAGTCGTAAGCTTTCTTTCAATAGTCACTGATAACGATATTCTGTCGTTTACTTCTTGCCAAATAATTTTACTGTAAGAATATTTATTGGTTTCACGATCTACTTCAGTTTTGTGAAAATGGTGCAATATGTAAAATATCAAACCCTTTTACCTTGTTTTTCCTGGTGAAATGTCCTCAAAATAAACAGCTGATAGGTAGGCATGAAAGAATTGTGGCTGATATTAATGATTAAAGTATTTTTCCTACGATTTATAATAGAAGGTAGGGAAAAAAGTAGAAGGGTAGGTAGGTAAGTACACACGTGTAGTTAAGCAAATACCTGCTTCACGTTTAACCCATTCTGAATTACTTTTGCATACAATGATTTTTTTTTCACAATTTAAGATACTTAATATGAAAGGAAAGCAAAGGTTTTTCCAATTTTTTGCTAATATTTCCATAAAATGATATAAGAATTAGCTTTTTATTCATACATCTTCATGCTGCACATATAATACGTAATCTCAAAGTAAATTAAAAAATACATAGATGACGTACTTACCTCAATGTACCTGGGTCCGATGTGGTGCTTGTGTCGTTTGAGAGCCATGTCCCTGTGCTCTTGGGATATGAACCGAACTAATGCCTCGCCGTTGCGTCTACCTTGAGGCGAGAGGCATAGAGCTACTCCACCCCTGAGTAAATGAGAAAAAAGATAAAATAAGTCATATATATATATATATATTAATTGATGATAATTTTTTTTTATACAACTTAGAACATAACAGAGTATACTGTTTCGAATATCTGATCCCGCGACATCGACAACGGTCGTATCGTTACATTAAATAGTCTTCTTTAAGAAATAAATTAACAAATGCAAAGAAGACAGGAGTTTCAACAACAAACAAATAAACAAATTCTTCCGCATTTATGTATAAGTATGGATAGATTTTGAAATATAATAATATTAAAAAAAAAATAAGTATTAACTTACTTAGCGACATTGAGACCTCTGAAGAATTTGGCAATGTCCTGATCAGAAGACTGCCAGGGGAGGCCGCGTGCGCGCACTATGCAATTACCATCAATCTCATCGTCTTTTGAGCTGAAACAATGGAAACATAACTTTATATAATAACTTATGTACAACAAATTATTATATGACGCGTTAGTAAAACTATAATATATAATTCTTATAATACTTTCAACCGACTTTAGAAAATAGAAAGTTCTTAATTTGGTTGATTTTTTTTATGATCTGATGCAGTTATGAGGTAACAAATATCTAATAACTGTCTCAGTTATAAATCGATTTGGAAAATTCTTTTTTAATCCGAATTGATGGGGAGAATGAATGAATGGATACACACAGATTGGTCCTATACAAATTTTATCAAAATCGGTCTAGTTGTTTAGTTTTTAAATCAAAATATCAAATAGATAGATAGATAGATAGATACTCTTTATTGTTTCCTCCAAAAGATTACAATAGTAAACTTATTATAAATATAAACAATTACAAGAAATAATCACATTGAGAAAACAATGGGCGATCTTATCGCTAAGAGCGATCTCTTCCAGGTAATCTTATTTAATGGAACAAATCCAATTGTTTTCGTTATAAGTAGTCATAGTCAAACAAAATCTAGCTTCATACGGTCACAATTCCTAGAACAATGTCTCGCATGTAGGTAAATACTATAATAGTTACAAGTAGTAGGTACTGTTCGTGGCAGCCAGCGTTACGGCGTGCAAGCGTTCATAAAATGTCGTAAAAATTATCGTAAACCCTTCTCAACTTCGTAGATAAACCGAGTCACACTTTATATTTGCGTAGTAATATAGATGTGACATTCTATTTGTATTGAACCGAATAAGATTTGACATCCACTTCTAAAAGGAAAAGGTTTTAAATTCGATTAATTTTTTAAGGTTCTGTGCCTTAAAAGGGAAAATGGAACTTATAGGATTACTTTGTCCCTCTATCAAGACCCTTTTTCTCGAGAAAGTGGTGGAAATACTCAAGAGCTTGCAGTATTTAAAGATGTGAGAAAATCAAAATATCAAGTGATATCAATCATATGATACGTACGTATATTTTGACATTTGCAAGGGAATTCACATTTATTGGGTACTTCTCGTTGACTTAGAACTATGAAATTTAGCAAAAAGCAATGTCGTACAGCATGAGTAAAGGGAAACATCGATTAATTAATCAGGCCTTGGTAAGGCGGGCGAGGTAGGGGCCTCGGGGCGTACCCCATTGCCTCAGCTTCAACTCCGCGGGCTAAAACCGTAAATTTTACGTTAACCGTTACATTACAAAAAGTTTTTTTTTTTATCATGATTTGTACGGAAACCTTGGTGTGCGAGTCCATCTCACACATGATCGTTTTTTTAAATAATAATAATAAAAAATAAATAATAATAACTACTACTTTCTTTTGTGTATGTATGATTATATTATACTTTCTAATTACCAAAATTGCAATGAAGAAATAATGTAACAAAATTTAACAGAAGTAAGTAGATACATATTTGTAAACATATACTATAACTAGCTGTTCACCGCGACTTCGTCCGCGTTTCCGTCGTTTTTTGTAAAATAAGTAGCCTATATCCTTCACGGTTCAGTGGTTTTAATGTAACAGACACATTTCTCTTCATTGCTCTGCTCCTATTGATCATAGCGTGATGAAAAGTATACTATCACCTGACCAGGAGTACGAAGAATAATTGTACCAAGTTTCATTAAAATACGTCGAGTAGTTTTTGTTTGTATAACGAACATACAGACAGACAGAAAAAATTTTACTGATTGCATTTTTGGCATCAGTATCGATCACTAATCACCCCCTGATAGTTATTTTGGAAATATATTTCATGTACAGAATGGAACTCTCTACAGATTTATTATAAGTGTAGATATACGCAGCAAAAACATTATTAAGTATAATATAACCTAATTGTAAATAAGTACAAATAATAATCAGTGATATTGGAAATATAAAAACAACATCTATCTACGCATAAATAATGTTGATAATTTTCTTATAGTAACGTTACTATTTCAGTAATCAAGCCCTGATTACAGAATTATATATTTATTCTACAAATACACTATCTAATCTAGTAACTCTATACTAATAAGTAAATACTACGTACATACGTATCATTGATTAGAACCAGTTGTGATTAGTAATTAAATAGTAATGTCAAGTAAATAGTACAGTATCATGTTTCACTTGTGTTTCAGCCGCTAAGTAATTTTTTTTTATTATTATTAAGGGCTTTTACCTTCCTCAGGTATATCAGCCCTATCGTACCCTGAACTGATTTGTCAAATCAAGTTTTATATATATATTCTTTATTACACTTGTAAGTTACATATAAAATAATCTATTTATACATGTTGTGAGCAAGGGTGGACTTATCTCTGACAGAGATCTCTTCCAGTCAACCCAGTACAGTAAGAAAGCATTTCGTTAACGGGCAGCTGAAGTGCTACAACTATTAATACATAAACAAATATACAGTTAAATAAAATATTAAAATATATAATAAAATATTACGTAAAATATATACACTATAAATACATATAATACCTACCTACTTATATAATAAATGTTAAAATAATAGAATATACTACTTACATTAGAAATTTAGTTTAATGATTTTAAGATTTGACAGTTCAATTAGAAAAAAAAAAAAATATTACTCAAGGGAAAGAAAATGTGATTTCAACCTTTTCTTGAAAGACGTAATAGAGGGACTCTCTTGTATGTGGGTAGGGAGTTAGTTCCATAACTGGACAGCTCGATACGAGAAGGAGTTGCCCATAAAATGTGTCCTACACACATCTACTTTCCCTAGACGCAGAAAGAGAGGAATTAATGGGCATCAATAATTTACAGAGATGTTAAAAAATTTCCGATTTAAGTTCATAAGTTAATATAGATTGAATAAGACCAACATTGAATTTATTTAAAGTGGCGTAAGAATTCTTCTCTTTTCTTCGAGTTTATACGACACTCTAATAGTATATGACTGCATAGCTATGTTTTCTTTCTCAACTATCATCTCTCACTGGTGTCCCGCCAGCGTATATTGTTAGGGCAGGCGGGGCTACCATTCCATTCACAATCATCATATCAGCTTTTAACTGTCCACTAATGTAAGTCTCTCCCTTGAGAGGTTTTGCCAGTAGTTGCCATGCTTGGCAGGCGGATTGGCAATCGCAGTCAGGCTTTAGAGATGTTTAAAGAGGAACGCTGGTGTCCATCGCCCGCCCTTCTTTAGTAGGCTATTACGACACCCACGGAAAAGGAACGGGTGGCCTATTTTATGCCTCTATCACACGGCTATTCCATTCACATCTATTAACGAATCAAATTATAATATCAATTCCCAGTACAGGCAGCCCCTTACGGTTGACGTAAACATAATATTTTGTTATGTTCCATGCGACCTTTCGAGTATCATCTGTTTGTTATCGGCATGGAGATAAACAAGTTCTTAATGAAGTGCTGCTTCCTGCTGGGAAATGGAGAGGTCATTTATGCAACATCACCTAGCAACTACTACGTTATCGTTCAAACATATATCTAAATAACCCTAATTTCATTGAACGATGATGAAATGGATTCTATTTTTATTTTTAAACTAGTCACCAGCCCCGGCTTCGCACGGGTAGATAGGTAGTGGTAACCTAATTTTATTTTATTAAAATTCGATTCATTTTGTTCGGTGATAATGGAACTTTCTAGAGATAAAGGACTTTTTTTAAACTTTAAATATATAATATTTGTTTTTTTCTTATATATATAGATTTAGAAACGATATTGATTTTTTTTTTATTTTTAAAATGTAGGTAGGTACAAAATGCGCATGTTGCATTGGACGGATGGAGTTACTCTTAGGGATTAAGTGCGCAACGAGTATATACGGGGCAGTTTCAAGATTGTACCTATCGCAAATAAAAATGTAGAGTCCAGGCTAAGATTGTACGGACATGTAATGAGGTGATCTGCATGCCATTAGTGAAGAAATATCTTTCGATAGGTGTAAAAAAGAGAAGACGAGGTAGATCGCAAACTATCTGAATGTCAATTATCCAGAAGTATACGAAGCAGCCGTTAGTGATTAAATATAGATAGATAGATACTCTTTATTGTTTCCTCCAAAAGATTACAATAGTAAACTTATTATAAATATAAACAATTACAAGAAATAATCACAATGAGAAAACAATGGGCTATCTAAAAGCGATTTCTTCCAGGCAACCTTTGGATGGAGAGGAGTAATTATAAATAATTTGTTGGGAGGCGCGATTATAACACTTTTTTTTATTTTAAACATTAGATTTTGATTATCTGCACATTATTAGATTTGATGTAAATAATAATAATAACTTTATTACATAACCATGATTGTAACAAACTCAGCATTGGAAATTACAATAAAAGTAGATACGAATTCATTTGTACATTTAGATCAGCTTAAATATATATGTGTTTGAGGACACGTAATATATTTAATATAATATTATTATATTTAACTTAGATATGGTTGAATCATGCATATGCTATAAGGGTTGCTTGTATTATAAATACGACAACATGATCTAAAATTTGTCATTATCAGTTTATTCGCCGAAGGGTTAACACTAGGCGATCAGCGATCTAATAATTTGCTTGAAGATGCTTCAAAACAGGTGTCGTAAAACGTGCGTGAACAAAATGGCGGTGCGAGACTATGGCTAATATGGAAATGGAATTTCTGGTTGTCATAATAGAGGTCAATATTTGCGTTTTTTTTTTTATACAACCTAGAATAGCAAACAAGCTGACGGCTCACCTGATGGAAAGTGGTAACCGTCGCCTATAGACATGAGCGGTATCATGGACGTAACAGAGTATACTATTTCGCCCCTAATACCTCCCATGCGTTGTTGACTCAGATGTTATTCCTCTGTACCCTGTAAATTCACTGCCATATCCCACCCTTCAAACCGAAACACAGCCATGCAAACACAACTGCTTCACGGTAGAAACACGAATAGGATAGAGGTACCCAAGCAATCGACTTTTGTACAGTGTCCCAATT